CGTAGTGTTACACGTGAGCGCGCATCCTCGGGGAAATGACACGTTGTCCCCGGAAGTTTACCTCAGTTACGCTCTTATTCAATGTCACCAGCTGTATCACGAGCATTTCTTAATTTTTCTGGGACTGAAAGTAACTACAATCAAGTTGTTGTAAGTTGTGGTAAAGGAGAAACCACCAAAGGAGGCGAGAAGGGCAGCGCCAAAAACATAAGGAGATCGAATGATACCGGCTATTCCATTGTTGTCATAGCTGATTTGGGCATTAGAGAAGCCATCTTCGACGTGTTCGGGAGTGTCGGACGTGGTTGTTTTGCCATTGCTGTCATCAATGCCAGTTTGGCTGAGACTCTTGTTATCGGACATGGTGACCAATGTCAAAAGACCTAAAAGATACTCGGACGGCAATAGAAGTGTTTTGAAAGAAGAGTCCTTGACGAGATGATGAAAAGAAAAGCAAGTAGATAATAGGGGGTTTGAGCCAAACTTATCTACGCACCCAGATCGATTAATCGCGTGAGTTTGGCCCCCCCACGGGGAATGCTGTCGAATCTCGTTGTTTGACTAATTAGTCCCCCATGGGGTCGTTCGGCAAGACTGGGGACATAAACAAGCGGATCCGCTAACAGATCGGCTTTATGACAAGTCAGAGCGTCGGACATAATGTAGGTTCTCCCCTGACGAACCGGTTTGTGACTTGAGCCTGCATTGGCGCAGAACCTTTTTCGGACCAAGGACCAGAGGCTGTCTGCCCTCGCTTGCTCAGTTAACCAATGGGCCAATGGCAGCACTAGAAGGCATCCCAAGCCCGAATCACCCAATTCAACAAGCGGCTCTGCTCCGTCGGTCTGATGTTCTGGAGCTGCTGGTCGGCCGGTTTGTAAGTTGAACATGGCCTGTCAGTCGGTCTGACAAAGGACCTTTACTAAGATCTAAGCCAGCAGTGTGCCATGAATCATAAGACGGTCAATGATCATGTCTTTGGTGACCTTAATGTCTCACTCCAGCTCATCCGGTTCAGAACTACAGATATGGAATCCCTTTATCATGGCTTGGTTGGCATATCGTTTGTGATATAGTTAGAGAAAGGGACTGCTTAATTAACCAACTGTTGGCGCTCCCGTAGACTCAACTCTAGGAAGCAATTGCGGTATTGTCTGTCACTGAGCTACTGGATCATCAGAGAACATTGACCGAAGTCTTGTTCGCCTTTGACCTTAAAACCTCTCCTTGACATGTCCCACTTCTATTTCGCGGGTCTCAATCCTTCAGTCCATATTTCCAGCAGCAATTACTCCCTGGATGACCACCGGCTTCTCAGTGCTAAAGTTTTTAAGATCGCCCATGACCTCGGCGCCCGCCTCCTGCATTGCCTTGCCAAGACTCTGTGGGCTATCCCAAAACATGATGGTCTGTAGCGCATAGCCGGTGTCGGGGCTCAGCTTTACGACCGACCATTTGGTCAAGCCGTACTTAGACCAGGCGTCTCGGGCAAGTGGTATGTGTTTGTTGAGGTAGTAGTCGACGTCAAATGTGGCAGCTAGGGACTGCTTAGTCAAAATTTCATTGTGCATATGTCGGTGAAGGTTGAGAAGCTTTGAAGCACTGAGCTTCTCGGTGACTGGGGAATGTGAGACGTACCACCAGCGGCCGGGATTGGGTAGAGAAGCGTGAGCAAGGTTGCCATTTTGAGCGTTTTGTAGAGGTGGCTGGAAAGATTCCGACTTTAGTGTGAGAATTGTTTTAGGGGATGTAAGTAGCAACAGAGAAAGGTAGAGTTCGTGGTCTATATCAATGAGAGACCGGAAACTTTCCATATGAGTGCGGTGAATTGCGATCACCCGGCGGGATAACCTCTTACACAAAGGGCCTCCGATATGTCTCCGAGATGTCGCACGTCAGCACGAACTTAATTGACGTTTGTGATTGGCCAGGGCCTGGCGGCTTGTGCATAAGCCTCCCAATTGACGGAAAGGGAGGACTGGGAGTTGCAAGCCACAAGATTTTGAGAAGAATGGACTTGAATGGCAGCTTGGAGTCGATTAGTCGGTTCTCATCGTGGGAAAGGAGAGAACTTGAGGCATTCGAGGCCTAGCAATTCACGATTCTTGTTTCCATCTCTAGAGATATCGAAGGCAAAGCAAAGATGCCCCACGTTGGAATCATGCCACAAGAACTGCGTGCTAGGCCGGACCTAAATGGCACTACTAATTCACTAACCACTCAATTTAAGCCGAGATTAGGACAATATTCCAGAGACCAGCGACTAAACCTCTGATCTCATCTCAACTCCTTGTCCTTCTCCTTCTCTTCAAGGTGGGTGGATTCTGCCTGAACCTGTTCGACCTTCTCATTGAGAATCTCCTCGTTCTCCTCCTCTTCGATGGCATGCTTGTACAGGCCTCTCTTGATATCACGCTGCCATAGCACGTAGCCGGTCAGGAACAGGGAGACCCAGATGACGCAGAGGCAGATGCTAGCAGTAAAACCCCTCGTCCACTGTGGCCCCTCAGTGACAGGGAACACGACGACGTTGTACCAGGTAAAGAAGGACCAACCGACAGTCATCTATCGAAGAAGAGTCAAATGGTTAGCGTACGGATTCTCACGTCTCCCGGAGATGTAAGGTAAGAGGGCTAACTCACCATGGCGCCTGTCGTAAAACTCTTGGCTTCATTATCGTCCTTCATGATAAGATGGACGAACGGGAAGAGCATCGGGGTGACGCAAGAATTAAATCCCATAAGAAACCAGGCAGCGAACTTCATGCCAACGGGGATATACCAGATCCGGAGGCAGATGTTTGAAAAGATGAGGACGGTGCCTGTGAAGAGAACTGGCATCCAAATGGGGTACACCCTGTAGGAGTCGGGGGTTAGCACTCTCTCCCAGAACCCAGCACAGGGAGGTTGGACTGGAAACTCACATGACGAACTGTGGAACAAGAATTCCAACAACAATAGCCATAAGTTGGGTGCCGGTGGGCAGGATGTTGATCAACTCGATCGAGTATTGACCAGTAGACTTGACCCAAATACCCATCTGACCAGCAACCCAGGTCGTGAGCTGGTAGCTGCAAGTCAATTTAATTAATGGTGCATCTCCATGAAGTATGAATGGCAACTTACCAGACGTAGGTAACCACAGCGAAGTAGAAGTGCCAGTGAGTAAAGACACGCTTGAGCATGCGCTTGCCAATCTTGGAGCTCTTCCTGACACCGTCGTCCTGCATGCGTGCTTGGGCGAGCTTCTGCTCCTCCTCCTTGAGCCACCAGATGCGAGGGCTAGTAGGTAGACCAGGGAAGAGGAAGAAGCCAGCGATAGCAATGGGGAGACTGATGACTCCGTCCACGATGAAGACCCAGCGCCTAGAGAAGGGGGATACATTAGATTGATACACATGAGCAGAAGGGGAACGAGTACCGACCATCCTTGCATTCCAAGCTTTCCGTCAAGTCCAGCATGGGCAGCAGCTTGCATATATCCAGCAAAGGCGGCGCCAATGTTGCTAGACACATACCAGACACCTGCGCGCTTAAATACCTCGTCTGAGCGATACCATGACGCGAGAAGGTAAAGCGAGCCAGTGGCGGCGGGTGTCTCGAAAAGACCCATGAGGAACCGCATGCCGTAAATCATCTCGACGCTATTATTGCGGGATTGGATGAAGGTGATTATAGACCAGAGTGTCTCGCAGATAGGGAGGTACCATCGTGCCAGCTTAGGACGGGAGATGATCATCATGGAGGGGATTTCGAGGATAAGGTAGCCGATGTTGTAGAAGGTGCTGAACAGGTTGTACTGGATTCCCTGGACGTTGAGATCTTCCTTCATTCCAGAGTTGTAAGCATTAGTGATGTTGGATTGGTCAAGCCACTTGATGAAAACTAGAGCTGGTTAGATTATGAGGTTGAGAATATTGTTGGGAAAGCCTACATAGCAAGCAACTACTGCGGTTAGCATGCTGAGTTCAAATGTAGCGGCTGGCGCGCAAGATGCGGACTTACATGAGGGGAAGAATGATGCGGTCCTGTTTCTTGACAAGAGCAATCTCCTCCTTGCTGTAGTGGCTAGGGTACCAGTCAAAGATGTAGAGCCAGGCAAGTCGGAGATCCCTCTTTGGAGGCTTCGTGGCAGAGCTCACCACAACGCCATTCTTGACCACCTGCTTCGGGCCGACATTCGCATCGTCCGCCGGAGGAGGCGGCTGCTGGTGGTTCTCCTGCTCTGGCGCCGGGGCAGGCTGAATGACGATGTCATCGTTGGCCTTGTGTGGCTGAGTCGCCATCTTTGACGAGCCGTGTTGCTTTCTTGTTCCGGGGTGAACAGAGAGATGGATGGAAACGAGGCCCAGAGTATTGGGCTGCGGGATGCTGGTAATCTTCCAAGAATCTATGGCAGTGGTGGGACGAGATGGAGTTTTAATATTCATCCCATCACCAAGACCCCTCTACTCGTGCCTGCGGGGCCCCGCTGTTGTCGTCCGGGGGTATGGGGTAGCGGCGGCGGTCACACGGCGACCTTCCCCGGTTTCCCCGCAGAGTCCAAGCCTTGCCTTGCCCGGTGCAGAGCTGGGCGACCATCCCAGAGATACGAATACCACCCTGAACTGCAGATGGATGCTTCTCGGGGCAATGGCCACGGAGGAATTGTCGCGGAGAAATTGCCGCGGGGTGATTGCTGTCGGCGTTTGGACCATGGATGGCGGAGCAATGGCGCCGGACCCCGGAGCATGTCGACTCCGGAGGAGTGGGGGCATAGGGGCGAGGAGACCCGATAGGTAAGCCGGATTGCTCTCGTTTTGAATAAGAGTTACTTGATAGGAAGCATCAAGTAGCCGAACCCCCATCTTCCGCGTGCTCCTTTATTTCGCCGGCTTCATTGACTTCACAAGACGGCCAAGACCTCAATATCTTCCCACAAGGCTATTATATCTATCTCCTTTCTAGCTGCATTATTTTCTCCCGAGCTCAATCCCTGCGGAAGACGTCAAAGACAGCAAAATGTCTGAAGGAGAGAGTAACGGCATTGCCCAGGAGCCTCCGTTGCCAGAGGTTGCGCTACAAGAGGAGCCAGCTCAACCAGTCATTGCTGTCCATCATCAAGGATCACTCGAAGATCCTATTCCCTTCTCATCTCAAGCGCCCCCAGTAGTCGAGCCTGAGATACCACAGCTTCCCCAGCTTCCATATAGACAGCCTCATAGAGAGCAATCTTCTTTGATCCAGTCCCCGCAAACGCAACCAGCCAGCGATGAGGACTCCTTGATCGGAAATTCTACCCCAATCAGCTCTCCCACGGAACCAGATGGACCAATTCAGGACTATCCTACGTTGACTAAAGACGCAAGCATCGGTGATGAACTTGCCAGTCTCTATGGGGAGAATATCCTCGCCAAGGTCTACAGGACGGCGACGAAGTCTCTCATCGGGGAGAAGCGCTTCCCGGACTACTTCCCCGAGTACGTGCCGCAGGAGGGAGAAGATTCCGGCAACTACACGCTACGCGAGGCCGAATTTTGGACCTGCGGCTTCTTCCCGGGCACGCTATCCCTGCTGCTCGAGCGCACCGTCAGGTTTCCTCGCAAGATCTGCACCTCCGACGAGGACGCATCGGATAAAATCAGTATCGAGACAATCCGGCTGCACCTCCAAACTCTCTGTGACACCTGGACAAGGCCACTCCACCGTATGGCCAGCCGAACCGACACCCATGACATCGGGTTCATCGTCATGCCGTCCTTGAGGTTGGACTGGGAGCTCAATGGGAATGTCCAGAGCCTCAACTCCATTATCTGTGCTGCACAGAGCCTAGCCACGAGATACGTCCCTACCTCGGGGGCTATCCGTAGTTGGGACTTGCTGATAAAGAAGAACCTTGAGATCCTTGACCAGACAGAGAATATGATCATTATCATTGACAGCCTTTGCAATCTGGACCTGCTCTACTACGCGGCTGAACACTGTCCTGATGGACAGGAACTCTACGATATAGCCACCTCACATGCACGCGTTCTGCTCCGGTCGCATCTCCGCGAAGAGAAGCCTGTTCCTTTGTCCAAGCAATGCTACACGGGGCCATGGTACTCTACTTGTCACGTCGCCAATATCGACCCTCGAACCGGCGAACTAAAGGCTCGTCTCACGCACCAGGGCTACGACAATGAATCTACATGGGCCCGCGGCCAGGCGTGGGCCATCCTAGGCTATGCACAGACGTTCATGTCGACCAAGGATAGGATATTCGTACGAGCAGCATGCGGTCTCGCCGAGTACTTCCTGTACCGGTTAGAAACGGCCCCCGAATGCATACCCATGGGTAGTCGCTACGTGCCACTTTGGGACTTTGACGCGCCCATTAGTGACAGTGAGAGTCCCCTCCGTGACTCTTCGGCTGGTTCCATCGCTGCCAACGGACTGTTAGTGCTCTCTCAGGCGATGGCAGCAATGGGCCAGGACGACCTCGCTGGGCGGTACCGCCGAGCAGCTATTGATATCGTCAGGGAGTTGCTAGGCTTTGCACAGGCACCCGAGAAGGCGCATTTGGTCAAGGGATCCGTAAATGCCATCGAGGTGGAAGATGATACTCTCCGGACGTTCGATGGGATCTTGAAATATGGCACGGCTAACAACAATCAGTACTCTAAAAGGCGGTATGCCAACCATGGGTTGGTATACGGGGACTATTATCTAGTTGCGTTTGGGAACCGGCTGTTGCAAATGGGTCTTGTGTGACAAAGGATGCCCTAGTTAGTACCTAGAAATGTTTAGATTCGGCGTTCACGACCAGAGTTTAGATCTAGATCCTTAAAGAGAAGAGATTTTGATGTTTTATTAACCATGAGTCACCCTGAACTCTTATCTTTCCTTACATTCGCCCAGGCTTTGTCTGCTTTGGGAGTAGACTTGACAACTTAGGTGTGATGGCTGGGAAGAGGCCCTCCTGGGCAGCCTTCGCCAGAACCGAAACCGAAGGCGTCGTTTTGAATTTAGCCGCCCGGTTATGTATGTATATTACAAATGAGCAGTCGACGTCATCAGGAATTGAGATTCCGTCGCACCATTTTTCGCGGATTGTCGGAGATACTGGCGTTAGCTCTCGCGGACTCTCGGCCGGTTACTATATCCCCACAACTCTATGCAAGTTGATTTGACAACGGCAAACCTCCGGTTCAATCTCGGGAGTGAGGGTATCCAAGCAACCCTGGAGTGAGGGGCTTCGTCCTTTAAAAGGGCGACGAGGCGCCTTGTCAGGAGAAAGATTTCTTAGACAACAGAACGTCCTCTGACATTGTTTAGTTTCTGCCCCTCTGTACTTCCATCTATCTGAATACTTAGGCAAAATGGCGGCTCCACGTGAAATCCGCTGGGGAATCCTTGCCACTGGTGCAATCTCAATTACATTGTATGCTCATCTCCACTAACAAAGGAGGCATTCACTAACAAGCCCTAGCACCAAAGATCTCCTAGTTGATCCCAAGACTCGAGACGTCAGCAACATCAAGCACACCGTCGCCGCAGCAGCTTCGTCCAGCTCAGCCGCCCGCGCCGAATCTTTCCTCAAAGATGTTGGAGCCCCTTCAGATGCAAAGGCCTACGGCTCGTACGATGAACTTGTCAAGGACCCCAACGTTGAGATCATCTACGTTGCTACCCCCCACTCACACCACTACCAGAATGTCAGGCTTTGCTTAGAAGCTGGCAAGCACGTGCTGTGTGAAAAGGCTTTCACAGTCAATGCCAAGCAGGCGCGTACTCTGGTAGAGATTGCAAAGGAGAAGGGCCTGTTGCTGATGGAAGCGTTCTGGACGAGATACTTCCCCTTGACCAACTACGTCAGAGAGACTATCAGCTCGGGCAAGTTGGGGACGATCTACAGGGTGTTTTCAGATTCCAGTGCCAGGCTATCCCCCGAGGCGAACTTTAGCGATGGAAAGCACAGAATGGTGAATGCGGATCTTGCCGGCGGTGCGTTGTTGGATCTTGGAGTTTACAGTCTTACTTGGCCGTTCTTGGTGTTCTGGCAGACCCAGGCGAAGAAGACTCCTCCCAAGGTAGTTGCTGCTATTACCAAGGTAAGTTCTTGAGCCATATACTTTCCAGGCCTCGCGTACTAATAACAATAGTATGAGCAAACATCTGCTGACGAGAGCACAACCATTCTTCTGACTTTCCCCCGAGACGCTGGCTCTGGTGGCGATGCCCATGCCATCGCTACAACGTCCATCCGGATTGGAAGTGTTCGTAGTGATCCTAAGCCCCAACCCTGCGTGCGGATCCAAGGAGAGCTGGGCGAGCTACAGCTCTTCGACGTCCCACAGTGCCCCAACACCACAAGGATCGTGCTCAACGATGGGAGCGTCGAAGAGAAGAAGTGGACGCAGCCCGGTCCCGGCAAGGGCAGTGGCTGGTTCAATGGATTCTTGACTTTCATGAACCCGGAGGGTGAGGGCCAAGGTATGTTCTGGGAGGCTGATGAGGCGGCGTTTGCTATTGTTGAAGGGAGAAAGGAAGGAAAGCAGATGGATTTGAGTGAAACTATTGCTGTGATGGATGTCATGGATGAGGTGCGTCGTCAGGGTGGTTTGGTGTACCCGGAGAAGATTGAGACGTCAGACTACCCTGTGTCTATCGGACGATAAGAGTTGAGTGTAGAGTTACTAGGGATCTAGCCATAGAACTGTCTTCGTAGGAGAATATCTACATCCCCAACCATAACTCCCAAGTTTTGCTGCGGGTGACATTCTTTTCTACTTGACATAAAACCCAAGATTCTCCCCCTTCTCTTCAAGGACTGTGAGTCCATTGCCCATGAACCTGAATCTATTCCGGCTATTGTACTCAAAGTTGAAGTCCTCAGTCCTAAAGCTCTCCAAAATTTCCTTATAGTGAATGATGCTCCCTGCATACATGGCGGTTACCTTGCCGTCCACCTTGTTGTTCTTATACCAGGATCGGCAGCCACTTATCCAGACGGTTCGCTTCAAGAACTCGTGGGTATAGGTATTATAGTCAGCTATTGCACCAACGTCGACTGTGACAGACCTATTTGAAGTTTAGTATAAGCATCTACGTATGAGCAGAGGTAAGAGTGAGGGTACATACTTGATATCTCCCGTTGAGATCTTCTTAATCCACCTCATAATATAGTCAGCTATCCAATCCATAATAGAAAGCAGGCTTCCATAGCCGACTAGATAGTTAGGCCCGTTAAAGATAAAGTAGTTTGGCATATTGGGAGCACAGATACCAAAGTAGGCTACTAGATCGTCCCGCCACTGGTCTACAAGCTTCATACTATTCTTACCAACTACTTCCCAGAATAGGGTGAAGCTAATATTAAAGCCAGTAGCGCAAATAATAATATTAAACTCCTCCTCGGAACCATTTGCCGCCAAAATCCTAAGTCTCGGTGACCTTCTTGATGCCCGAGAACTCTATAGCTATATTTGGCTCCTGGAGTGCTTTAAGATAGCCTTCGCCAGGAGTAAGTCGGCGGTAGCCCACCTTCTAGTCAGGGGTCAGCTTAGCGCAGAGGTCGGGGTCATAGTTGAGTCTTCTTTCTATCTCGTCTTGGAACACCTTGGCGGCGGCTTTCTGCTAAGGAGTATCGACGATAAGGGCATAGAAAAACTAGTTAAAGTAATGCTCGATAAGCTTATGCATCTCGCGCAGCTTTTCGGGATTCTCTATGAACTCTTTCTTTTACTCTTTAGTATATTGAAAGTTCTTTCCTTTAGGGGTGAGCTCTACCGCAAAGTTAGAAGAAATCCAAGTGGGCGATCTGATATAGTTAATAATCTTAGCCGCCGCTAGTTGTATCTTAGGTAAGATCTAGATTGCCGAGGAACTATTGCTAATAATAGCGACATGCTTTCTAGTCTAATTAAGAGATGTATCCTAGGCAGCACTGTATAGCTGTCTGCCGTTGAAAGAGTCTAGCCCTTGGATTTTAGGCTAATGCTATTTATGGAGGATACCGGACCTATTAACCAACATATCCGCCTTATCTTTAATGATAGTTCTATTCTAGTTAACCTTAATCTTCTACTTCCCTAAAGCCTTATCCTAGATGGTCAAAGTAACCTTATTGTTCAGCTGGGCATGCTTATTGAGTTAATATTTGTCTGTGGTCCTCTTAATATACTCCCAGATTTCTAGGCCCGCGGCATAAAAGGAAGTCCAATCGGGATTTAGTTCGAAGGGGAACGTATAAATGTGAGCTGGAACCTGGATGATACGGATATTAATTGGCATGATCCAGTTTTGCTTTACTTGGTAGCACCTACATCGCACGCCACACCTAGATATCTATTTTCCAGCCATGTTCCACCTATATCGGAGTTCTTTTCGTAAATAATCAGATTCATATGCTCTTCCATCTTCAGCTAGTGCTTGTACTTATACGCCATGATCAGGCCAGAGTAGCCAGCTCCAACACAAACAACTCGGAGCTTGCGAGGTTTATAAGCCGGTTTCTCCAAGACGGGAACCCAGTTTGGGGGGTTATCAGGACCTGATTTGCGTTGCGTGCCAGTGGCAGTGGCTTCGTAAGTCGCTTCGAGGCTTGGAGTCATCTTTGGGAAGGGAGTTCCAAAATGAGAATTTACAGTGCAGCAGTAAAGTGGCGATTGGATGAAAGCTTGGTTGGATGTTTGGCAGAAGAACAATTCGAAGAATTCACACTCCATATATACATGTAAACTGTCATGTAAACGTTTTTCCAAGACTATGATTCTAGCACATCGATTCATCGGCTCAGCAGTCTCAGCTACATCACCGGAGAAGGTCGAGACTAACATGCCGAGTTTAGATTTCACTAAAAGCGTGTCCTCTCTGAACTGGATCCGAAAGGATGTTGGAGGAGGCGTTTGCTCGTTCGGGCCAGCCCGCAAAGTACGTGGGCATTCCTCCCGATGCACTTTTCGGAAATGTAAACCCACAAAGAAGATAGATACAAAGTAGTGAAAGGACTAGCTCGTCGACAATAAATGCAGGTCAACAAACAACCACAATGGTCATGGGTGCGCTGGCCCTTCGGAGCGATGCCAGAATCCCGGATCGGAAGCCGGGTCTCTTCGGGACCCCTTCTTTGATGATCCGGGGTCGGGATCTACCCCTCAGTTGGACTATTGGACCAAGGGCCTCCCTACCTAGGTACATGGTAGTTTGGCTTTACCGGCTTGGGCACGCTGGCCAAGAACCCCGCCGCCAGAGGGAGGCACTTGGAGGGCCGTCCCCCAGACCCCAGACCCCAGACTGGGGAGAATCCCAGCCGTTTCCGGGGTAGCGTACCTGAAAGTTGAGTGGTCCGGCCAGTGGCAATAAAGGTGCTTGATTTCTTCAAGTTCATTCCCCGCCCCCTCATCTCTTATGTGGCTCAGTCAAGTACATCACCCGCGGCTTCTACAGCTGCCCGCAAGCTATGTCGTAGCGTTTCGTGATACTGCGTCGTGCAGACGCATGTATCCTACTTGATCGCGGGAAATCAGTCAGATCTCATCGTAAAATGCAGCTTCCACGGTGCCTGATAATGTCAAGCAAAACAGTGCAGCAGTGTTACCATTATCCCGGAGTCATGGAGCTTATTCCCTGTCGAGTTACTTGCGCGGGGACTTCCATCCGACTGCTAGAGTACTATCAAACCATTGGGATTCGAATATGGCAAGCTGTTTGTGCACTATTGCTACTGCAGAGGGCTGATCGAGAGACTAACAGTAATTGGCTTAGATCCATGCCTTGGAACACAGATACAGTAAGTATGTGCTAGTTAGCTCCCATGTCGGTTAACGGGCACTCGGTACTCGGGCGTCCCATAAACGCCGTGCTGGACCCGCGTTTGCCCCGTCTCCAGCACCCAACAGTTGTCATTGTATTTCACATCGACAACGTCAATATCCGAGCTATGAACACTGCCATGCCCACGCGGAAAGTCAAAAGAAGTGAGCGCCGCCGGTGCGCAAAGGCCAGTGACAACTGCAAGCGCCGCAAGGAACCCTGTGATGGCTGCCACCCGTGCGGACGCTGTCGCAGCCGTCACGTCTCCGATGATTGCAACTTTGCTTCTTCGCCCCGTCTTTCAAGCATCAACCCGATCGTCAACAGGCCGAGGACTCTTCCCGAAGACCACGGCATTCCCGATCAGGACAATTTGCCTGGTTTGAGGTCGACGGCCGGCCACGAGGAGCGTCCTGCTGAAGCCCACTCGAGTAGCAGTCCTCTTTCGTACGGCTTCAACGGCCTCAACATCACCCATATCCCACAGGTATCGAGATTGATCCAAGATGACCATGGAAAAGTCATGTTCATCGGCGATTCCGCCAATCTTGCCTTCCTACAAATCATCCGTCGCTTAGTCCGCGAGTCCCTATGGCCCTGCCAATTTGCAGAAGATCCATTGAGTCACCTCCTAATTAAGACGACACCCCCCAACCAGTCAGACTAGATCCTAGAGATGGTGAGCCGGCCACCAGCCAGGCCTAAGCCAGCCGACGCCCGGTATCTCATCACCTGGTATCTATGCGCCACCAACTGTTTACTCAATATATATGACGAACGAGAACTATATCAAGTCTGGTCTCGATGGATACAAGCCATAGATGACAGACGGGAGCCAAAGGCAGTGAGCGCCATTTTATTCCTCATATTCGCCATCGGCGCCCAGGCCTGCCCAGATAATCGAGACGACGATGCCGAGCAATACTTCAACTACGGGCGATTTTTGACTATATCGGGCATAATAGAAGAACCAGGTCTCTCAACTATTCAGGCCAATATCCTAATAACAATATACCTTCTGGCAGCTTCGCGGAGGAACGCAGCTTTTATGTACTTGGGGACCGTAGTGCGTGCTACTTACGCACTGGGTATCCATCGACGTGACATCAACGCCCTTTTCGACCTAGCCGACCATATGGCACGCGAGAGGCTTTGGAAATCCTTGCGCGTACTTGACTTGTTCATGAGTGCGTCACTTGGTCGTCCGCCCTCGACTCACGAGACACGAGATACGTCTGCCGAGGCCAACTACTCTGCCAGCAATGACCTATGCGCCATCTTCGAGGAGGTTCTCACCGATGTATACTCGAAGCGCATAGTCTCGACGGATATCCTAGAGAGGATAACAGAACACCACCGGCAATAGACCAGCACGTTTCTCACGGGCTTGGCGGTTGATGATATCCAACCGACTCAATTTGTCGAGGTAGACGGAGGGAAGACGGTCCCCAATATTGGCCTCTTTCACCTAAAGGAGGCTTATTACTGGACAATCATGCTCCTCGCACGCCCTTTCCTGATTGAAAACGTATCTAGGCACCAGTCAAAGGTGCCTGCAGGCGATCCCCTCGAAGCTGAGAATGGAGTAGCTGACACTTCCTCCGATTTGGTTGTGACCCGCGCCTGCGTTGACTCCGCCATCCGCACCGTGGACCTTCTTCGAGTACTTCAGACTAGCGAGGAAGTGCCAAAACGGTTACCATTTGTGGTCAACTCTCTGTTTCATGCAGCCTTGGTTATTGGGTTAGCGCAGCTCGGCGACATGAGCCGCCTTTTCCCCCTTGAGAAGAGCCTATCGTCTGCAAGGGCATTGCTCGCCATTTTCGGCCGTCATGATGCTGTGGCGAGCAGGAACTTGGCAATCGTCGATAATCTCCAGACAGCATGCAGCTTGTATCTTGAGAAGATGGAATCTCGCAGGATGGAACGGCAGAGCATTCTCGTTGGAGGGATTTTCGGTGTTGTCCATGACGATACCAAGACGGACTTCCCTATGGCCGTAGAAAGGGAGGAAGCCCACGAGGAGCAGCAGCAGAACTTTACCAGGCTATCCGGGCTAGACCATACGCCCTTCATAAGCTCAGTAGGGTTGCCTAATTGCAGTAACAGCAACTCCCTGTCGTCCATTGGCTCCGGAACCGAGCCGACGATTGGCTTGAGCACCGATCTCCAAGGCATGGATGATCTGATACTGCCAATGTCCCCGAGGACACTGATGTTTGAGACATTCGATAAAGATATTCCTCTCTTCCCCACCGTAGATACGAGACACCCTGCATGGGATTTAGGTCAGGAAAATGGAGGAGGACTTCTTATTTAATCTAAGAGCTCAACTTCAATTATCTGCTCGGCGTCCGGTCCCAAGACGATTCCCTTCCCGGAAGCGAGAGTTAGAGCCTTGTACCGTGATTATCGGAAGTGGCGAGGTTTCGGTGTTTGAGCTCCTGAGACATCATATCTCAAGGGTTGAAATTTCTCAGAATCATGTTATGCGAGACGGATGGTCAGCAGCAGAGACATCACACATTTGCAAAGAGATGTCAAAATGCAACATGAAGAAATGTTTGTTCCAGTCTCGGACTTGTCTGCTATTCTTCTGATCACGTCAGTCTCTACATGTTCTCAATAACCCACTTTACACCCGAGAACGCATTTGGCAGGAACTCTCTAGTCTCAGGTAGAGTAGGGAACATCCAAAAACAATGCGGCAGACCATCATAATGGTCAGTTCTGACATGGACCTCTTGGCCCGTCATCGAACCAGCCACGACCCTCCCATCGTCTCTCAAAGGGTCCAAACCACACGTCACTATATACGTTGGGGGGTAAAGGGCGTGACTGGCTTGATCGAGGCCAACAAAGTAGTCGGCGTTGTCTGCCTTCACATTGCATGCATTGAAGAAGGACATCAGGGATGCCACGTCGATGATCGGAGTGTCTCTCTCGTTGTCCTTGAATGATGTGTGCTGTGAGCTATATCTCTCCGGCACATTATCCGGGTGGAACATGACCGGGCTGAAGGCAGCGATGCCTTTCACGGCGTCCTTGGGTAATTCCGCAGAGCCAAGTGCGACTTTGCGAGCCACTGCAAAGGCAAGGGCGCCACCAGCCGAAGTACCGATGGTATAGAGTTTGTTTGGTTCACCGCCCAGAGCCGTTGCATTGCGGCATGCCTTTTTGGTGTTGATGTTGTTAGCGTTTCCATTTCGGCCATTAATGGGACAAGATCAAAATAACACACCCATTGGAACATTTTGAGAGCGTCCTGCAGCTGTGCTGGTAATTTGTGAGCTGGCGCTTTTCTATAGTTCACGCTGATGATCAAAGTATTTGCATTCTGAGCAATTGCTCGGCATAGCGCATCCTCGGTCTCAAGATCTCCCAGGACGAAGCCACCGCCATGGAAGAAAACTCCAATGGGAAACCGGTCTTGGGCGTTTGTTTCGCGGTGTGGAGTATAGATGCGATACTCGGTGCCTTCGTAAGTGTTGTCTTGAATCGACACTCTGTTGTACGGCTGGAGATTGGTTGGGGTGAGGAGAGCCTGGAGACCGGCGAACTGAGAAGTCAGCTCCTCCGCGTCTCCTCTAAGCACAGGACGCGCACCGCCCAGCCCTTCCTCCACCTTCGAACTGTTAGACACATGCTGGCTATTCTTTCTGGGAAGGCAAAACTTGCCTTCAGCCACGAAAGAGAGAAGTTCATGTTGACGTAGGTAAGGCAATGGTAATTGAGATGGAATATTAAAGGCTTGGTGTGAGAATGAGTAGTCTGTGATTTCGGGTAGACCACTATGGGACTTTGCCTATTCTTGAGAAGGAATAGGAAGCTGAATATGTACGGCATGGGAAAGGGCCAAGACTATCTCTTCCAACGCTAGGACAAGACCAAGAGACAGCTTAGTTGCAGCTTTTCGGGAAGCCCTTAGCCGAACTTGAAACCCTCCATCTCTTCGGGTATCACGCAGCGATGGTGTGGTACAAGGGCAGCAACGGGCTGTGCTGCTTCAAGAGGACCGCCAGCTCCACCCAGTATACAAATGCCACTAATAGAAGTCATATCCTTGCTAATAAGGTATAGTAAAAGATTAATCAGGAACAAGAGATAAAAAGGGGCCCACGATAGATTGGCATATTAATACTATTTTATTTACTTTTGAAGTCCATGGTATCTAAAAAGATCTACGAAGCTTCGCTCTATGCATCCGTGCTGCAGGAAATCTCACTACAGTATCAGGGGTCAGTAGCCAAAGAGATTTGAGTCAAAGCATTACAGATACTGTAAGGGATTAACGGTCACGGCGCTCATAGCCCCCATGTAAAATTGGAAAGCTGCCTCCGTGACTTCTAAATTGCGCACCCGAGTCACAAGACTTAAAACTTTCCATTCCGGAAGGCCGGATCCAAGCTGGATGGCTTCGGACTCATTTCAACAGAGCAAGCCGGATCGGATCGGCTTTTACCCCCCGGCTTCCGATCCGGTACACGGTCACTTCGGAATCATTAGCGTCACTCCAGCATCATGCAACGCCCAACACACTGGAATATCCAATTAAAATAGTATTTGTTCAGAACGTACCTGCGGTTTCTGAAATATTCTATTTTCTCACTTTTGTATCAATTTTTGTCATTGTTGAATGCTCACTCAGATCAATCGAGAATCTCCTTTATTTATGTTTCCCCAATTGACGGTTCATATGATAAGGAATACAATATCCAGAAACGTTATTTACTCAAACAAAACGAGTTGCAACTAACTCCCATCCTTCGAAATCTAGAATAATACGCAAAAAGAACATGTGTCTCAAGCTCTTGGTCGCCGCTGATACTCAGGCCAGAAGCAAGACGCTCAGCAGCGACGTCCACCCATGCGTCGCCCTCCTCCCATCATTCCTCCACCCATGCGAGGGCCGCCCATCCGTGGACCGCCCATACCCATACGTGGACCTCCCATGCCCATATGGCCTCCGTGATGATGGTGGTGAACCACGGTGACGGGACGAGGGCCCACCATAACGGCGCGGGGCTGTCTTCGTGGAACGGGGAGGCACATTGTGAAGATTGAAGTGGTTTTCGGTGTTTGTTTTGTGGGGTTGATTTGTGTAGTTGATTGAGAGTTGCTTGTCGGGAGTGGGTAGAAGTGAATCTTTATGGTTGTTCTGTCAGAAGATCCTTTTGAGGGGTCTAATTGTAATGAATTGTTTAAAGATGTATTTCAGGGTTGATTGGTGGTTGTGATAATTATGAAAGAGTGAAGAGGGGGGATTGCAGATCATATATAGTTTCGAGATATTGTCCTTTGTCCATAACAAGCAGGACGAATGACGCCAAGGGAGAATGAACCAGCTTTTGAAAGCGTTCGATAATGACGCCACACAATCGCGCAACGCCGATGCCGCATCCTCCAGGCTCAGCTTGGCTGGATAGAAATAGAGTTGTGGCTAACATTAGATAGAAACTTTGTCTCGACACGAGGCTCAGCTCATCGCGCATTCCTGTGGGTAACAGAAAAACAGGAGACGGACGCTACCAAATCACCACTATTTTGTTGACATTAGTCACTGATTCAACCACTTTTCCACAAAGAATATCATTCAAATCTTAGATATTTATTCAGAGAAGATCTCATAGTATTATCCAGTCAACCTTCAAGTGAATTGAGGCATTATTAAAGGTGCTATGGCTATACTGAACCTGATGGGCCAGTTTCGTGTTTTTTGTTACCCCTAGGCATTGCAACGTCACCGAGCCGGTAGCTCCAATCACAAGGTTGCCAAGCACACCCAAGGCGGCTCAGCTCTGGCTTGGCACACCACCATGACGACGATCCCAAACTCAGACGGACGTTCCGTTTTTTATCCTCGGTGCCTCGGCTAAATCACCTCACTCAATATCCACTTTTGCCTCTCCTGATGAATTGAGATAGTAATACCAGTGCTAAGAAAGGTCCTCCTAGAGTTGTGGCTGTGTTATTTCTGTTGGGTTGCTCGAAAGCCCAGTCCCATCGCTTCTTCGAGCCCTTGAGTTCTTATGTCTTTTGTCTCAGTTATTACTTCGAGGGCCGGGCTTCAACTACAACACAGAACACATTCACCACTCACCAAAAGAGATGGGCAACAGTTTCAAAGGGCAGCACGCGGAATACATGTATTACTTTCTAACAACTGATTTATACAAGACCTATGCAGTAGTAACGGCTGCGTAGTATGCCATGTTATAGTGTGTTTCTGCCCTAACAAAACCTCTCGATACAGGTGGTTAAAGCTTGCAGGGACTGGAAGAGTTTTCAAACTTGATAACCACCTTGCCATTAAACTGAAATGAAGACTGTTAGCCAAGGTTACTTCAATTTTGGTTGCAAAATATACACGAGCTAGAGTCTTAACTCACCTCTCCAAACCGTGAAGCCAGCCCAGGCAGGTCTTCTAGGCGTTGAATATTCACAACGGGTTTGACTTGACCTCTCTGAACAAACCCAATGGCTTCAAGGGTGTCTTCCTTTGTTCCAACAGCAGATCCCACAATTTTAATGCCCATGTCGATAAGAAGCAGAGGATGGAAAGAAACCAGTTGGTCAGGGGGCGGGATTCCAACACTAACCAAGGTGCCAAAGGCCGCAACAATGCCCAGCGCTGCATTGTATGCGCCGCCTGAAGCTGCACAGACGAGCAGCAGGTCTGCTCCCGTCTGTCCCATGGCAACTTCAACGTCCCGCCGTAAATCCTGGCTCTGAGCCGCATCGACAAAGCAATCTGCCCCAGATGAGAGGCACATGTCCCGCTTTGCATCACCTACATCGATTCCCAGGACGCGGTAGCCCATAGCCTTGGCATACTGAACCGCCAGCGCGCCCACGCCGCCGCCAGCCCCTGAAACAGCGACCCACTTTCCACCGACAACGCCGGCATTCTTGATCGCCGCGTAAGCAGTGACGCCGCCGCAAAGGATCGGGGCGATCAACTCGTCGGGCACGGTGATGTGGGCGGGGATGCGCAACAAGTAGCGGCTCGGCACAACGGCGTACTCGGCAAAGGTGCCGTCCCTCTTGCGGCCCGAGTTGAGCTGCTCCTTGCACCGCGTCTCGCCGCCCGCGTGGGGCCCAGCTCGCCGGTCGCCAGACCCATATCTGTTCCGCAGACGCCGCTAACGGAGAGGCGGACGAGCACATCCGTCGGATCCGGCTCCGGCCGTTGCACATGGGTGATCTTGAACTCGAAGCTGCCCTTGGAGCGCTATTCTTTCTCGAGTCAAATTGGAGTGGACATGGTCCCAGGAGGGGGGAAACTTGCCACAACCACTGCAGCTCGCATCGATGTTGGGAGAGAAGACATCTCCTTCATGACAGATGGTTTCACTTTTGAAGATGAAATCTAAGATGGGAACCTAAATTCGCGCAGGAAAAGACAGACCCGAGCTAATTTCAGGAGAGGGAAGAAAACCCTGGGATAGCCCAGATACTTAAGGTTAGGTAGGTGTACTTGTCAACGAGTCTACAGCACAATGTACCTGTGTGGACGACCCCACGATATCTGATTTCCCCACATCACTGAGTAGGCCCCACAACCCACACCTCATCTCGCCCAACGGCACTCATGATCCCGAGTCGGTGGTCCGGATCTAGATCTCTACCGCGGGAGCCCAAATCTATAACCTGCCAGGCTCGATGCTTCTCTTCAGCTCAAATCCTCTACCTCGCAGGCGGGCTGGCCAGATGCCGCTCTTCCCTGGAGCCAAGATGCCATTGGGGTCCAGCGTGTCCTTGAGCTGCTGGTTGAATTTGAGTGCGGCATTGCCGTTCCAGTTGTACACGCTAGCAATTTGATCCATGTAGCAAAGATGAGTTCGATATTCGCCGTAGCCCTGCGGGTCTGTGTCAGTTGGTACTCAGTCCGGCCACATCTCAAAGAAGCTCACTTCGGCTGCAGCGTCGTCGATCAGGAGCTCAATGCATCGGTGAGCCTTCTTGCGCTGCTTAGGATCGGTTTTGTCAAATGTCAGGCAGACTTTTTTGTTTTTGTCGCGTCAGCTCCGATCCAACTTCAAGGGTAGAGATGGTGATCCTGTCATGCATACCAATGTGGTGTAGCTCTCGCCACCCAACGACGAATGTTCCAATATAGTCAAATCCAAACTCCTTGAACCGACGCTTGACCATCTCGCACTGCTTGTTTGCGTCAAAGCCCGTCGCGGGCGAGATGGGAGAGAAGCCAAGCAGAGACCCCCTCTCGCAAGACCAGTTGAGCCAGCCCAGCTCGTAAGTGTTGGGCAAACCCTTGAGGGTTTCCTCCCGCATGTGGAGTACAGTCCGTTTTCCGCCCTCCGCCCTAGGCTTGGGAAACTCATATCTGGCCTAAAGCAAGGTTCAGAGGGTGAATTTGTGAAGCAGAATGTCAAGAACACGTACCCCGGGAATTTGCATAAAAGACGCCTTCAATGCTTCCCACTGTACATCTCGCATGGGCTTCGGTCCATACATGGCGCCGTAGATGTTCCACCGACCGACGTTGATCTTCTTGGCGATTTCATCGATCTCGGAGCTGGAAAGCACACCCTTGTTGCTGGTGTAGTCACTCTTCGGACCATACACGGCAGCGTCGATGAGGGTATTTCTGATAGTAGGAGCATTCTGGATGACACCAGAGATGCGAAGAACACGAACACGCTCTACAATCTCAGGCAGGTCTGTCTCTTTGGGGAATGAGAAGAGGTATGCTTGGTAACCCTGGGCGATGCCGTCAGCACGTGCTGTGTTTGAGAAATCGGGTACAAGTGACAACTTACACCAGGATCAGGCATGAGCCAGACACCCATCTTGGTAACAATTCCAAAGTTGGACTGAGTGAAGATGCCGTCCGGGTAGGGACCGTAACCTGTGATTCTCCCATGTGAGTGTCACGAATGTGGGGAAGAGATGAGAAAAAGACTGACCATATTGGAACGTTTGCCAGGTGTTGTTGCCAGGCAGAGCGCCCATGCCTGTACGCATCACCTCACCAGAGGGCAGGACAACCTCCATGCCACAGTGAAAGGAGAAGTGCTCCCCGTAAGGCGTGTATCCGGCGCCGCGCTCGAGGGCGTTACCAACAACAGAGCCCCCACCTGCGCGCTCGGTCAGCACATTGTGGGGAAGCCGAGGGGGGTTCTCTCAACTGGCTCACCGAGATCGGGATTGTCAATCCACAGATTTTGAAACCCATTCTTCTGGAGGTGTTCATACAAGGCAAAATACGTGACACCGGGCTCAAGGAGACAGGTGCAATCTCGGCTGCTAACGTCAAGGACCTTGTTCATGCGGGATCCAAGATCAAGCACGATGCTCCCGCGAAGACGAGGTGCTGCCCCGCCGTATCCTTGTTACAGAGATGTCAGCATTCATTATTTGAGGCTATTAATGGGAGCTGATGACTAAATTACCAAGGTTGCGGCCTATCGACACTGGCCAAAGTGGCGTGAGGTACTTATTGGCGAGCTTGACAACTGCACTCACTTCCTCGGTGCTTCCAGGGCACGCAACGGCTCCGGCGAGAAAATGCTCCTTCTCCAAGACGTAGAACAAGTCGTGTTCCTTGGGAAGGTTGTAGTAGTGACCATCCTCGTCCGCTTTCATGGACTGGCGTGTGTGAACGGTCACATTGTCGTTCCCGACAACTTTGGCCATCTCCAACAGCATCTCACGGAAAGCACTGGCTGACACATCAGGTGGTAGGACCAGGACGCTGTCCTCAAGGGAGCCAAGGTCGTTAACGGAGGCCATCGAAACTGGTTGGTAGGTTTTTTTATATAGATAGTTGACGCCCGGTTCTTGATGAGATAACTGGGCCAGGAGACTGAAACTGGTGTGATAGAAAACGATGCGTAGACAAGACCGGAATAACTCAGTGTGTATTGGAGAGAGATGGCAAGAAAAGAGACGGGTCCTGATGGTCTTTGAGTTTCCCATTTGCCTCCTGGCAGAACCTTCAGGCCCCATATCCGGGCCCGAGCACGAAGCCGAATGCTCTCGGTAGTCCGGTGGTGAATGTGGGCCCGTGGGACCTTCCAGACGGCCCCACAAAGCCACCCGGTTCTTGGACTCCCACCGAAGAAAAAGGGGCTAGCCTAAAATGGAACTTCCCCACGATTTGACGCTGTCAGCTTCAAGATGGTCAGGCCAGGGGGCTGAGGTCAAATATCAGGGGTGATGAGGCTCCCGAGTCGGGCCTTGGTGTTCGTCACCTTGGCTTTAACTGCGCAGTCTGAAACTTCTGCCTCGAACCACTTAAGGACTTCTCTTCGTTCCAAACCTTTGACCCTGCACCCGTCAGAGCCAATATGATTCTCTGCCCACACGTTTTCGGGAAGAGTTTCCTACGTGGTTTTCTGGCTCAGTCATCCCATCAAGAACCGAGCTTCGACTATATCAAAAATCAATGCCAATGCATCATAACATCATTTCCCAACACCAACACAGTGGTGTCTCAGGTGGACGACCATAGTTGACACACAGCGTGCCCCATTAACCTACCCTGGAGACCATAGGACCGAGGCTAACCCTGACCCTATATTACCGAGCTTTTATAGCGCGTGTAGCCCCTGAGACCAGCCACGCGACGCGTCGGTGGGCCCTGGGGCCAGATTTATCTTGTACTCTACTCTAGCCGAGCGCGTCTTTTTACGCCTACTTAGGCGGTTGGCAGGACTACCCTGCAAGACGAAAAATATAACACGCACACACACACCCTGACCCTATACCGACCACTGATTTATAAGAGGTGAGCAAGGAGGTAATCTAGTATTATTCTACTAGGAAAGAATATCTTAAATTAGACTAGCCCCCTGAACACGTCTAGGCTTGGCTACATTTTTCGAGAATGCCAACATACTCAAGAACGCAGCCCTATCTACTGCCACCATTCCACAGCAGTTTCCCTCAGGGTGTTGGATCCGCAGTGAATCTCACCACCACGCATATGGTGGCTATAATAATCATCGACAAACGTGACGTTCATCCCAGCACGGGCGTACGCTTCTGTAACCGCTCGAGCGATGACATCGACACCGTTGATAATCGGGCCAAATGGGTTAGGACTCAAGTAGTGATTTCCAATAACAATGCCGTTGATGGGTGCCGGAATGAAGGCACCCAGTTGATATTCATCTTTGTGGACTGGGGGCCAGTAGTAGTCCAATCCATCAGGTCGGATCCAAGGTCCATACCCAGATTGGTCACGGTAGAGCGCAGGGACGTGGATGACATCCTCCCTGTCAAGAGGAATCTCGGACAAGAGAATATCGAGGTTGTAGTCGATCCATTTCTGGGCGTATCTGTTCACCTCGATAAACGTCTTGTTATCCAAGAGATTGGAAACGGACAAGTTCAAGAAAGGCGGCTCCTCGGCATCGAAACGTTCCATCTGGGGCTGGGCATCGAAGCTGATGGCTGACGCGTTGCCGTGGCCGGCAGCTTGAGCATCGCTTAAGATCTTGATGCCCACATCTGGACTGGCGATTCCAATAGTGAAGCCCAAGTCGTTGTCAAAAGGCAAGAATTGGACAAATTCATCGACGTGCCCGACTACCAACCAACCAGTCTCTAGGAAAAGGGCCGATTGCACTCCATTACCAAAAATGAGGTTCCGGACTGCTTGGGCTGGGAACTCTTCAAAGTGCTTGCCTTGAATGACTCGACCAGCTTTGTAGAGAGTGCCATCCTTGCTCCGGTGAGGAGGAATAGTCTCAAGGTTGCCGTAGCTGTTGATAGTATGGTAGCCAAACCCTGAAGATGAAAAGCCGATTCCTGGACCATCTGCCGGTTGAAACCCGCCGATGCCGGGGCCTCGAAGCTGTTCAAAGACTTGACGACCACCAGTTCGAGTGGACTGCGCTGATCGAAGCATGATTCGGATAGCAATGGGGCCATTAGGGCCTGGCATGCTGGCATAAGCTGGCTCAACAATATCCTGGGCCCAGATATCAGAGGACTGATTGAACAACCACAGAGGGTTCTCAATACCGGCGACAGAGCGAGCATCATCCAGTTGTTGAACAAAGTACTGCTGAATGGGCTCAGAGTCGTTTGCGAATGTGCTGACGAGTGTCTCGACACGCTGGAGCGGGTGATGGGTAAGGACTGGGGCCACCTTGAGAGCGACTGAGTCGCGAACATAGTCTTTGGAACCAGGCGTGTTGTATACGTCAAAGTGGACGGTAACATGGCCATCCCAGACTTCAGCCTCGGTAACAAATTCGCGGCCGTCGATTCCGAGAACCAGGCCATCTCGCAGCTGGGTTGCGTTGAAGTTGAGCTGCTTGTTCACCAGCCTCCAAGAAGTTGTCGAGTTTGGTTGCTGCGCATCTTCCAAATAAAAGATACGGACCCTTTCATATGCTTCGCGAGGAGTAGCGTAGACATGCGCGAAAGCATCATCCGATATGTTGGCAAGAGGGACAGTCCTGAGAGGAGCAAGATACTCTGGAGCAAGCAGAAGATGGCCTGATGCGTCATTGCACCAGGACAGCTCCTCGTTGCTCAAGGGTATTCCGTTGCGATCGGTGTTCAAACAACGCAACTCTTTGTCACCAACATTGGGGAGAAAGATGGCGCCTCTCGCATCGCTCCAAACAGCCTTGTTGACTGCATCTGAGTCGCCTGCCAGATCAACCACGCCATCACGGTTCGTGTCCGCTCGGATGTCCGGGTTGATCAGAGCGCAGTGTGTAACGAGAGGCTGTAGACTGAGAATCAGCCCAGTCAGAGAAGGGTGTCTCATGGCGGTATTGACGATAATTGACTAGGATATTGGGGGTTCGGTTGCAAAGATCGACTGAGGCTGGCGTTCTTCTAACCAACAGTGTCTTCTTTCATTCTGACTTTATAGACCGCGGCCACAGAGCCCTCATGGCTTTGCATTTGAGGGTTTGCTGTGATAAGCTTACACCCAAAGCCACAGGGTTTCGATTATCTGTTGAAAGCTCCTCGGGAAGAGATAGGTTCCATCTTACGCTATCGATTTTCCTCCAAAATTATGACAAACAGATTTATGAAACACATAATAGTAAATCCTGCCTAGCGGCGAAGATTAGAATGGCCAGCTCTATCGGACCCCCTGGGTGCCTTGTTGGTGGGGGCTGACATTATAGGCGAGGTTCAGAGGTTCTCCGCCCTGAACGAGAACAATCGACCGAGCCAGATCTTGCCGGCGATTCCAGCGAAGGCCTCGGAAAAGATGACATTAGCCCAAGGTATTGGGTGAAGAGACCCCTAACAACGCTACGGTTAGTTAGTTTTGTGCTTATCATTGAGAACGTTGAGCTCCGAATTGAGTTCTTGCTACGCATCCTGTGAAAAGACCCCTTGTTTGTACTGGACCTTGATTCTCTCATTTGAAGCTCGTGGGATAAGATAAGCAGGGGGCATGATCAACTATTGTCAAGGCTACGGTATGCAGCTCATGTCAAGGAACGATTGATGGATGATTAGGTCCAAAGGTCCCCCCCGGCCGAGCCCTCATGAGGGGAGTGTGTACTAGCTAGAGGGTCTACGGAGCCCGATTTCACATACTAATCCCTGATAATTGCATCAAGCGGACAGGGGGCTCACTCCCTCGTGCTGATAGCTCCGTCTTCCTCCTTCTTCCTCGTTGTACCCCAAGTTCCGTGACTTGGGCCCTTGACAACTATTCTATTGCTGACCGTATCTCCGCAAAGATAGGTACCTATCTCCGCAAAGAACAAGCTAACTGACATGTTCATGCTTTAAAAGCACAGGGGTATTGGCACTGCCTTCTGTTTGGTCAACCAAGTCTTGGCATCGTCATACCCCAACCGAGTGTCGGCTGGACATTCCTTCCCTGTCAATTGGTGGAACATGGTTGATAAGTGTCTTGCATGTCACAGGTGTATGGCCCGAAGGATTATTAAATGCCCCCCGTTGTGGGCGCATTCGCTTCATCGATTTCGGGGCATCATGTCTTATCGCCTGGATATGTAGAGTAAAACTCAATTACCCCAGTTTGATCTGCAGAGAACTGCAGGGGAGCCACCATCTCGCTTCCGAATCTTTGGCTGTCAGGAAATATCCTTTGGGGCCGGCTGCTTTCCTGTATCTCCCAGATAACAGGCGGATAAACACCCTTCTTGCTTTTACAGGTAGATTTTGAGAAGTTCCTGTTACGTATCACGATGTTACCTCGAATGAGATGCGAGAGCCAAGGCTTCACTACCGCCAACACGTTTCTCTTACGTATCGTATCTGTCCAGTTGTGGGGGACCTATCTCAAGCTTCTCAAGATGTGGCTCAGTATTCCGGACTGAATGAGGCAGTTGGTATCATGGTGATGAGGCGAGAGCAAGCTTATTACTCAATGCGTTTACTGGGTTGTTGGATCGCAAGTTATATCTCGACCATCCACCCTCGAGGCAATTTCTTCAATCGGCGGATCTTCTCATTGGGCATTCAAAGTATCTCGCTATTCTTTGTGTCCGTGCTGACACTTTGACAATATGACGATAATTTGCACAATTCAATCAATCTTTACCTTGTGTCTTGTCAATTTACTCCTGTTGACTCCTCAAGGTGTACAGGTAGGTGTATCTGATCAGCTGGTTTCTGCTTTTTGATATTGACGATTCTGTGGGCAGAGTCTCAGCACTGTTGAAGCTTCCATCTCCGAGTTACAGGAGGCATTGACCTCGGGTCGCATCAATGCAGTTCAGCTCCTGGCGAAGCATTTGAATAGAGTTGCTCACTACGACCGGAGAGGTGTGCATCTCAACGCCATTCCCGTACTCAGTATCAATGCTTTTGAAGAAGCACAGGCCTCTGATGATTGGAGAGCTGACAACAATGGTTCTATCCGGTCTCTCATAGAAGGCTTGCCCTTTACCGTCAAGGACAGCTACATGGTGAAGGGATTGCCTGTCGCCGCTGGTTCACCTGCATTCCAGAACCTCACGGCACACGATGATGCCTTTGCAGTCGAGGTGCTTCGCGCTGCTGGAGGTATCGTCTTGGGCAAAACCAATATGCCTCCCATGGCTAACGGAGGCATGCAGCGAGGGTTGTACGGAAGAGCAGAAAGTCCTTACAACCCAGAGTATCTTGCGGCTGCTATGGGTTCTGGCTCTTCCAATGGCTGCGGCGTCTCCACTGCTTCCAGCATGGCTGTGTTCGGCATGGCCGAAGAAACCGTCTCATCAGGGCGATCCCCTGCATCCAACAACGGACTTGTGGCCTATACTCCCTCAAGAGGCATGCTCTCAATTCGGGGTAATTGGCCTCTATCTCCATCGGCAGATGTGGTGGTGCCTCATACCAGAACGTTACATGACCTTCTCGCCGTGCTTGACGTTTTGTTTGTCCCAGATAATGAGACAACTGGAGACCTGTGGAGGTCACAACCCTTTGTTCAACTTCCAAACGTCCAAGATATTCGACCCAAATCCTTCCTGTCACTCGCAAACGACTCCTCCATTAGAGGGAAGCGTATTGGCATTCCAAGCATGTTTCTCGGAAAGAGAGATGCCGTGTCTCAACCGGTGTACATTCATCCATCAGTCATTGATCTCTGGGAAGAGGCCCGAAAGACACTGGAGTATCTTGGCGCGACAATCGAAGAAGTCGATTTCCCGCTAGTCAGTAACTTTGAGGTTGCCCCGACTCGAAATGAGGTCAACAGCGATTATCCTCTTCCGGCCTATTACAATGGCAGTTCCGGCCCCGCGAATTTTGGTGCTCTGTCCTGGGATGACTTTCTGCACTACGTCAATGATTCTTCAAGCGTTGTCCAACTTGGCGATGTTGATCCAGCCCTCATCTTCCCTCAGATCCCCGGAACACTCCCTGACCGATACGGAAACACATTCAACAACCGAACGAGTGGTAATGCCGCTGCGGTCGAAGATGCAAAGAACAGGAGAGGCCCAATTGTAGAAGTCCCTGGCTTCAGCGAGTGGCTTCATTCTCTTGAGGATCGCAGAAAGAGGGATCTCGATGACTGGATGGACAAGAAAGGTCTTGACTTTCTTGTCTGGCCTGCCGCGGGTGATGTCGGACGCGCAGCCGCCGAAGTGGACGAGCAAGCTGCAGCCTTGACCTGGCGCAACGGTGTTGCTAGGTCCTTGGGCAATTTTGCTATTCGCCAGCTTGGAGTGCCTACCGTCACGGTCACCATGGGTACGATGAAGGACACACAGATGCCGGTTGGTCTGACCTTTGCGTCCAAGGCTTACGATGACGTGTCTCTTTTGAGTTATGGGTATGCCTTTGAACAAGCCCATGTCTCGCCTCGTTTTGCACCCCGGCGTACACCTCCCTTGGAGACGGATCAGATTCAGTACGAAGAGAGGCAAGAGCCTACCCAGGGTAAGGCAGCCCCCGATCTTTCTGCTCATGGCCAACGCGTTGGAGTAAACGCTGTATACATCAACGGTCGTGTTGCATCGCACGACGGACACGAAGAAGAATCTTTGGACTTGGAGGTATACGTTGATGGTGTCCTTGCTTCAGCTCTCGTCGTTGGAGCAAACCAAACCTGGTCCGTCACGGCAAACATCACTGAGGAGTTTTCGGGAGTCTCACGGTTTGGGGAGATAAACCACCCCGATGCTAGCCTGGCAATGGTGGTAGTTATAGCAACCGCCTCCAGTGGCCGCTCAGCAGGAAGACTATTGTTTGTCTAAGTATAGTAGCATGGCTGATATCGCGTGCAAGTTGCGCTTGTGGAGGAAGGAAAGGGCACCCAGACCGCCTGGGATTATCACCAACCTGGGCTGGTTGTTTCTGGTGGACTCAAGAATGGTCGAAGGATCTGGCAAATTCTGGACGAAATGTGCCTAGATGAAGTGAAAGTGTATCATTCTCGAGGCAAGTCTAATTATATGGACTCTTCTGCCCACAAAGACAAAGCACAATCATAGACGCACCTGGGCAACTGCCGTGTTATCGCCGACCAAACCAACTTGGAAGTAGTTACCTGATAAGCAATAGCAATATATATTAAAGAGATGAATAATAGCAGGCGCGAGGAATTATAAACTATTAAGACCTCTGTTCCAGATGCATCTACCCCTAGAAATTATCTAGATCATGGGAAAACTCATTCGAGACGCGAAGCGAATTACAAATCACGTGAGTGGAGTCATTGGAGGCGCTGATTGGGGGCATTAGCAGCCAATCAACTGACCTGGATTTCGGCGGTCTGTGCTAGACCATAACAAGCTAGACACTACGGAATCTTGCCCGGAGAGCCTCTCCGCTCTACCCCGCACTTCCCCAGAGAAAGCAGGAAAGGGATAGCGCGGGTAAAGTACTTAAGCTACCTTAGTCAGTGGCCGTGTTTATGAATATTAGTGCTGGGCCTTCCCCTCTTTACTTCTTCCTTTTCCTCTTACTTCTTATTCTATATGTACAATAAAATAAAAATAAAACTAGGACTCTTATATTCTATAGTCATCATCTTAAGGCCGCTCGCTGCCACTTATCCTTCCTCTCTTATTTCCCCCCTATTTCCCCCGTTCGCTCTTCTACATCCCCTCTCGCGTAAGCGAGCCGATTCACCCAGGCCTTCTCAAAAGATAGACGGACTGCCGCTATATCCATGCCACCCAGAACTTACTCATACTATGACAGAAGCTTTTCAAAGATTAAGCATCTCAAGCGTCATGAGCGCTCGCGTAAGTAGCATTTATCTTGCTCAACCCACCCAGTCCGTGGCCGCCTTTGCAGCAAGTCGCTGACGAGTCTGCCAGACACGGGTAAGAAGCCCTTTAAATGCCGAAAATGCCACAAGAGATTCTCACGAGGGTATATTATGATAACCTGGCCTTGCCTATGGGCGTCGACGCTAACTGCTATATGCGACGTATAGAGACGTTCTGAGTCGGCATCTAAAAGGACACGGCGACAACGACAAAGGCAACCAAAACGCCTCTAAATCAACCCGGATGCGGTTGCAAGAGAGGCAGCACGACCATGAGTCTCCAGCTAGCAACACCGTCGTCATGTGGCCCTTGGGCTCCGCGTCTTCGCCCTCACGCTCGTCCCGTCACAGCTCTCAGCCGCCCAGGGCGGATGAGACACCCGCTGGCACCAACAGTGCCCCGAACAATGCCTTTATCTCTAGCACTAACGCTTTAGATCCCAGAATTATCATCTCGAATGCCCAGGAAATCCCTATTGCTCCGAATCCCGAACCTTCCGCCCAGGCTGACCCCGACTTCTCTTTTTCATACGCCATGCCGCCCATCTCAGAAGATTCCATCGCCGATCATGAGTTCTCCAGTTCCATAGCTCACAGCCAAGCCGAACCCGATATGCGTATGAGCAACAGTATGGATTCCGCGGCCCACATGAGCTTCCCCAACGAGACGCAACCCGCAACCACTTTTCAACGCGACAGTCTACACGGCTACGACACTAGTGCTATATCGGACCAGGACCTAGGCCATCTCCTGGGGTAGTATGCCGACAGAACATGGCCGCCCGCTGAACCGGACTGGCTCCCCGGCTTAGACACAGATTTGACGATGCCAAATCTCAACTAGCGTAGCTGGGGAAACAACCCCTTACTTAGCTTCGATGTCACTGCCCTTTCGGATCATCCTACGAAGAGGAGGAGGAAGACTGCGAGCTTCACATCTAAGATCCCTGACGAGCGATTTGCTGAGATGGCCCAGCTATGGCCCAAGAGGGGCGACCAGCCCTGGCGGCTTATGCAGACGCTATGGTCAGATTCTGTCTCCCACAAAGGCAGCAATCTCTTCTCTGATCCCGAGTATTCCAACGACTCTTATATTGCCGCTGGTCCCAAGTCGGCTAAAGGTAGGCTCGACGAACAACGACGGATAAGCATGAGTCAAGAGTACGGGGTGGAGTGCCCTTCAGTGGTAATACCCGCGCAGAAAAGCTTGGGTGATTTATTGAGGTGTGCTGATTTTTCTCACAACAGGCACGATTATCTCAAGAGATGCGTTTTCCCACGCTTGACATACTGGAAATATGCATCGAAATCTACTTCCACAGATTCCACCCGCTCATGCCGTTTGTCCATAAACCGACTTTCTCCCCTAAACACAGTCCGAACATGATTGTGTTTCCTATATGCCTAATTGGCCTTTTTCACTTGGACCCGGCAAAGACTCGTGGCTTCGTTGCTAGACACTTATCAGTGAGTTCATGACCAATATTGTTCTTTCCATATCGTCCACTCTACACCCGAGACTACAGCACGTTAACATTCCGCCTCAGAAAGTGATGGAAAATTGTACTACTCTTCTCTCCAAGCCGTGGTCGAGATCCGATTCTAGGTCATTGCTTGTCGTCCTGGCATCATCTACGTTAGCGCTGTCATGTGCAGCTGCCATGGAGGTCTGTACACGATCATCGTGGCCGACTTGGGGCGCAAAGTGCTCTAACATAAGAGTAGGAACGTGTCCATTCTGAGCAGACCCACGCACTTTACTCCAAAGTTCTCTCGGTACGTTGGCTTTGCTCGTCTGTATAGTGCGCCGGTGTCTAACCATGGACGACTTGAAACAGGTTGCACAGCAGAATGGTCTCTTTGAGGCTGGCAGAGGGCAGCCGATTGCTTCGATGCTCCCTCAAGGAAGGTCAGACGACCAAGCCTGGAAGGCTTGGGCAAGAGCTGAGTCAACAAAGAGGTAAGCCCACTTGCCGGGCTGACACGGAGACTGTCTGTCATGTACTCTGACGTGATGGAGTTGTTCAATCAGAGCAGTGCTGATGTGATGGTATTTTCTCAGATTGATCGCCTGCCTCGTCATGGTGGACTCGTTTTTCTCTTCAGGCATGAGAGCCCACCCCATAATCCGCCTAGACACGATGCGCTTCTATACCCCGTGCTCAACATCACTCTTCGAAGCCCCTGACGCGACTCGGTGGGCGCAGCTGGACTCTGCCGGCCAGTGCATGAAGCCCAGCATGCTGAACCTTCGACCCAACCAGACCTTCCTACCAGCAGACGTCCCATTGAGCTCGATCGGCCTGTACTCTCTCTTATCGGCCGTGTGGCTGCGGCTTACTGACGTGAAATGCCGACTTTCCCCACAGGACCCAACACCGATCCTCATTCCAGGAGAGCTATACCAGAAAGATGAAGCCGGGGTGTTGCTGGTGCCACTATTGAGAGACATCTACACGGCATACAAGGCCGATCTGGTGCGGAGCAATCCAAACAATGTCTTGTTTTGGCATGCCATGTGTATCAGCCTTACGACCAACATGGACATTTTGGAGATTGCTGCTGGGCGTGATGGTATCAATGCTGGGAAAGAGGCACTCGAGAGGATCGCAGGCTGGGCGCAGAGCCCCTCAGCAAGGCGGGCGTGTCTGCACGCAGCCCACATCTACGCAGCCATGTCAAGGAGAAAGGTCAGCGACGGGACCACGTTCCTGTCAGAGGATGCAATCTTCAACGCCGCGCTTGTGCTTGGCCTCTACCTCCTGGTCGGTCCGGACTCGCTGCAGGAGGACGGTGAAACAGAGCCGTTTGAGCTGTTGGATGACATCGACTGGAACGGGCTTGCTGAGGAGGGTTTTGCCGGCTACGTGCCCTCGTCTTCTAACCGAACCAAGAGCTCGCCCGCCGTCCGATTCGTGTCTATGGGCGGACCTGTTTCTTTCAGCAGCATGGTACTTTCGGGGGGGCTCAACTCAGCCAGGAGAGTGCTGGTCGGCTTCGTGAGTCTCCTAGAGGAGGTGGGAAAGTGGAAGGCGGAAAGCTGTGCCACATACTTCGCCTCATGAGCGACAGCGTGACTGATCTCTGAGTTTAAAGGGCTCCTGATACTAGCTGCTCGTTTATTGCACACGCATAGAATCATAGTAGGCTCGAAAGTCGGAGGCTGAGTTATGGTGGAGGTAGGGCAGACGGAACGAGTTAGGCGCTGCATCCTGGCGAGGCCGAAACCATAGCAAGTCTGCGAAGGGCGCATTAGAGTCTCTCGACTTAGCCATCAAGACGTTATTGGTAGAGGGGTCGATGTGTGACACCAACATGGCGTTCTGCGAGGTGAACTTGGTCAAGTCATACTATTTGCGGATCAGTCGATGGGACGCACCCCTGGGTTATCTTGAGGACAGGCAAAGCAAGCAGTCGTTCTGGTTGTTGACTTTATGTGAATGAGGTGATAGATCGGTCAAGATAGAGAAGGTAGAGCATATTTGAGATTCCACGGGAAGGAATATGGAGGTAGATCAGCGCAGGACGTTTGAACGTGGGGCTGCCATCTTTCATAGAGCATGTACAGACACAGCTACTCTACACGGTTCGCCCTCAAGCAGCAGTTCCAAGCTCCCGAGGCAACAGCCGGTGAACCACTTCAACACTCCGTGCATGCCGGACGGACAAAGTTACGGGGCATCTAGTACTAACTTTAACTTTGCGGGGTAGCTCAAGCTCCCCTGAGAACGACCCCACGTCCGTACCACACGCACGTGGGGCCCATTTTCTTCTCCCACGAACGCCGCTGCAGAAATACCATAACTACTTCCAGCTGGGGCTCGTATTTTACTGCAGACGTATGTTTTTATGCTGAAAAAGGGTACAAACTGAGATATATTGAAAAGAAAATACTCTACAACATGCCTCAGCGTGATTTTCAAGGAAAAGTTGCCGTGGTTACAGGAGGAGGCAGCGGGTAAGGCCCATCGCCGTCCTTTCACCTTTGTCCTGATTATTGACGAGACATAGATTTGGTAAAGCTTGCGCGAAGCTCCTGGGGTCACAGGGGTAGGTCTAGACATCTGCTACGCATCCACACCCTCCAACTAACCGGAGATCTTCATAGGAGCCTCCGTTTTTGTAAATGATGAACGCAACGGAGGCAAGGTAGGAACCGTTCTTGGCATTTTCGTTTCTTTTTCGCGGTTATGGCTATAGTCACTAACAGTTTGGTAGGATGCTTTGGCGGCCGTCGAGTCGATTCGAAGCCGTGGTGGCACTGCAGTAGCGAACGAGAACAGTGTCCTGGCTGGTGATGCCATCATCGAAACCGCCATTTCCGCCTTTGGGTCGATTGACATCTTGATCAATGCAGCCACTTATACTCCACAAACGGGAAGCATTGCCGATGTCAGCAGCCTTGACTGGGATTTGTCAAAAGACGTTCAAATCAAGAGAAGCTACAAGGTAATCAAGAGATCGGCGCCATCAAACAAGAAGGTTCCGGGGGGGCTGACTGTAAGACACAAAGACCACCAACGCAGCCTGGAAGCATTTTAGAGCGCAGGGATATGGCCGTGTTGTTAACGTGTCGTCCCTCGCTGCTCTTCATGAACTCCCACAACAAACTATTGAATGCAGTGAGTTGATCCTCGCTCTCACTTGGTCGGTTCGAAAACCCTCTAACAAAGACTGCCAAAAGCGGCCAAGCATTCACAAATTGGCTATAGTTTCACTCTCGCCAAAGAAGGCGCCAAAAAGAACATATTTGTCAATGTCGTGTTCCCTGTCGGCATGGAAGGTGCGGTGTTTCTCTCGGAGCCGAGGAAAAAAGATGACTGACATGTTATCTCTCAGGTGGAACTACTGGCCACGAGGCATCTGCTGCTGCCTTCGTCTCGTTCCTGGTCCACGAGCAAAACAAGACAGAGAACGGAGGCGCTTATGAACTTGGAGGTGGTCGAGTTGCTAAGCTGCGCTGGCAGAGATCGAGCGGTCTGTTGCTACGCGCAGACGATTCCCTAGGACCTGAAGCTATCATCAAGGGGTGGTCGAGAGTGGTGGATTTTGAGCGACCAGAGTATCCATCGGGTCCCAACAAGTTTCTGGATCTTCTCAACGTTGGTCTGAAACTGCCTGTCGAAAAGGATTCAGCATCCATTTCTTTCAAGGACAGAGCCGTCCTGATAACAGGTGCTGGCTCAGGGTGAGCTCTCCAACCCCCAACGTCCCCTAGCTCCCTAGATTATCTAATGAACTGCTCAGCCTCGGACGTGCGTATGCGCTACACCTTGCTCGACTTGGCGCATCCGTCATGGTCAACGACATCGCGGATCCCTCAACTGTTGTCCACGAAATCCACCAAATGGGAGGCATCGCCGCTGGGACGGTGGGCTCTGCAGAGGAGGGCCAGAAGCACGTGCAGGCTACCATCGAAGCCTTTGGGAGGATCGATGTGGTCGTCAACAACGCAGGCATCTTGCGAGATAAGGCGTTCCACAACATGAGTGAATCCATGTGGGACTCTGTTCTCTCTGTCCATCTTCAAGGAACCTACAACACGTGTCGCGCTGCGTGGCCGCACTTTGTCAAGCAGAAACACGGGCGCATTGTGAACACCACCAGTGTGACCGGCATCTACGGCTCGTTTGGCCAAGCCAACTACGCTGCGGCTGTAAGTACCAGTAGGTCCTATGCATCTCTGCAGGAGGCGATGTTAACACGCCTGACTTCTTAGAAATCAGCCATCATAGGCCTCACACGGGCGCTGGCTCGTGAGGGCGCTCAGCACAATATTCTAGCAAACGTCATTGCCCCTAACGCTGGGACAAACATGACCAAGAGCATCCTCAGTGACGAAGTGTCCAAGGCACTCAAGCCGGACCATGTGGCACCTCTTGTGTCTGCTCTCTCTGGCGAACCAGCCCCTTCTGACCCAACAGGGGGAGTCTACGAGGTGGGTAGCGGCTGGTTTGGCAAGACGCGGTGGGAGAGGCAACCCGGCTGGTCTCTTGTAACGGATGGCACAAGTCTCGATGGCATTCTGGCCAAGTTGTCAAGCTTTGCCGTCTCTCAGCCTACGTACCCTACCAGTTTAGAAGACCACATGCGTATTCTATCCCGTGAAGCGTCTGATTCCCAGGTAAGTCTACATCTCTACACTTTTCCACAGCACAAGGAGCTCAACTGAAGCGTGACAGTCCTTCTCTGCCGCGAAGGTCCTTGCAAACATACGACTACCTAAAGAAGCAAAGCCCCAAGGATCCATTTACACTTACACTGAACGCGACTTGATCCTTTATGCCCTTTCTATTGGTGCCCATCACAGCAACCTCCCGCTCGTCTGGGAAGGCCACAAGGACTTCACGGCTCTGCCAGTATTCGGACTCATCCCCTTCTTCAACGCAAAGCTCCCATACAAGATGGAAGACCTCATGCTCGGCTACGACCAACGCATGCTCCTTCACGTGAATCAGTACCTGGAGATACGCTCGCCTATACCCCCATCGGGAAAGCTGCGCACGTTCCCCAAGCTCATCCAGGTCGTCGACAAGGGCAGAGACGCCATGGTGGTCCAGGGCTTCACGACCGTTACGGACAAGAACCAAGAGGTCTTCTTCAACGAGACCACCGTGCTTGTCCGTGGATCAGGCGGCTTCGGCGGCGGCAGTGTGCTCGCAGACCGCGGGGCCGCTACGGCGAGAAATAACCCGCCCTCGCGAGCGCCGGATGTCATGGTCGAGGAGAAGACACTTGAAGGACAGGCTGCGCTGTACCGACTCAACGGAGATCTGAATCCCTTGCATATTGATCCCGAGTTCAGCCAGAAGGGTGGCTTCAAGGTGCCCATTTTGCATGGGCTCTGCTCCCTCGGCATTGCTGGGAAGCATATCTTCCAGTCCTACGGGTCATACAGGAGTGTGAAGGCCAGATTTACAAGCGTAGTCCTTCCTGGGCAGACCTTGCAGACCGAAATGTAGAAGGAGAATAACAAGATCGTCTTTCAAGTCTTGGTAAAGGAGACAGGTAAGAAGGCTATTAGTGGAGGCGCAGTAGAGCTTGATTCGCGAGGAGCTTCTTTTTTGTAGATTTGAACGGCTGATAGAAAGGCTTACTGGTGGTTTTGCGACTGTGAACTTGGGATGAATAGATTCTATAATCATATCCTAAGTTTCAACTTTAACAGGTAAACGCTGTCTGTTAATTGAACGTGATGGGCAAACATGGATCTAAGTAATGTGCCTACGGAGAGGTAGAGTCTTGCCGCCTTGGCTTAGTTAGGCCTAGCCACCTGGTCCATTGTCACGACGATGATGCGGATCATGTCACACGGTGACTTTATTCTGAGAGCTATCACGAAGAGTGCAGATGCGAGCAAGGAAAACTACAGCCTTACATTGGCTTCTAGGAGTGGATGCAGCTTGCATAATGCTCAAAGTGATAATATTCGTAATTCTCCTAGATTGACGATCACCAAAGCTACATCTTAGATGCCACTGGACTTTTGTAGTAGTGAAAGATTTGGGGGTTGCAAAAAGACAGGAGGCCGTGCCTCCCCCATTCACCGCCGACGCCCGACTCCTTGTGGCCCGCCAGATAAGCTTGAGGAAGAGGTTTCTCAAAGCTGTTGATCCAAACAGTCCCGGCGTGGATGCGAGATGCGATCCGGTGTGCCAGGTCAATGTCGGATGACCAGACAGCTCCCCCAAGGCCAGTCGGTGTGTCATTCACGCGAGAGATCAACTCGTCTTCGTCTGACCATGACAGAACCGGAACGATGGGTCCTGAGAAAAGGCAATTAGAGCTTCTGAATGGTTGATTTCCAAAGATGGATGTATCAAACGTACCAAACGCCTCGGCTTTGACAACAACAGAATCGTCTGGGGGGTTGTCAACGATGGATGGGGGGATAATGAAGCTTGAAGCGTCGGCTGGGAGCTGCCCGCCTAGAGCAAACTTGTATCCCTTGTCTATGGAATCTTTCAGAATGGATCTCACCACGTTGTATTGCATCTCATTCTGCACAGGACCCAACATCACCCCGCCAGGCGTAGATGGAGACCCAACTTTCCACGACTTAACCACCTCGACCATCTTAGTCAGGAAAGCATGATATATATCCTTATGGACATACACCCGCTTACTAGCGACACAGAGCTGGCCCGAGTTAAAGAATGACCCAAGAGCCACCTGGGGGGCGACAAGATCTATATCGACATCCGGAAAAATAATGCTAGCACTGTTACCTCCCAGCTCAAGGGTGATGTTCTTCAGGCCAGAGCTCGCGCTAGCCATAATCTTCTTACCCGTGGCCGTCGACCCAGTGAAGCTGATCTTCTGGATGGCCGGGTGATTACACATCCTCGGCCCCAGATCATCGCCTCCGTGCATAGCCTGGATCACGCCCGCGGGGAAAATGTGGCGGATTATCTCGGTGAACTTGATGATGCTGTAGGGGGTATATGGAGACGGCTTTGTGATGACGCAGTTGCCCGCGAGCAAGGCGGGGACAATCTTGCCGACTGCGAGGACGAGAGGGTAGTTCCATGGGCAAATAGCGCCCACGACGCCGATGGGGCCATAGGTCAACGTGAGGCGAAGACTATCGTCGTCCTGGATGATTTCTGGCCGCGGTTGCGACAACGTGGCTATCGGATGAACTCAGGTTAGGATACGGCGTACGGAAAATGCGATCAGGAGTTCATACAGTAAAAGTTGAAAAAGTCGAGAGCGTGCTGGACTTCGAGATCCCCAAATTGCGGTGGTTTTCCGCCTTCAAGAGACAGCAACTGAGCAATACTCACCCTATGCTGCTCGAGCAAGATTTTTGCCTGGCCCAGACATTGCTGCCTTTTTTCCCACGGAGTCGAAGACCACTTTGTCGAGGCCTCTTGGGCTGCAGAGACAGCATCCTCTAGGTCCTGGGCTGTAGCGATGGGGACGTCCCAGAGGGGCTCACGGGTAGAGGGGTTAATCCCGTGTCCCAGATGGGCAGACGATCGAGGAACTCCCGCAATCACGTTGCTGAAGGCGTGGAAGTCGACGGTACTCATCTTGGAGGGAGATGGTGGGTGGCGTTGCTCGTGGATGATGAGTGTATCGTCCTGATGGGGCTCATCTATGATTAATAAAGTACTCGCCCAGGCTCTCGTGGGAATATGCCAACTCATAGACCACACCACACGGACCCTAGGGGTGATCTTGAACTTGAGCAGTGGTGGGACTTGGGAGAGGTCTTGGTGTGGGGAGCTAGAAGCCCCACATTGAAGTGTGGACTGAACATGGGGTCCTTCTACGACTCTCAAGCATGGGTCCCACGTCCAGTCAGTCTCTACCCTTGAATGGCATACGTGTCCAGGATTTTGCAAGGGCGTTAGTCAGAGTCTGACCTTGGAAATGACACCAAGTGCTACTGGTGTCAACGCCCTAATGTCATCTCGCCTATGGGGTGTCAGGCATTTCTCGACAATAACTAAGCGTGATAGCCCATACCAACAGCATAATAACAAGATTTTAATACAAGAAGAATGATAACATGTATTTAAAACCAATCAAACTTATCTAATATCTCGGTACTCAGCGTCTCATCGCCCACGTTCTCCATTAGTCCTTCATTGGCGTGAGAAGTTAAGAAGGAATCCAGCGCCCTATCGTCACATGTCGACAAACACATTTCTGGAAAGTCGAGACTCTGCTCCATCACTACATCTAACCCCTCCAGGCTCAGTAGATCATCCATAGAGTCGCCCTCATTCGGAGCCTTCGCAAGATCGCTCCCCGGGGCCAGGCCAAGGGGGCGCGCTAAGGTGGTCTCCAGAGTGGCGGTTTCAGCAGCTGGAGGGTCTCGCGCTGGATGTTCTGGTTGAGAAGAGGCGGTTGTCAAATTTCCTTTTAACAAAGGCGCTGGAATTGGCTTCTCCTCGATATCTCGAAGTCTAGCGGGGAAGTCCTTCTCTTCAGGTAGGCGACCTTGACTAAAGCTGAGGTCCATTGTCACAGTGACTCTCAAATAGCACGTTGGATTTGAAGCCAGACAGCTCTCCCAAGATGAACTGCCCAAGGAAGTTCCTGGTAGCGCAGACTCCAGCAGGTGGGCTAGTTGCTTTTGTCCCATGATCAGCTTGATGGTCTCGGCAACCCACTCCACGCCGTCGTATAGGTACTCGTACGTCCGCATGGCCTGAAACAGGACGAGTAGCCTGGAGTCTTGGAACGAACCGTTGAGCCTGCCGTTAATCATGTGGAGGGCGAGTGGCAAGGCGGAGCAAGCGATTCTATGGTGGATGTGAGCTGCGCAGTAGCTACAGTGGCCTTTTTGTGAAATCACTTACGCGCTTACCGGGAGAAACCTTACGAGCTGTCGATCAACCAGTGTCTTTATGCACCAGCTGATCCCAGTTTGTGCGCTCTGGATATCTGCTCTATTTTTGTGTGTATCAGGCAGTTTGCTATGAGGAGTTTGCGTTTCTGCAAAAGCTAGCAGCTGGCGGTTGGCCAAGGCAATTCTCAGGGAGCTTTCGTCAAAGTCAGCTGTCAGGGTCTTTCTGTGCTTACATGAGCTGTAAGATCAACATACTAGTAGTAAATGTACATCAAGTTGGTAAAGAGTGTCACTGAAGAATGCGACAACTCACTGTTCACCGGCTTTGGTTTATCAGCCGGACTGGGGCACTGGAGCCACAACTTGGCCGTGTCGCACCACCCCGACAAGAAATATTTGAACGTTCCTATTATTTGCTTATCATCCGTCGTAGAGGCGAGAATAGCGTCTTCAGGAGCGCCATTCTCAAATGGGAACAGCAGCTTCGAAACATGCGCCATCCTGCGGCACAACTCGGCCAGGTGGAGGAAGGCCATGATAAGATACTTCTTGGTGGGCGCATCGTACACTTCAGATTGGTACAGTTCCGTCTCAAGATCCGCATACTTGAGGGCGAGCTTGACCTCGGCGTCGCGGTCTGCTGCTGCGATCTGGCAGCTTCGCCTCAGGGCGATGGACAAGGTACTGTCTCGAACGATACAACAACCCCAGAGACGCTTCAGTAAGCAGCGCCTCTGCTCTAGGGACTCATCCTTTATGACGGCAGAATCGAGCCCGGCCAGGTGGGCTTTGACAGACTTTGCGTTTTCGATGGCGATACTAAGCCACGTGGTGTTTGGCCTGCTGGCCGCCTTGGCGAACGGTGGAGACCAGTAGGATATAAGCAGTGCCGCTTGCGCGATATGGAGACGTGATGACTCGGACTCGAGATCGTAGAGGACTTTAGCTCGCTGGTACAGGATACGCCGGGCGACACGGGTGCTCGAGAAGCCCAGGCTCTCGAGGGTCTCGGAGGAGACGTGGGCGCTGGCCGCGAATATCATGGACTGGAAAACCAGCAGTGGCATCTTGGGGCCCAATCCTTGGCTGGTGCCGTAGTACATCTCCCAAAAGACGGCCTCGTTGATGAGCGGTAGGAAAGGGTGAACGTATCGAAAGTACTGCTTGACGAATTCGTCGAGATGCTTCCGCGCAGGGATCCGTAGACATCCCTTGAGTTCGAGGAAGTTGATGTCTTCTGGCAGCATGTCTGGTAGGTTTGAGACGACCACAAATGAGTACGCTGAGTACGGAACCTCGGCAGCAAATACCCTCCTTTGAGGGGTGCTCTGTCCAAAGGGACCAGAGTCGTCAAATTGACGTGGAGGCGGTGTGAAGACGTACGAATCACCTGCGTGACATGTTGGATATCGTAACAGAGAGGTGGGTATATCTGAACGGGTCATACCTTGAGGGGGCTTCCCATACTTGACATTATCTTCACAGGAAGCCATGCTCGCGCTGTCATCGATATGCTGGGACGTGCTTGTTGTCTGAGGATCATGAGTTGAATTGGCGTCATAGTCAGGCGGCTGACTATTACTTGGCTGGTTTCCGGGGTTCTCGTTCTCCCGAATAATCTTGAAGGTCGCAGGTTCGCTCGTCTTGGAAACACGCCTTTTTGGGGGTGCAAAACTGTCCATCAGCTTTCAGGCCAACAGCATGCGTGTGAAACATACCGGTAAGATTCTTTTTCTGGAATATGACAGGCCTCATTGTCTAAAGCACAATTCAGGCACGGCTTTCCGACGATGGAGACGTTGCATCTGACTTTGCGTCGCCGACAGACGAGACACGCCTTGGACGCTCGATTGCGTGTCTTTCTCCCAGGCCTTCCTGATTTGTCTTGGTCTTGAGAAGACATATTGATGAACTTCACGGTGTAAATGTGAGAAGCAAGGCCGAGTGATTTTCTTCGGTGGTGGGGAGGGCAGATATCAAAGCCTCTAACCACAGCTTCCTGTCCCGCATGACCAGCTGCTCATACGTGAACTGCGTCAAGCTAACTAACTTGGTTAGTTAATAGGCGTTGTTTCGAAGCTTCCCCACATCCACGGCACACTCGGACAAGATCCCATCCCATCTTGCGGGGCCCCACGATTCCCCACACGCATCCATGACTGTCTACAACCATTATCCTTGTATCGGCATGAGTACAGCGCTTGCCTTTAGTCAGCACTGAATTGGGGAGGTTATCACAGGAGGGGTTCCTTGTGTGGAACGTGGCCTACGGATGGGCCCGGAGAGGTCTTCAGGCTTTTTGCGCCCTGCTGTGGTGCAAAGCGTCGCCAGGTTATCTCGAAGCTTGACAGCAGGCCCAGTCAGGTGTTGTTGAAGCGATGCGTGATGTGTCTTGTGGGGTTCTGCTGGTGCCAGACATGCCAAATGCAATTAGTTTGGACCGCTTGGCTCCCTCCTAGCGAGACTAGCTGCATCCTTCTGCCTGCCGTCTGACCATTCGACGCTTCTGTCAAGGCTAGCCAAGAGAAACACACCACGCTGGCAGCGTCGTCGAGACGAGTTTCCCTCACCACTCCATCTGAAGGGATGATAGGGAGCCAAACAGCCGTCAAGGAGTTACCGGGAATTTTGGACTTTCTCAATATGTTCGTTGTAGTTGAAGACTGGTGCAAAGTTTATGTATGGTACTCATTGAAGGGGTTTTCAGTTGAAGATCTGTTCTTTATTATAGTTGCAGCCCGGCCCTCGATGGGTTAACTGAGCCCGAAGATCGAAGAGGTTTTCATCTCTTCCCAAGCCTTTATCTAGCTAGACAGCCAATATGGATGCAAATTCTGTCGGTATGTAATAATTCAAGACTTGAGGTCGTAAGATTATATCCTTAGCATCGAATATTAACCATTGCAATCCGGAAATAGTTTCTCTACCATGCTATTAGGGTCTAGATTCTGTGTATCTAGGTTTGACTAAGAAAACATGAAAATCGAGCCTGAAAATCCCGACATTCCATAAACCATCACATCGTCTGATGGCATCCGTCTCTGCGTCACTCCTGTCAAGGAAACGAAGTACGTTTGAAACAACCTACACCTCTCAGGCAACGCTCGCCATGGTTATTGCTGTTTCACCATCAAGCGGCCTCAAGAGCTCTCGTGCTTCAGCAGCCTCGCGAAGGATCAAGTCCTTGATTTGTTGCGTTCTCGGGGTGAAGCGGGCCTTGAACTTCTCAGGGCGCATATTCTCGCAGTCCGAATGGGCGAAGATGTCGAGCTTCACTGGACGATTCTGAAAACTCATTAGTGTGACTATAGATGCATGGGTGATAGCTCTCGAGCAAACTTACGTTCTCGTCCAAGCCAGGTTGCATATTGAATGCCCAAATCATGCGTGCAATGGTGATGAATAGTCCCTGCTCGGCCAGCGGTTGGCCGCTGCACTGACGCCGTCCCCACCCAAAGGCATTGTGGCCCTTCTTGTTAGGATATGGCCTCTCCAGCCCATCCAGAAACCTCTCTGGTCTGAAGACGTCTGGCCGTGGGAACTCCCGCGGGTTTCTGTGTATAGCCCACAGGTTGCCAGTGATAGCGGTGTCCTTTGGAATGAAGTAGCCGTTGTATTCATCATCGCGGATGGGCGCGTGAGGAATACCGCCGAGAATAGTGACAGTACGCCAGCGGAGCGTCGCTCACCACAGCACGGATATAAGGTAGGTTCTCCTCATCCGTCCACTCGGGATAGCGGTCTTGGCCCACGACGCGATCCAGCTCCTCTTGCGCTTTGCGCTGCACTCCGGGGAACACGCACATGGCCAGGATAAGGGTTAGCGTGGAGCTTGTAGTGGTATCAACGCCACCGCCGATCATGTTGGCTGTGAGAGAACTGATATCCTCGTCGCTGATGCTGTGCTCCCGTTGGGCAACCAGCAAACTCTTTGAGAAGTTGTCCTCGGTGGAGTTGGCAGCTGCCTCCTTGGCCAAGGCTGCAAAGTACCTCTGCATATGCTTGGAGCTCTTGAGGATGATAGAAGGCAGAGGATACAGCCACCCTGGCAGCTTGGCGAGCCAGGGAACTGCTTCCATGATGTAGAGGCCGGGGACGACAAAGTTTACGCCCTCCATGAAGCTCAGAGCTACCTGTGCGACCGTGTCGTTAATCCGATCGATGCGACGACCCCATCCGAGGATGGAAACGACTGAGCACGAGTATCGCTCGATGGACATGTCAAAGTCGTCTGGGCTGAGCAACATGTCTCGAAGCAACACCTTGGACTCGTTGGACTGATGGGAGCGATGGTTTCGCACTGATTGGGACCCGACAATGGTATGCTATACGAGGCTTAGAAGGCAAAGAGGCACCAGGGGGGTCTAGGGAGAAACATACCATGAGGCGTCTGTGAAGCCTCCATGAATCACCGTATTTCTGGCAGACCTGGTTCGTCTCCGACATGTTCATCATGTCTCCCATGACGACATGATGTGGCCCGGAAGAGTAGATGGCGGCACGCTTGTCCAGCAACTCTGAGATTGACCAGATGTCATTGCAAATGATGACAGGTCGACGGCCATTCCAGATTGTGATCATGGAACTCTTATAGGTGTCCGACCATGTCTCCCACTCGATCCATGGTTGATGCTTTGGAAGCTGGAAGAAGTTACCCACCAGAGGCAGCGGAAAGGGCCCTGGTGGCATCTTTTGCCTTAGACGAAGGATGCGTACATAGTCTGCTGCGAGCCAGATGAGAGGTGATGCCAGTAGGGCTAGCAGACCATAGATATACAGAAAATCTTTGGACAACTCGGTCTGCTTCAGGTAGCTGGAGAGAGCCATTGTGAGCCGTGGATGATAATGGCAAAAAGATGGAACGATGTGAACGTGACCGGACTGATTTGTCCGGGTTTGTACGAGAACGAGACCTTCCGCCAGTCTTATATCTCATTCTGTAACCCCCAAGCATACAACGACTGACTTTCTCAACCGCCACCGAGAATGCGGCTTGCGGGGCCCTGCGGGGGGATCCCACGAAGGGTGTCGAGAAACTCCAGTCTGCTGACGAGTCTGTGGGGACCGCCACATCGGGGATTTCTCACTAGCCAGTTGGCCATCGTTGATTAGTAGTAGGCAATGTGGGAGTCTGGTTGATGATCGAGAGAGCCTGTGGTGGTTCTGGGTGGTGGGTTGCTGAGTTGGGCACCAGAGAGTGGTGGGCACAGCGAATATCTACATACAGGCCAGGCCACAAGGGCTGTGATATGGTTGCTAAGAGATGGGAATTCTTCTCCACCACTTCCGTGGAGTAACCCGATTGATTGAGAGCTCTTTTCATGTGAGATGATGCGATGAAATGAATGATGTGTTGAGTCTCTAACAGTGTATCTAACGAGTTTCACATCCACGTCCCAAGGAGAACGACTACAGAATGGGACCGATTTACGAAAAGTCCTCGTGCTCTACCACTCCCTCATATCTCTTCCAAACTCTGATTGGTGCTCAAGAAAAAGAGCCTACCACCTATTCGCATATGGCCCGGCAGCCTTCCCTTCGAGGATTTCTTTGCAGCATGCCTCGAACGTGATTGCCTCGAAATCTGGGTATAGTTTCTTACAATCAAGGTATCCGAGAAACTCAGCAATTTCTGGCGTATTGTCTCCGCGAACACCCATAGAACTCCAATACTGAGATACAATAGTCTCCCGATGATCGATAGCATTGTAAAACCAGTCTTCAGGCAGCGGCTTCGAAATGGCAACTTTCAGGTCTTCCGCAGACCTCTAGGGAAGGTGGTCAGACAGATCCCCCATCAAGAATATTAATAAATCACTTACGTAGCGTCGCTCAAGCTTCTCTTCACTAAGGTCCTCCAACAGTTTAAAGACCTGGTTCTGTGAGAGAACGTCGCCATACGCAAAAACCATTTTGTTTAAAGTCCTTGGGTCCTGTATGATGCGTGCAGTATAATTACCAACGTCCCTCATATCTGTGAGGGCGGAAGGAGTATTTCCGTCTCCAGCGATATATTCTACCGGCATGGTTACAGCATAGTCGATGTTTCCGGAGGGAAGGCGAGGAAGGCTGAGCTGATACCACCAGCCAACATCGATGACAGTGTAAGGAAGATGAATTTTCTTCACGTGTAACAGGGTTTCCTCTTTCTAATTTTTAGTTAGTTCTCAAATCCTTGTCAACTTAGTAGTCTCACTGGTCAATAACCTTACCAAGTATCGAATAGCCATGACGCCCTTGGCAGGTGCAACTGTAGCGAAAAAACAGGGAACAAACCGCTTCACTCCTGCTAATTTGGCCGCATTTGCAAGGTGGATTTGGTCCGGTAGTCCGGGCACAGAGATGGCCGAAATCAAGACATCCGTGCCACTAAGAACATTCACAAGTTCGTCTTCAGGGCCAGCCAGGTCGGCAGCAACAGTCTTGACACCCTTTTCCCTGATATTCTCAACCTCAGGCTTTTCAAGGGAAGCAGGGCGGATTAGGGCGGTAATAACCTAGACGAAACAAAGGTTAGAGCAAAAGAGAGGTAGAATAAATGGAATAATGCAAAGGGCGGGGGCTGCACCAGTTCCGGGATGTTAGACTGGAGGAGAGCATCAACAATGCAGTTACCGGTCTCCCCAGCGCCGCCAGCAATAGCGACCTTCATCGTAAATGCCTGAAAGTTGTTGGGGCTATAAAATGTCCTCCTGGCTTAGGACTTGCTTTGACAAATATGTCACTATTGGCAAGAAGACGTCCTTATATATAATCACTACTTATCAAGCTCTCGAAAGATCAACGTTGGGATTTATAATAAAAGAAACCGGATACGAAGTTTAATAGTTCGATTATAGATACCCCGCGTTGCGGAGCGGAGTTCGGACTTGTACTTGCAAGGTAGAGTAGTTACCGGATAGGGGAGGTATGAGGTGCCTGACTTAGATACTCCGGGGGAGTACCCTGTTGCTACAAGGCCCCCTAGTCACCTATTAGGCCTTTCCGCTTCTTCGCTATCAAGTGTAAACTCGACCTGGAACTCCGCTCCCCCTGCGGCCCGCTGGAGACGGACAAACTGAGTTCCTCCAGAAGTATCAGTGTCATTTCGCTTTAGGGTCCTCCCGCCATGAAACCTACAAGACGAGTCATTGCCTTGACTAGTAACCGTAAAATACAATAACCCGATGTTGATTGGGAGAAGGGCCAAGGTAGACTTTGGCTTAGGAGATCTGACGTGCGGAGCGGACTGGGCTTTCGGCTCACTGCGGACGCCGAAAGCGAAAGCGAAAGCGAAAGCGAAAGGTGAAAAGTGACAGTTGAAAGTGCACTCCCCTCTCCTTTGACTCTGTTTATCTCTTTCCCTCCTTCACTCGGATGTTGCCAAGTCACCATTGTCGCCGCCAGTGAAACCTCTCCCTCTTCACTGCGTTTCTGGTGCCTCCTTGAGATACAACCCTCCCGCCCGTTGGCGCGACTGTGGATTACACTTCCAGTATGAGAACGATGTCAGTCGCATGCTTAGACATACGGTAAAGGCTTTTCATCTGGTGTTTGGCAAAGTTGACAACGACAGGCAAATTAATTAAAAAGGCCAAGGATCTTTGGAACGAAGTCGATAATTGGAAGGCCTTCAAGTTGGTCTGAAGGGTAAGAACCGCCGCCTCTTCTGGACCTTGGCGATAAGCGAGTTGACATGTTATATATATTAATTTATTTTATTATACTACTTATCTTATTATACCTTAAGAATAAAAAGAAAAAAAAAATTAATAAGTAATTTTTTATTTCTAAATTATAAAATATTTTAAAAAAAGTTAACGTACGTGATAAGTAAGTGAAACATACAAGCAAGTGAAACAGAGGTATATCTACCTTAAAAGAGGAAATTTAAAAAACCCTAAAAATTTAAAATATAGCTTAAAATAAGTAAAAACTTAAAGTTATACTTATTACGTAATATATTATCTAATATTTATCTTGAAAAAAATCTAATTAAACTCCTTATAAGGTAGTATATAAAAACTATATTCACACTGTATGTCTAGCTATATCTCTATAAGGAATTTTTTTAAAAATATATAAAAATTCTTTTTAGATTATTTATAAATCTAGGATTATAAAAATACTTTTTATAAGTTTCTTACTATTTTATATAGAAAGTTAGGTTATCTAGGGTAGGTTAATTCTTAGTAAATTCTTAGTGCACAGTATGTTGTTTCACTTGCTTGTCTGTTTCACTTGCTTATCAAGTACGTTATAACTCTTTAATTAAAATATTTATATTTATTAATAAAACCATAGCATAGATAATACATACCCTAGAGACTCTTTATGATAATTATAGATATGCCCGAATTTTTTATGCTAACTAGTTAGATCGCACTGATCTTATCACGTGGAAAACTCAAATCTTATCCACGTCCAAGCGCGTCTTTGCTGTCTAAAACTCTGTCCTCCCACACGCCACCCCCACGATCTTGATCCAGGTCTGGAGAGAACCGACTTTCATACAACGACTCTGAGACTATGCTGTCAAACTTGGTCGCATTCGGCTTGCAGACGGGCGAGGCAATGGTCTGCATATTGGCACCATGTTCCGATTCGTGACGGATGACGTTGGAGGCGTGGGGGCGAAGCGCAAGAGGACGCCCAGGTCTTGCGATCAATGTAAAAAGCGCCATGTGAGCAATTTCGATGGATTTTGGGCGTTTATTATTGATACTGATACACACAACAGCGACGTTGCGATCATACAGGCTTCGGGACATCTGGAACTTCAGAAGCTGCACCCGACTCGCCTCTACCAGAGTCCCAGGTTCAGGCCCTGGCGGACACCCGAGTCGAGTCCGTGAATCAACAACCAGAATCGACTGGCCAGTCAAACTCACCAACTATTCACATTTCAGTGGATGAGGTGGCATCGCATGGGCAATCTGAAGCATCGCCAGCTGGACGACCGCAGCTACAGAATGCCTCAAAAGACGCGTATCTCAGATTCGTGGGTGATCTGAGCCCAGAGGCCTCTTTTCTTGCCACCTCTCAAGCTGAGAGACTCAATGGCAGCCGCAATGTGTCCAGGCACGATTATGTGGGCGTTTGGCTAGGCCAGAAACCCGAAGACTCGCAGGCTGGCGTCTCGAATGGCCATGACCCAAGCACCGCCAATCATTTCTCGATTCCTCACCCATCCAATCTCCCTAATCTTCAGGCTTTAATGCCATCACTGCGTCAAGAATGCATTTCGACACTGCCACCACCATACGAATTTGGATTATTGTCAGACCTGTTCTTTGCCAAAATTGATCCAATATTTCCCGTTCTGCGGGGAGACGCGATTGAGGAGTTGGGCATCATGGAATCTGTGGCTTTGAAGCAGTGCATTTGCCTTGTTGCTTCCCTGGACCCCTCTCTAAAGAAACACCTACGATTGCCATTCACCGAGAGAGTGCTATCGCCTATCGACTTCCGGGCTCGCATCGCGGCAGCGGTCAATCAGTCTTTGAACTTGGGCTTCATCAGCGATAAGATGGTTCTGCTGCAGGTATGCGCCCTGATGGCCATGTACGTGGACAGGCCTGGTTGCAGCGAGCTGTCAACGTACTTCTGCTCCCAGGCTGTCCACCACTCGCAGACACTAGGACTCCACGTTGGCTGGCCTCAAGACAGCGTAGGAGGGGAGAAGTCTCGTCGCATCTTCTGGTGTGTCTGGGTCCTGGACAGACTCAACGCGGCAACCAACGGGAGACCCATTCTGATCCACAAACAAGACATGGACAAAAGAGTGATGGATTCCTTCGAATCACAGACACCTTCATTCAAATTGATGATTCGTATTGCCCAGTTTCTGGATGAAACCATATTCCTATATCGCCCTCATGCTACGTTTCCGGAGCAGGCTTTCAGCAATGACAGCCAGACATTCGAGGGTCTTGTTGAGGCAACTGGGGCGTTGAATATTGGGAATGGACTTCTCGGTATGTTCTATTCTTTTTTGACTAGCTTTCTGTGTTTTTTACTGACCGCCGAACGCTGCAGCATCCCTTGAAATGTTCTACTTGTCCGTTGTTATCCTCAGAAGCAGACCACCAGGACGAAAGGACGGCAACCGGACATCGAGCTCTGAACTACAATGGTTCTGCGCTACCAGTCTGGTGTCAATCGCGTCCGAGGAGTTCAAGTCGACCATCACCTATTGGCCAACCCTCCCCTACTCTGTTTCTATGGCAGCCTCCGTTGCATACCAGACCCTCCGCAACAGTCTGCTTCCGTACAATCGCAAGCGCGCATACGTCTTGTTCCACAGCAGCTGCGAATTGCTAGACGAACTCAGCAAGACCTTTCTGTCAGCTCGAGCTATTGCCAAGCTAGCCACGAATACTATGCAGGAGGTTGACCGGGTCACATCGGAGATAAATAAGTACGGCAGATCCATGGACGTTGCAGGAAACGAAGTCATCGAGGGGCTGAACGGTTCCAGCGGTTCCCACGAGGTAGGCCATCCCTCACTTGCTCGCACCGATATGGGTTCCGCGGAGAACATCACACAACCCTCGTCATCTGTCAAAGATCGGCCATTCGCCTTCGACCCCTCTTCCTTTCAGGACTTTAGCGGTGAAGCTGGGATATTTAACGATTTCGACCCCAGTTTTGATCTCGGACGAATTGATGCCGTTTTTTCAGCTAATCTTGACCCGACCGTGCCTGGTCTCACAGAAGATTGGCTTGCCGGTAACGGATTTCTTTGAGCCCAATCAGTCTTGACAACACGCAGTAGTGGGTTTCAAGGCTTGAACGTCGGAGAACAGACTCCGGGCTTACGGATAAATGTGGAGATGAAGTGGGGCCGTCTCGGCTCCGTAAAACGAGATTTCTGTATCTGGAAATTTCCTCTCTTCGCGACTTTCCCAAAACAGACCCTCCCATTTCTCTTTTAGGCATTCCCGCAATTCTCCCCATGAAGAAGATGAGGTCACGTCCATGATCAACGGGTCTCGAGCTTGAGGAGCCGTCAAACTGAACGAGACTTAATAGCAAATCTTGTCAGACTAACGCTGCACACATTTGTCTCGACTCCCCAATCTTCCATCATGCTTCGAACCGCCAGAACCTGCAACAGGGCTTCAACCCTTATCAGAAATTGCGCATCCCAACGCCGATGCGCCGCGACGCTAGAGACTACTTCGAAGAAGGAGGGTGATATCTCTTCGGTCTTTAGGTCACTATCTGGCGGCGATGATGAGCCTCTGCCTCCGAGGTTCGCTGAAGTGAAGCGCAGTCTAGCCCAGAACAAGGATGCTCTGCATGCTAGCTGGAGTCGACTCTTAACTCAATTGCGAGAGGAGACCGAGATTGTCAAAGCAGAAGGCTCGGCCTGCATACCTGAGATCCAATTCACGGGCCTCGACAACCCATCAGCCGAGTTCGCCTCTGAGATTCGGAAAAGAGGTATTGCAGTAGTGCGCCAGGTCATTCCCGAGAAAGAAGCCCGTGCCTACAAAGAGGATGTAGAAGCTTACATTGCCGCCAACCCATCTACCAGAGGTACGTTGACTCTACACTCTTGGCAGATATGATCAAACCCTAATCCATGAGCCTCTATAGCCTTTCCACCCCATGATCCACAAGTGTATGAGCTGTACTGGTCCAGGCCGCAGCTTGCGGCCCGCAGCCATCCCAATATGCTCAAGGCTCAGCAGTTTCTCATGTCCTACTACCACTCTCGGGACCCTTTTGCCACTTGCTCCACCAACCAGCCCTTGACATACGCCGATCGACTACGCATTCGAACACCTGGCGACGCTGGCTTTGCGCTGGGACCTCATGTTGATGGAGGAAGCGTCGAGCGCTGGGAAAAGGAGGGCTACGGCAAGGGCGGAGTGTATGACAAGATATTTGAGGGTCGATGGGAAGAGTTTGACCCTTGGGAGCTGAGCACCCGCTTGAAGGCCACCCAAGACCTCTACAATGGCACCGGTGCCTGTTCCATGTTCCGCATGTTCCAGGCATGGTTGAGCATGTCACACACCGGCCCCAGGGAAGGAACGTTGCTTGTCAACCCCCTCCTTTCTCTATCCACGGCCTATTATCTCCTCCGGCCTTTCTTCACTCCCAAGTCCGCTCCCATCCTGTCCACGGACGAGATGTTCCAGTCGGATTACTTGGAGCCTGCTAATTGGGTCTTGGAAGACGAGCCTATTTCGTCGGCCTTGCACGGCGCTTGGCCCGGACACGGCCAAGAACTCAAGCCCGACTGGCACCCACACCTCAACCTCCCCCATACCATGGTTCACGTTCCTAAGATTGCGCCTGGTGACTACGTGGCCTGGCACTGCGATACGATTCATGCGGTGGATAAGATTCACGCTGGCAAGGGAGACTCGAGTGTGATGTACATACCTGCGTGCCCAACCACCGAGCTCAACATCAATTATATAAAACAACAGCGTCAGTCCTTCCTGGAAGGTGTCCCTCCTTCAGACTTCCCTGGTGGACAGGGCGAGAGCCATCACGTCGGTCGTCCTGGTTTTAACGACTTCGAGGCTATGGCCGGAACAGATGGACTGCGTGCCATGGGATTTGCGCCGTTCGATGTCGAGGCAGCTGGAAGTGAGGGTGAAGCAAAGGCTCTACAATACGGAAATGAGGTGTTGGGCAATTAAGGGACACGGCATCTTGATTATTTGTAGCCAAAAGGCTTCACCCTACCTGTGTACACGAATTTTGACTGTTGAGCATATAAATTCAGCATAATTAGTTCCATTGGTCCCGTTCATGCCGTTTCTGTGGCTATTAGGTGAAGAGTTATAATCCTCGAATCAACTCTCCTGAAGCAGGGAGCTACCGGTATTTCAACCTGATTCTCGTGGTCACCTAACCTGATTTGCAAAAACTCAATAGTAACTGGCCTCTATCACTGAGGGACATGTTTCTTGTCTTGCGCAGTCCTCAAGGAGGCAGTAAGCTCTCCTTGAATGCCTTCTACAATGGCAATTGATAGGGGCGCATGGCGAATTGATACGTGGGCATGACACGCGACGCGATCAAGCTTCCAACTCAGAGAGCAATCCAAGACGCTGAACCTGTAGTCCTAGTCCTAGTCCTAGCGATCCATTGCGCCCCCGAAAACGATAGCGGCAGAGCCGACAAGCCAGGTTTAGCCCGCCGTTACTCGAGAATAGACCTCTCTCAGCGAGCAGCACTGGAACAAGTATCGGCCAATACTACGGAGTCGGCGACGAAGATACACTCGGAAATCTCTTCGCATCTTATGCACAGCCTTTTTTAAGTGCTCTACGGCTGCATGCAAGACTTCAGTTAACTCATACTAACCTGGTTGTATTCCTAGGTTAGAAATTCAGTCACGCGCTCTGGAAAAGGGTATCCCGCCTGCGGAGGCGGGGATTGTTGAATAAGGAAAGGTTCCGCATCTAGATGAGGGGTTCGCTGGTATCGGAGTGGACTTTACCCCCCTATTGCTCATAAGCATGTACTTAAGCTGATTTTATTACCTTCACTGCCTTACTAGTCAAGGAGGGTAGAACCAGAACAACTGTGCGAGTTTCGATTTATACTCCATTACTACTTCTTTCGACATTGGAAATGGCAGTCAACGTTGCTTTAATTGGAGGGGGTATGTTGAAACGTTCCTGAGCTCAATGTAATTTACACGAAGACTAACGATAAGCATTTAGGTATCTGGGCTAGGGAAGAGCACTTGGTAATCTCGCACTGAGCGCTCCCCCATCCCTGTTCGAGTATATTGTGGAGCTGACTGTGTTGTTTTGTAGCCTGCCATACTAGCATGTCGGGAGTTAGTATTGAAAGCCGTCTATTCTCGATCTAGGAAGTCCGCACACTCTATCGCGGCTGCTGTGGCTCACGATCTCTACATACATACGGACGAAGACAATAACGGGTTCGACAAACTACTCGAAAGGTCTGATGTCCACGCCGTGCTCATTTCGTGAGTATAGTCCCGCTCGTTGTAAATGATGTCTAGAGATGTTAATGATTTATTCCATAGCTTGCCAATAAAAAACCAGGCGGAGTATATCCGCCAAGCACTCATAGCAGGCAAGCACGTTTTGTCTGAAAAGCCCGTCTGCGAGAATGTCAAGGATGCCGTTGATCTCATCGGTTGGTATCGCACTGAGGTGAGGGGCCCATCGTGGTGCGTTGCTGAGAATTGGCGTTTCCTTGAGAGCTACAAGTACGCAGCAAATCAGTTGGAGTCACTTGGAAGAATTCGAGCGTTTCACGGGAAACAGCATTCCCTAGTTCAACCAGATGGAAAGTTTCACCGTAAGCTTGTGTTTCTTGACATTCCTTAGTAGCAGTTAATAACTAACGTACCACAAAGAAACCCAATGGCGAAAAGAACCCACTCACCAAGGCGGATTCTTACTCGACGGAGGTGTCCATTACATGGCTGGTATTCGTCAACTCTTATCCGTTCAGCCTGGTAACCAAGTGAGCCAAGTCACTGCTTTCACAACTATGTTACAAGGCTATCTTCCACCAGTTGATACTGCGCATGCCCTATTTAAAACAGTGTCTGGTGCAGTAGGCACGTTCCAGCTCTCAGTGGGAAGTACTACCGTTGCCGACGAGTGGCTAGTCGAATGTGAGCACGGCTGGATTAGGATCAATGGTCACGGAGGCGGCTCTGAGGTTACAGTATCAAAGCATGGCGAAGTGTTTCAGAAGACTATCCCAAACGAAAGAACAGGAGTACCTCCAGAAATTCGCGCTTGGGGGCAGGCACTTGTCCAGGGCAAAGTTCTCAAGGAACAGGAGCCTGAAGCTGCTCTCGCTGATCTGGAACTGGTAAGTCATAAAGCATGAAAGAAGAGAGAACCCTACTAACGATGTGAAGCTTGAATTGGTATTAAAAAGTGGTGATAGCGAAGGAGCAACATTGGCTTGCACCCATCAGGACGTCTAGTATAGCTCTCTAATTAGCGCATAATCACGTCTGTGCTCTTAAGAATGACATTGAACCAAGAGAGTGTTTGTTCCAATATCCGATAGAGTATGCACGGCCATCTGGAGAAATGTATGATATCATCGCGATTACTATCTCGATAAGTCATTCCTAGCTGGCTACCGTAGGTTCTTACCCTTGACGGGAACTCTAGTTTCGCCTAGATGTCGTACCTCGATGCACTCTCTCAAATTCCGCAAACGCAAACTAGCGTAGGGGATGGAAAACTATTCAAATACACCACAGCTGGTAGGAGAACATCTGGATTCGAGAAGTAGCCGTAGTCTGCATAAAAAGGTCTGTAACACTGTGGTTTCTCTCGACCAGGAATGTGAAGACTTCTGTAAGCATACAATTTAGGCGAGGACCTAAGTACCTCGTATTCTATTTCATCAGATTGCTCTAAGCCTGTTAAGTGAAAGCCCTAGCTCACCGCGTTTATTCCACATTGGGATAACTCCCTTCGCGGTCCTTCTTCTTTTGGAAGTCCCGCCGTAGCATACTGCTGGACAAGCTTAACATGGATCGCTGACTTAGTGAAGATGAGAACTCCGCACGAATTCCCATTTCCGACCCCCAGATTTTCCCTAGATGTCTCCAATATCTGTCCCAGAATTCCTCTCGATTTAGCCCCAAAATTTCCCCTCTCGGTTCCCTAGTCACCTTGTTCAGATTTCTGAGACAACCGCCAATTTCTTTCAAGATGGGGTTCCTCGGCAGTTTCAGATTTGATTAGAAAGCCCATACGCGGGCTATTATTTATTGTTCTATTGCTGCTATTGGCGCTCTTTTTTATTGCTATGATAACACCTACTATCTCCTGAGTGCGCGAAGCTCTCCGAAGATGTCATGATGAGGGGTCTAGTCCAATCAGAAGGCGTCAAATAAAGGATACTTACTTCCTCTGCTAAATTAGGTGGTGATAGAAGTCCCAACAATTTTGGTCCTTACAAATCGCAACCTTGCAAACACGACAGCCATGAGAGGTCTGACTCCATCCATTGGGCCTCTTCTTATTGCCACTGCTCTCCGTAAGAGGGCTCCAAGCCTCACTTTTTGCTCTCAGGCGTCCCTGCCGACAGCCCTGACAGGCCAGGCAGTCTGATTGACATGTCGGTCGACATGATTGATCTCTCGGTTAATGTGTTCCCTCTGTAATTTGTGGTTTTATAGATCACGCTCGTCTCCTGGTCGATATCGCTGCCTCGCCTAACTGTCATGACCGTAGGCGTTGAATAATTCGTTCTAAATGTACTCTCGCTATTCTCTCTGATTGGTATATCTCATCCAATTTGGCTGCGGTCCAGGCGTTTGGAAACTCCTACATATCAATCCAAGTGCGGAAAGGCGAACGTGGCGCGTGTTGGACAAGATTATTTGTCTCTATATCGCGACCTCCTCAAGGCAGAAGAAGAACAGCAGTCACCCGAGCTACGGACAAGGAAATTTGGAAGAGAAAGGCAAGATACTTGTGTCGCTATAGCGATACAGCGATACGAGACTATCTACCCGCGTGATATCAATCGACTACCACCGTGGCAGACATCTCGGTGTTCAAGGCGCAACATCCACGTGGGCGGCCGTTCCTTTTCCCTGCTCGAAGCTACCAGCGCTCTTCTCCAAGTCCTCAGACGTGTGGGAAGAGTTGAATACGTGGGTTCGCCACTCACGCACCGGAATACTTTCGGTGAAGAAGAGCGAAATCTCGAGGTTGGTTCGTCCCGTGGTCTCTCCGACGCAGAACCAAGTCCAGATGAGGGCGATGCCAGTCGTTCCAGCGTACACAAAGCCGACCATGGGGCCGAGACCACCATCGTAGTACATGTAGGGCGCCGTGAAGGAGACGAGCCAGGTCGCAAAATAAAAGACGACGATGGACGTGGACATGATCTTGCTCTGGTTGATGCCAACCGCCATCTCTCGTGCAACGGTATAAGCCAAGGGCCCAGGTCCAAAGTTGAATCCTAACAGCAGGTCAGCGAAAGCTACTCGTGTTAAAATCTAGGAAGCGCGCCTTACCGACAACAAACATGTACGAGAAGACGACAATAACATATTGAGAGGCCGTCGTCAGAGTCTTTTGCGTTCCAATGCCTCCAATCACGATGAATGCCACAAGCATCATGAAGTTCGTCACCAACAGATTAGTTCGTCGTCGGATCTTGTTTCCAGTGATGACGGATGCTCCCACCGCAAAGATCTGCAGGATATTGGTGATCAGCTGAATAAGGAACGGATCCTTGATGCCAATCTCTTGAGCAAAGACAACACCGTAGACGTAGAAGAACAGCACACCACAGATTTGCTGACTGAACAGGGCGCCGGCTGAGTAAATGACCTTGCGTCGCTCAATGGGATCCATGACAAGCGACTTCCAGGACGACTCTTCAGTATGCTGTTCTTCAACACGCTCCGTCTCTTCCAGCGTCTGCATATCATTCGTCGGGTCATACTCGGTCTGGCTTCGGTTGATCTTTCGAAGGGCGTTTTCGGCTTCGCTCCGTCGGCCCTTAAAGAGGTACCAGACAGGACTTTCTGGGATGAAAGGAAGACCGGCGAACATCATCAGCGGGAGGATAATAAGACCACCCATGGGAAGTTTGTAGGAGAGCGAGCTCTTGATGTTTTCGCTGCCCTGTGTAATGGCTGAGGCAATGAGTTGCGACCAGGACTGGAGGACTAGAACAGTTGTTAGATATTATTCCATGCGAAGACCAAAGCTACTCACATTGGAACATCATCAAGGTCGGTCCACGAATCGCCGTGGGTGCGATTTCTCCCATGTAAAGAAGCGTCGTAACAGTGAACTGGCCAACGCCGAGGCCAATTAAGATCCTCCCAACCACAATCACAGATTCATGGTTCGTGTCGGCAACCTGCGCAATACCACCGAAAAGGATGAAGAACGAGGCGACCCAAAACACGGCCTTTCGTCCCCAACGATCATTGATGGGCGAGGCAAGGATTGCACCAAAAAGGTCCCCGATGTAGATGGACGAAGCCGTGAGCGATTGGAACGACGAAGGCAGCGCCTTGTTACCGTTCTCGTCGTAGTGTGTACCGTAGTCGTTCTTGAACTCTTGCATCGCAAGAACGCCATTGTAGTAGGTGTTGTCATAACCGTAGCAGAGCGCGCCGATAGCGGCAATGGAACAGTAGATGAGAGCCCACTTGTGGGATTTCCAGTCGAACTTGAACGCGTCAAAGAATCCCATCTTGAAGACGGTTGCGATTTGAAGAATAAGGGAATGCAACAAGACTGCAGGGGGCGAGATATGATACAGAGAGAAGAATCTGGGGAAGTCTGGGGAATCTTTCTGGGGAAGCTCACGTAAATATCCATACTTATTGCTAATCACAGATTCACAGTGGACCGGCTTGAGTCTCGTAGGTTGTCTGGAAACGGAAAGCCCGTCGGGCGGAAATTGTCCAAAGGGGGATAAGAATGCGGAGGAAGCTGGGGATCCCGTGGGGTGCTTTAGCGGGCATCCATGAGGCATGAGCTATGACGTTGTCTGGTCTAGGCCAACTTAGTCTTGGTCGGAAACCCGACTAAGAGTGTTTAGCAGTTGTGGAGTTGTGGAGTTGTCCGTCCAACCGTCCAACCGTCCAACTGTCATGCTTTTTGATGGTCTCGAAGTATCGACATATCTCTTTGGTTTCTCTATTGACTAGCGCCCTCAAGGATCTTGTTGATGCAAAGACATACCTAGAATTCCTCCGTCCACTGTGCATATTCAACGCACTTTCATGGGCCCGATGGCACGAAGGTAGCGCTTCTGGTTTCATCTCCCTTGGGTTTCTTCTTCCCTTCCGGATACTTTTCCATCATCATCTTGAACAGCTTCAAATCCTCCAAAGCATCCTTGGCGGTGGTTTTGATCTCCTTACCACTCACCACACACTCGTACCAGTCTCTGAGCTCGGCCGTGTAGGCATCTTCATACGATGTCTGCAGGGTTCGATGACACTTTTCCCCGTGTTCATTGAGCTCGTCAATCTCAACAGTAATACCAAGTCCCTTGACAAAGGGTGTGTCGTAACGAATTGAAACGCTCTTCGTCTCCCCAAAGACAGCAACCTGCGAGTCAAAGCGCGGCACCTGATCAATACCCGTCTCATACAGGCAGGTGAATCGATCCTGAGCGTCTGTTCGATTCTTGTATTCAAACATGGCTGTATACCATCGAGCATTATCAGTGGAAGCTAGGACTCGCTCTGGCAGCCCACCAAGTACTTCTCTCATCAAACTAAGGCCATGGCTTCCCAGGTTGGCAAGAAGGCAACAGTAGTCCATCTGCTCTGGGCTGAGATCCCCAAACGGCGTTCCCCACGCCTGTTCAAGCAACGCCGACAGCCGCGCGGATCGGTCTTGCGAAGCCTCGAGGGGGATGTCATCGTGGTACTTCTTGGGTTCAGTGCCTGACTGCCCTATAAAGTAGGCATTGGGGCCAATTATGTCTCGGACACGGGCGTACTTGATGCTGCCAATGGACGCAACCTCGCGCTTGAACGCTTGCAGGCTAGGCGCATAACGTCGCATGTAGCCAACAAAGACACGTGCTCCATTTGGCGCTGACCCTTCCGTCTCAATGATCTCTTGCGCCGCCTGTAAGCTCAGAGTGATTGGCTTTTCGACCATGACATGCTTGCCGGCTCGAAGGGCGGCGATAGTGTAGGGCGCGTGGTACTCGTCCGAAGTCAAGACTACCACCACATCTATGCTAGCATCATCGAAGATTTCAGCGGGTTTGGTCGTGGCACGAGGGACTCCAAATTTGGTGGCACAGTGATTGGCTGTCTTTTGCGAGACGTCACAAACGGTGACAACCTTGTACAAGTCCGACAAGAACAAGAAGGTCGGAAGGTGGACGATCTGAGCGACGTCGCCACCACCGATGATGCCGACGTGGAGAACTTTGGGTGACATGGTGAACAGCTTGTTTGAGTCGAGGACGACAAAGACTAGACAAAGATGCTCTGATAGGATCCTTCTACTGGACAAATTTCAGCCCTTAAGCTCCAGTACCAGTATGCCAGTTTTTATCCTTACGGCACGGGGAAGCGGAATTTCCTGCTATGGAAAGTCCCCGTCTCAACTTTTGGGCTGTTTGGTCCGGGGCATGGAGGTGCGGGGGGGCCTGGAGGTTGGCCCGAAGCCGCTTTCACGGACCTTCCCTTTTTGACCTACGGCTAAGAAGCTACTTCCCAGTTCTACCTGGGGCGAGGGAATTATCAGGTGTGGTGTGGCGGCGATTGTATCTGCGCGAGCACCGAAACCAAAGCCTGGGAGGATATTATTCTGCTTGGAGGCTAGATGCTGGGGCAAGGTGTTTAATGGGCGCAAGATGATTCGACAGAAGAGAAGGTATGACCAAACTTCCGATGGACTCGGGTTAATGACCCTGAACATGGATGAGAAACGATTCGTGGTGGAATCTTTCAACAAAGAGAACCAAGAACGGAAGCAGAGCATTAGAGGACCAAGGGGCACTGGAGGATCAAACATGGCAGCTCTCACAAGCTACCAATTGCTCGCCGGAATTCCGTAATAAGCGCAGTACCCAAAGGCTTTACCAATTACCCTAGAAAGCGGCTACAGGGCCAAGAGAGCCTGGGCTTAAGAAGATTAGGCCGTGAGGAGGAAACTAAACCTTCCTCTAGGAGTAGGATGTTTGAATGCCCCATCTCCCACAGTGAGGGGGTTCAAAATATTAAGACCCCACCCACCAAAAAGGGGGGCTGGACTGCATGTACAACTAATCCCCATTGTATTAACAACGATAACTAATCAAACAGCTTCAAATTTCTCAGCGACTGTCGTCCAAGCTATTATGCTCCTGATCTGTGCACGGCCTCGGCCTTATATGCCGAACTGGTTCTTCCTTCGGAAAGCAAGTCGGACACGATGGATCTTGAGCCCTCTGAAGCTGCACTAGGGGCCGTTTCGCCTCCTCAGATAGAGGATAGTACGCTAAGGCCCGCAGGCGGCCAGAGAAATGTGTTTGCAGCCTCCCGACCCCCAAGTCATGGAAAAATTCGAAAACCGTTTGCTTGTTGACATTAGGCTCGACGTTTTCAGTAACAGTGATCCAAGATGAGTTCAAGTCCTTTGGGTCAACTTCTATAAGCACCGCATTGCTAGTGTAGAATCTCTCTCGACCCTGAATTTTGGTAGAGGCAGCAGAAAGTGGTTGAAGCCTGTAGTCAACGAACCAAAATCTTCTCTTTGCACGGTCGTGAAAAACATCAACCATGTCATACAGTGACATTGACAGGCCTAGGTCCTTTCGGCAGTAGTGGGCCTGTTTGCCGGAAACCTCATCCATCATCCTTGGATCAAATTCAACGGCAATATCGTGGCCAATGAAGCTCGCTCTCGGCCCATCGTCGTCATAACGGGGAAAGTCGACCAGAGGAGTGCGATCCTCAGCACAAAGATCCCTAACATAAAGTTGGAACCAGCTCACTGAGTCCATATCTCTGGGGTCGAGAAAGATGAGGTCTTGGCCGTAGTCAACGGTGATATACTTGACGAGTCCAGTGTCGTCAACATATGACGTCGAATGACTGACATTGTCCTCGCCAAAATATCGACCCAGTGTAGTTGAGCGACCCGAACTTTGACTGCGTTCGGGAACTACCCACCACTCGTTCTTGTTAAAGCGTCGTTCCATCGCAGCGCGAGATGCAGTACATGCCGTCCAAAGCCCGCCGTCCAGCTCGTACACGGAGTCATTAGGGCCGCCATATGGATCATCGAGAGGAACAGAAATTGAGAACCCTCCAACTAACCGGCCGTAACGGTTAATGTTAAGAGGTTTTGAGACATACGGATATCGTGAACTGGCCCGTCCGATGTCGTGGCCGGAGAAGATGAATCTCTGCACCCCACGTCGGTCTGGGATTGGTCGGACAGCAGCGTCCCAGATGAGTGCTTGGATCTCTTGAGGGAAAAGAGGGAAAAGAGGGAACTCGGAGTCCATCTCTGGATGATCTGGTTATGCAGTGGCTTGTTTAGTTGAAGATGGGAGAAAAACGCTGTCATGTGCTGATGTGAGAGTATTACATTATCAGAGAGTCACGTGCGCTAACTATTACACGATATTGACCGGATGCAGGCCCCGCCTTGTGGGTTGCGTGGGACTTGTGATTTTAAGTATAGAGTAGGGCGAAATGCATTATAGACAACCACGAGGAAGATGACAGAAGCATATTGCTGTACTGAGAAACATGACTGTGCCATACGATTGAATCGCATCACGAATACGAAACGCATACAAGCCATGGATCTTTAAACTACACGAAAATGTAACGGCCGGCCTTATAGCATTCTCCAACGCCTTGGAGCAGAATCGCCATCAAAACTTCCAACGTGAGCCTTGACCTTCGCAGCAACGCTTTGATCGTCAATTCCAAATCTGGAAAAGTTACATCTTCCAGCCCCAGAGTATCCAAAAGAATTCATCCCAATAGAAGCCGTGCAGATGCGTGCCCAGAATCCAGGGACATATGCCTCGACAGAGATAATATGTCGGGCGTCAGAGAGAACTGACTCCTGGTAATCTTTGCTTTGAGCTTCGAAGAGACGCAAACAAGGCATGCTTACAACCCTCGTACCAATTCCTTGTTCTGCTAGTTTAGCAGCGGCACCAACAGCAAACTGTAGCTCGGAGCCACAAGATACGAGAGTCACAACTGGCTTGGGGTGGTCCACGATAACGTAACCTCCTTTGGATTCTTTCGTGCGGCTTGTATTTGGTATTGTGATTTCAGGTGGATCTCTGGCAAGGGATATGATGACTGGTTGCCCTTGGACCTCCAGGGCTGAAGACCACGCACCGATGATCTCCTCGCCGTCTGCAGGGCGTATATAGAGCAGGTTGGGCATGGCACGATATAGGGAGTCAACCTCTACTGGCTGATGGGTCGGCCCATTCTGCCCCTCTCCAATAGAGTCATGCGTGGCAACATGAATGACTTTGAGAGAGCTCAGCGCCCCCATTCTTACTCCAGGAGCGGCGTAAAGATAGAACATGAAGAAGGTTGCGGTAACGGGAATGATAGCGTTGGGAGAGTAGGCAGCTAGGCCATTCGAAATTGCGGCCATGGCGTGCTCACGGATCCCATAGCGGATGACTCGGCCCTCACGCCTTGATCCATCAAAGATTCGGTGCGAGTGGTCACCCATCTGATTGGAATTCCATAAATCAGAGCCCCCGGCAATAATGTTAGGGACGTGGTCCATTAATTTCTGAAAAATGACTCCATTGAGAGAGCGTGTAGCAGCAGGCTCCTGGGGGAACTGTATGCGTGAGAGCACGTCGCCGTAGTTCACCTCGCCCGCGATTCGGGCACGAAGAAGCGTTCCTTCTCTGGGGAAGTCTTGACAATAACGGTCGAGCGTGTCAAGCCAGAGATCCTGGTCACAATTGCCTTGATCTGCCCGCTCGTTGAAATATGCTCTGCACTCCTTGGAGACGCGGTGTGAGGCCTGGTCACTAGTCTCGGCGTATAAGGCAGCGTCTGCCTCACTGTAGGTTCCGTGATGAGACTTGGCTGTCCCAGCGGTCGTTGTGCCGTAGCCGATTGTTGACCTGATATTGATGAATGTCGGCATGTGCTTTGTTGCTTTGCCGAGGTTGAGAGCGTTGACGATGCTCTCAACCGAGTTGTCGCCATCAAAGACGTCGATCACGTTCCAACCCATAGACCTCATCTTTGAGTTGGTATCCTCCGATACGATCTACTCTAGGGGTCCATCGCATGTGACCTGGTTATTGTCATAGCACAAGACAAGATTGTCCAGCTTTAGATGACCCGCAATTGCCACGGCCTCCATGGCCACGCCCTCTTGGAGACACCCATCACCAGTTGAGCAGTATACTCGGGATTGTATCATGTCGTATCCTGGCTTGTTGAATGTCGCTGCCAGATGCTTGGATGCGATGGCCAGACCAACGGCGTTGGCAATTCCTTGTCCAAGAGGGCCCGTCGTTACTTCAACGCCAGGTACCTCGATTTCCGGGTGCCCGTGACAGATGGTAGATTTCCATGTACCTGTCTTGTGGTCGAAGGCCTTTGGATCTGCGTACATCTTGAGCTCGTCAAGGGTCATGTGTGGGTACCCTGCGACATGGAGCATGACGTATAAGAAGATTGCTGCGTGTCCGTTTGATAGAACGAACCTATCTCGATCGAACCATGCGGGATTCTTCGTGCTGAACCGAAGCGTGTGACGCCAAAGGGCGACGCCCAGCGGCGCCATGCCAATTGCTGAGCCACCGTGACCGCCTCCGTTTTGTCGACAGCAGTCAATGACCAGCTTCCTGATGTCGCGAACAGCGATATCGTCGGCCGTAAGCTTTCTGGAATTGGCCGGTACCATGTTTGTCGCAGTCATCATGATTTGATAAGAAAGATACGAAGCGTTTGAGTGCTCTCCAGTGTTAAACCTGCGTCAATGTTTGCTTGATATTGTGGTGCCCTTTATGGGGGGAGAGGGTGCGACCGAGCAATGCAATACTTACAGCGCAACCTTGTTCCTGGCTAAATGGGTACGGTATGGAACTGATGGCGATGGGGTGGTTGATGCAAGCCATACAGCCTTTATGTTTTGCAGACTGCCCGCAGCCTCGACCGCAAAAGCAAGTTGAAGGATGCAGGCTTTATGCAGATAATGCAACTCAGTCTCCAAGTGGTCAGTATCTAGCCTCCTGGAGCACTTTCACATTCATAGCAGCTATAACTGACTTAACTTGTTTCTGAACCTCATCTTTCACCACGATGCCATTGGCAGATGCTACGGAAATTGTATTGCAATCACCGTTACTCAACAGCATCGACGGGCATTGGGTCTTGCGCTACGAAACCACCAATAATCCGACTCTCTCTACGACATGACTTCCCATCAAGAGCTAAGGTTAATCATCATTAGCTGCGGTATTACAGGCATTGCCCTCGCAGCCGGTCTCAGAACACGACTTAACTATCAAAACTTCACCATCTACGAAAGAGAGGTCGCGTTGGGGGGTACCTGGCACCTAAACACTTATCCAGGTGTAGGATGCGATGTCGACTCGCATCTCTATTCCTTCTCTTTTAACCCAAACCCGGACTGGTCCAAGAGGTTCGCCGAGCAAGGTGAAATCCTACAATACCTCAATGACACCGTGGACAAGTTCGGTATTCGGCCCCACGTGCGTCTCCAGATGAAGGTAGACTCGGCTGAATGGATTGAGGAACGCTCGGTATGGCGTGTGAATCTCGTCGACTTGGCAACGGGCCACAAATTCTTTAGAGAGGCCGAGATGCTCGTGTCTTGCGTGGGCACTATATCCGTACCAAAAGACTACACCATCTCAGGCCACGACAACTTCAAAGGCCAGATATGGCATTCGGCACGATGGAATCATGAATTTGATATGGCGGGCAAAACTGTCGCGGTCGTTGGCAACGGGTGCTCGGGGGCCCAGCTCATGCCCTACGTCGTCAAGACAGCCACACACGTCGTCCAATTTCAACGGTCAGCACAGTGGATTAATGAACGGCCAAACCGCAAATTTACACCCTTTGAGAAGTGGTGCTTCCGCTATCTTCCTCTTTACCACAGACTGTACCGCTTTTACCTGTGGAAGACAACCGACAGTCTCCACGATTTGTACCTTGGCAACAGTCCCACCGCAGCTCGCAAACGGGCCGTTCAGACCAGGGAGGCTGAAACGTATATGCGCCGAGTTGCTCCAGCCAAGTTTCATGATCTCCTCATCCCCGACTTTCCACTGGGCTGCAAACGCCGCATCTTCGATCCCGACTATCTCGAGTGCTTGCATGGCCCAAATGTTGAGCTCACGGATGAACCTATCGTCGAATTCACGGAAACGGGCCTCCAAACCACCAAGAGGCACCTAGGGTTCGACGCGGTAATCCTCAGTACAGGTTTCAAGATGGAGATCAAAGGCAGGAGTGGACAAACGATCAATGAACACTGGAAGGAAACTCGTGGTGCTCAGGCTTATCGCGCGACTTTCGTCTCGGGGTTTCCAAATTTCGGGATTGTATTCGGACCCAACGCATTTCCTGCGCACAACTCATGTATCTTCTCCAACGAGACGCAGGCTGAATATATCATCAAGAGGCTCGTGGCCCCGATCGTCAAGCATCACTCTGATGTAATTGATGTTAAGGAGGCCGCCGAGACAAGGGACGCTAGCTTTGTGCAAGAGAAGCTCAAGGGCATGGTCTGGAGCTCTGGCTGTGCTAACTGGAATCTTGACGCCGCAGGGCGTAACACGACCAACTATCATGACCCGACATGGAAGTTCTGGTGGCAGCTCTATTGGCCCATTTGGAAGGATTTCAATATCTACGGTGGAAGCGGAAGTCTTCCTATGAGTCCATTCTCGAAATTGGCTCTCTGGGGTGTCATGACTGGAGGCTTGGTCTCTTCCCTCGTACTGGGCTTGAGTGCAAGCTTTCTCGCCAAGTAGATACGGAGCTGTTGGTTACATGTAGTAGTCTAGCTTGAGCAGCATGTATCTTTAGGGTATGGAAATAGAGATTGCTAGTCGTATTGACCTGTGTTGTATTGTATTAAATGTGTCGATGTGATTAATCTATGGTCATCGATCCGGCTACATTGACGCATTGCAGCGTACATGGTGAAGTGATTATCGCTACTCGATGCCAAACCAATTCAATTTCGATAGGCTATAGGACGGGTATAGCCAGCGGCCATGAAAGCCGTAAGGAAGCGCAGCCCAGATTTCGGGGAGAAAGTAGGCAAACATGACATGAAGCATATAGCCTAGGTAGCAGCCTTGAAGGCATTAAATTAATTTAGCGTGATATTTTACTGACAGTCAGATGCCCGGGCATAAAATGACCACAACAGGGCCTTTAAGGTATGATGACGGGTGGCATGCTCTCGCGTTCACCTGCCGAGTTCATAAGCTTCCTGCTTCCATACCCGTACCCGTTCCCAAGCGACAATCAGGCTATCGATTACTCAACCCACACGCTTCAACATGTCGAACAACCCGAACATCAGCACCCACAATGCGGTTGTATTACACGGCGCTCAACAGTTGGTCGTCGAGCGTGTCGAAACGGTGGCCCCAGGACCTGACGAGGTCCAGATTGCACCAAGAACGACAGGTATCTGCGGAACAGATCAGCACTACTATCAGAATGGGCGAAATAGTATTTACGAAGTCACGGAGCCTCTTATTCTGGGACACGAAGCTGCAGGAGAAGTGGTAGCCGTTGGTTCCCAGGTAACAAACATCCGTGTTGGGGATCGCGTCACGTTGTAGCCTCAGCAGGCGTGTCTGTGCTGCGAACATTGCCTCGACGGCAGGTATAATCTCTGCAGTCGGATGCGATTCAACGGATCTGCAAGCGCGAAGCCTCCAGCACAAGGGTCCCTTCAAGAACGCCTTAATCACCTTGCTCGATTGGTCTACAAGCTCTCGGATGGCGTGTCATATGAAGAGGCGGCTTTGATTGAGCCTCTATCGGTAGCAATCCACTCAGTTCGCAAGGCGAGAATACACGCTGGACACTCGGTTCTGGTCCTTGGAGCCGGTACAGTTGGTCTGCTCTGTGCTGCTATGGCTAAAGCGTCGGGAGCAGCGTCAGTAGCCATGGTTGATATCGATGAGGCCAGGCTTGAGTTTGCCAAGGACCAGAACCTTGCCGATGTAACCTACGCAGGCCTTCCGGGGGGCGAGGGACAGACAGGATTGAAAGTGGATGCAGCTTTTGAATGCACCGGCGTCGAAGCATGCCTGAATGCCTGTATAGGAGCCACCACGGCCGGAGGAAGGGTGGTGATTGTCGGGCTTGGTAGACCGATGCAGACGCTCAATCTGGGGTTGGCGGTCGTCAGGGAAGTGGAACTACTTGGGGTCTGGAGATACGCCAACACCTTTCCCACAGCCATCAACCTGCTGGCTGCCGGCCGACTCGACCTCAAGTCTCTCATCACGCACAGGTTCGATTTACTGGACGCCGAGAAAGGTCTGCAGCTAGTTCTAGGTAAGCCTTCGGACCTGATAAAATGTATTATTACTTCCGAGGTGTAGAGAGAGTACGTACTTAGAATTCAGACCACGCTTCCCCTCAGGTTGCCGGAAGATGGATTCCATCGGGGGTGATTTCCGTGTCGCGGAAGTGTGATGCCGCGCCAACGTTATTTGGTCGGTCAGGTGTTTCCAGGGGTTGGCCAGCTTGATTCATAAGCATGGGGGCTCCAACCAAGCCAGGCGGCGCTACGCTACCAATGAAGAAGACAGTACGTAGCCAGAAGAGAACCAATCGTTTCCCGTCTAGGTTCCGTGTCGCTCGAAAAGCCTCTGCATCCAACTGTCTGTCTGTCTACCTGTTTTTTACCTGATGCCTCTCGTCTGCGCATGGTGTCACCTAGTACATACTTGCACTTGTCGCTGTCGAGGTTTCTTGAGGTCGAGAATAGCATTGCCACTCAAACCTGATGACGCTCACCACACTGGACTGGGGCAGGGGGTTAATTATTGGGTTGCCCCCTCAGTGAACCACGACACAGCAATCCATGGATGCCTGCCTAGACCATTCCATCTTGACTCAACTAGCGTGATCCCCATGTGAGGGCGGCCCGTGTGCATGTGGGGAAGCGGGGAGAAGGTTCTTCAACTCTTACCCCCTGAGACATCTCCCACTAGGCCCAGTCTTCCCAGTGTTGCCTGATTAAACACCCAAAAGATGCACAGATTTTGGTACTGAAATGATAATGGTACGTTACAAAAGATGCAATCGTCCTACTCACACTGGCAGTCAGGCGATGGGTCAGGGGATCGCTACTAAACTATGGAATACTCTTGACTCTCCGCAGTTTTAGGTCAGCCTACCCTAGAGGCCTCGGACTCACCAAGGACAGGGGTCTCCTAACCACAACTCAGAGCACAGGACGGAGTACCTACTCGCCCGAGTCTGAACAGCTGAAACAGCACGAGCGTGTAGACCTAACAGATTAAACCACTTTTGGTCCATTCTGAGCATTATTTTCGGAACTAGATATAGTATAGTTTAAGGTTAAGAAGATAGCTTAAGCCCCAGCCTTCAAATACATGCATTGAGGTTCCGTCAACATGTTAATTCTTGCCCTTAGTGCTCTCGTAGTGATAAGTTTCGGCATGCTCTGTACCCTGAGCTTTGGCCTCTACTGCCTTATGCACTTCCATCTGAGCCAGCTGCGTAGCCTCCTTCTAGGTCATATCTTTCCCACCCTCGTACTTGATTTGAAAGAGATGGTTGACCTGCTCGAGTGATAATTTCGCCCTCTCTACGTAGAAGAACCACGCGATTGGGACGAAGATAAAATTAAAAATACTATATATTAGATAGTATTTCTACCTAATTATATCAATCGCCATAGGGGTTACCATAACTACCAGGGAGACGTATGTCTAGTTGACTGTAGTGGCAATAGATGTACCGGTGTTACGCATTCGTTGTGCATTGATCTCGGCAGGATATATAAAGGGAATAGAGAGTAAAGACATGCTATAAAAGACGTAATAAAGGAAGATAAAGGTAATGGCCAGAATTGATATGGCCCTATTGCTGTTATCGGTGCTGGGTCTACCATAACGTAGTCCAACTGCCACAAGGGTAAAGCAGACACCACTGCAGCCAACCCCCATGATCATCAGACGTCGACGACCGACTCGATCGATCAGAAAGGCGGCCAAAGCACCCCAAAACATAAGCTGCATAGAGTCGACAACTGAGAGGATAAGGGCTAGCCGTTCCGATATGCCAAAAGACCGGACGAGTACGATAGGTAGATAATAGGCAATGACGTTTACGCCTCCAATCTGCTGAAATACTAACGTGCCGGCGCCAAGCAGGACACGGCGTAATGTCTATTGTTCGCCGTTGCGGAAAATCTCCTTTAATGTCATAGCGTCTTGAACTATAGCCTCGTGGCGAACGGATATTATAAGACGACTAATTTCCTCAACAATAGATGCGTCGGTCTCGGGTTTGGCTGCGAGGTGTGCTAAGATAGTTTGTGCCTCCTTAGTGCGGTCATGCATAACGAGCCATCGGGGTGACTCGGGAGCCACACATATTAGACACATAGTGACTAGGCCGAAGAAGCACTGAAAAGCCAATGGGAAGCGCTAGGAAACGGGGTTGTCCGGGATGTAGGTGAAGCTAAGGTTTATCTAGTTAGTAAGGGCGATTCTAAAGATATTGGTGACCATTTGAAGGATAATTAGCTTGCCGCGGTGTTCGGGCTTAGCCGTCTCAGACTGCCAAATAGGAATAGCGATCGTATTCATGCCATTTCCTACGCCGGCTATAATGCGACCTATAATCATAGGCGCCAAAGAGTACGAAGCAGCTTGCATAATACCGCCGATGATGAGGATGATATAGCCCGCAAGAATTGACCGTCGACGACCAATCTTGTCGCCGATAAAAATAGATAGCAGTGTACCTATAATGCAGCTAATATCGTAGGTGGCTATGATTTGGCCTTGGATAGTTGAGCTTGGGTAGTTGAATATCTCCAGAAAGGGCCGGTTACTCAGAAGACCGCCAAAGACGCCCTAGTCGTATCCAAAAAGGAGAAAACCGCTGCCACAAGCCGCTGTGATATGGTAGCGGAGGGCGTTGCCTTGATTTCCGAAGAATCGAGGCATAGTTTGGATGAGAAATAATAATTCAAAGCCGTGGGTAGGTGTGAAAGGGAGGCTAAGTGAGTATTGTAGATAGGAAGGGGCTTACTAGAAGAAGATCGGCTTTATATAGAGGAGAGTGTAGTCTAAGCTTAAGATACTTGCTCTGGATAGAGAAGTCATTATTGTTAGCCGGAGAGCTGGTATTTCCTGTTTCCCCTTCCCCAGCATTCTCCAACTTCCCCGTGGGGTTCGTTGGCTGCGGAGAATTTGACAGAACCTTGGCCCGGTGACGCTTAACCTCCTAAAGTTAGTATTGGGGATAAGGTCGCTGGGTAGTAAAGTATGCTGTTTGTGTCTGGGGAGGTGTGGAGAACCCCGTGTCTATGAATGTAGTTATTGGTAGAGAAATGGGATAGGGTTGGCTGGGGATCAATGGACCCGTTAGGTTCAGTGCAACAGGCCCCTTACAGCCATCCCATGGCAGGTAGGATCTCCTCCGCGGCTATATGGTTAGATATAGGCTCCATGGTGAATGCTACGTGTATCACTCTAGGCTTTGTGTCCTTGCTCACGGAGATTGCATTTAGCTCAATGTGGATCCAACAGAGCAGATTGTCACATCCATGACACTCATTCAAATGCACCGCGATTCGGCATATTTCCCAGAGGTCAAACGCACCGCGACAAGTCTGGTAGTGTGAAGAGAAACACACAATGATAACGCCAACCAAGCTGAACGTGGGAGTAGTTGGCATTGGCCGTATGGGCCAGTCGCATGCCCTGAACCTGCTTAATAAGACACCTCGTGCCGATTTGCTCTGCGCTTGTTCGCCAGCAGAGCAGGATCTCAGATGGGGGAGGGAGCATCTGGCACCCCATGGGGTCAAGTTGTACGCCACCTTTGATGAGACGATTGAGACACCGGGCCTTCAGGCCATTATCATCGCCTCATTGTCTGCCCTGCACGCCGAACAGACAAAGGCAGCGCTCGGCAGGGGCATTCATGTCCTGTGCGAGAAGCCCGTCTGTACTACAGTGAAGGAGGTAAGAGAGATGACCACGGATGATTTGGCGAATAGTCTGACTGATAATCGATTAGCTTGAGTATATTATCTAGTATGCCGAGGCGAATCTTTAAACAAAACTAATAGTTAGATTTGTGAGGCGGTTTAATGAAAGCTACTAGGATGCCCTCGCTAAGATCAAAGGAGGGGGGATTAGAAAGCTACTTATCTACCGGTCGTAATAATATAAGAAGGGAGATACTGGCCCTTTCTTTAAGGGGTACCTTAGGAACTCTGGCGGTATCTTTATCGACTCTATTATCTATGATATCGATCTCGTATTAATGTTCCTCGGAGGCGATAATTATATTCTAAAGTCTGTATTAGCGGTTAGGATAAACGCTATGTATATAGATCTAGGTGATCTTAGAGATGCTGATAATGCTATGGGAATGTGCGAGTTATGGGATGGCTAGTTTGCCTTCTTTTATAACTTATGAATCGCCGCGTATAGATATAATAGTTAGAGCGAAGTATTTGGTATCTCTAGAAAGATATTAGTAAACCTTACGTCGCGAAGAAATCGAGTAGAACTTTATGATAGGGACGGCTTTATTAAGAGCGATCTGATACCGTCGTGGTATAATCGCTATAAAGATGCTTTCGTGTCGGAGGTGAATAGATAGGTTGATGCGATCTTAGATGGAGCACTGATACCTATCCCTTTAAGATCGTCCTTGATAAGCCTGGTAATTGCTGCGTCGCTGCAGGAGAGCCTCAATATAGGCTAGAAGATCTAGTTTGACCGCACTGGAAAGCCACTGGAGTTGCCTTACACTAGATTATAGGTAGAATAGGCATGCGCATGAATATCACATGATCACAGGCTTATCCTTTATTTCATTTAAATTACCTATCTCTATCATTCTCAGGCTGTCTCTTTTGAATCTCATCAACATCCTTAGTCTCTTTTACCATGGCCGCATAAATGTCTTCCGCAACCCAACGATTCAGCCTGGTATCTCACCAACTCTACGCCGAAGATGGTGGCAAGGCTTTGCCACCTCACATCTTTGACACGAGCTCAAATGATGTGTTTCGTATTAGTGGCACTGCCGTCTTGTGGGCATAGACTATTTATGCGCTTCTAAACACGGGTGCTGACACTTATTGCACCGCAAGGTTATAACATAGGCGATCCGTACACCCTTGACCAAAGCCAAGAAAGGGTTCCTTAGAGATACCCCACTGGAAGAACTTCTGGTTCCTCTGTTACATGTGAGATAGTCTTTTGACAAGGCATTCAAACTGTCGTTTGTATTCAGGCCCTAACTAACCACAAAAGCATGTCCGATAAGCTTCCGCAATCAAGCCCAATCTAGGTAGTGGAGGAGATCGTCGTGTGCAACGTTCTTCACAAAGACGCAGCTTTCGTCACGTGCGCCTCTGCCCTGGCCGTCTGCTACGTGACTACGTCGGATCCATGGTGCGTCAAAATCTTTTCTGGCCCTTTCGTAACGCACGTGTCAACCCGGACCCTGAGGCTCATCATAGATAATGGCTGCTTCTCAGCGACCTCTATTTTAAGCATTATGACATGGATCGGGTGCGGCAGACGGTGCAGTGGATCGTTGCGGTGGCGGAGCGAAACCACGCCGAGCGGGCGGTGGTGTGCGGCGACCTACTGACGAGCTGAACGATGCAGCTGACGCAGGAGATGGGCTGTGTAGCGGCAATGGCACAAAAGCGCCAATGAAATAATGCTTCAAGGATGTCACAGGTCGGCGGCTTAGCCGCCGACGCGGGTCAAAGGAGCACCAGGTCATGGAGACATTTATCAATCCTCGTCCATGGCTAATAATAGAGATGTAAGAAATTTCTATAGTAATATATAAACATTTGTTGGGAGATCTATCTCTCTTTGATGATTTTGTTAGAGGTCATATCATAACGCAAAGTCCTATCTCATGAAAGTTGGAGTATTTATAAGGTGTCAGGCGTTCTTAGCTTACCTATTTGTCGGCGTGTTGCAGCCTGATCTGATGAAATGCTGCGAAACTTGGCAAGCCACATGCAAGCTTCGCCTCAATACTGCCTAACTTCTCTCATCTCACCGACAACGCAGAATATCCCATGTCAGGCTTATGGAAACTGCGCTGGGCCACTCCAAGGATGTGATGGCGAGACTGAAAGATTATTTGGAGGAATGCTCAGGAGAGGTATATATAAAAGCACATCGCTATTAGTTCTTGTAGAGTCAGGCCACAAAAATGCCATTCGCAGCCAAAGTCGGCTATGCCCTCCCTTTGTAAACCCCTCGCCAAAATCCCATCCTTCTAGAAAGAGGGTGTGCTATGAGTTGTCAATGGTGCACCTGTTGCCACCTTAGGCAGTAATCCTGAAGAGCCTGATTCTCCTTCGGGCTTGTCCGTGGAACATGCAGGAAAGCCACTCCGCCCAGCGGCTCAGGCCGGCAGTGTATTGGTTGGGAATGCGGCAAGGTGCACTTTTCTACCTTGATATTAGGCGGATCGGCGTCTTTTGGCCCAGTGCATTTGCAGGTAGAATATTTGGTTCCTGTGCATATGTATCTATTTAACCGTGCCCTCCTGCATTGAAAATGTCCATTGAAACCAACATATCCCTGATCGCGCAATCCTCTCTCATGCATCTTCGTTTCCACCCGTTCTCTTTCATCGGAGGGCAGCACCAAAAAGAAAATGGTAACCCAGACTTTCCCTGCCGAATACTCTAATAAGAATGTATTGGAAAACTTCCTCGACCAAAGGTTTGGGGAGGGTCAGTATTCCATCCGCGTAAGTTACGAGGAGCCCTGTCAGAATCATCGGTGCTGAAAGGCCTAACTTTGCAGGGGATGAGAGGCAGTGACTGGGTTATCACTGTCCCTATGCTTTTGACCACGGTGGGTGTTGACAGAGATCCGTTACTTGCAGATGCGTAGCTTACAACCATACCTCACTCAGGACGAGATTGCGCATATCCGTAGACGCGCTATAGACGCATCTCATGGTTTCGCTTCAGACCAATCCAGGGAGTCATTTGACAATGGCAACTTGCTTCTGCTCGACAAGCGGCATTCCATACTGACCCAAACTAATGACCCTGAGGCCACGTTATCAAACGACATTGAGGACGTGTGCAAAATGCAGCATACCGAGGAACCCCTAAGCCTTGGCGCTGTTGATCGAATTTCCCTAGCCGGCCTCCTTTCCAACGCTATGCAGCCGTGTGTACTCGATGGGACCAAAGAATTTCTGCCTCATAGCGAGCTTCAACGGATTTGCACTTTCGACAACGTTATCCGAGAGCTCAAAGAATTCTTTCAAGAGGAGCAGGCTCAAAGTTACGCTGCCTACGTGTGCGGCAAACCGTTGGAGAACTTGCAACCGAGAGATTCGGCTCTCAAGGTATTCGCTATACTCGCGTTGATTCACGAGCTGGATAGTCTCCCTCGTTTTGTCGAATCTCAAATCTACGACAGAGACCTCCCCTTCATCTGGGGGCCCCAATACCAGTTGCTCTGCTCACAGAGACGTCAGAACGCTGGTAACCACACTGTGGAAGAACATTGTTTCAAGAAAAACGAGCAGAGATTTATGCGGGACTTCTACAGGCAGCAATGGACCGTTCTGGTCCCGTTCATCGCCAAGACCGGGAACATGGAAGCGTCACATTATGTGCTTGAGACCGATACAATCATGCCTTGGACTTCCTTCGAACCCGTGGCTCACAATGGCGGGTATTGCGAGGTTTTCAAAGTCAAGATTCACCCGGACCAACATGCTTTCGTAAGTGTCTTTTTGCAGTACCTTCTGGTGGGTGAGGGGATTTTGCATCTGACCATCTAATGTAGTACGGCAATGAGGTTTTTGCTCTCAAGGTTCTCACACCAGGAGACAACGAGGAGTTCTTCCAGAAAGAACTCTATGCTTTGAGAAAAGCTCCGCCCGGGCCCCATGTGGTAAATCTATTCGCAACATTCACACAGGGGGACAAATCCTCCTTCCTCTTCCCCTGGGCTGAGCAGGGGAGTCTACGTGATCTGATGATACAGGACCCTTCGGAGGTATTGACCTCGGCGTCAGATTCACCCAAGGAGCTTATTAGGTGGATTGCCGAGCAATGCACGGGGCTTGCTCAAGGGCTAAACAGCATTCACAACTTGAACCCCGCTGTTAGGAGAGGGCGGGACGCTGTTAAAAGAGAATGGGAGAACAGGTACGGAATTCATGGGAATGTGAAGCCAGAAAACATCCTGCGATTCTTTTCAGAAGGTTATTCTCATATGCTCGGTGAGTTAAAGCTTTCTGACTTTCGCCTTGCTGATTTCCACGACACGGTTTCGAAACCGTCCTTCTCCTCAACCTACGACTCGCCAGAGCAGAGCTCCAACAACTACTATTACGTGTCTAGGAAGTCTGACATATGGGCTTTGGGATGCGTCTTCACGGAGCTTTTAACCTGGGCGGCCCGTGGTCGGGAAAGCCTAGAGGCGTATGGTCAAGATCGTCTAAATGAGAAAGACTTGGGCCGCTCGCGTGACAACTGGCTGGCGGATACGTTCTTCGGAAAGGATTTCAGAATCGATGGCACTACAGTGATTCCCGAAGCCTTCTTTGTCAAAAGGTCTGTCCACAAAGTATGCCAATTCCATTCCCATCAATAAATGAACTCAGACTAACCAAGAGTAGTGCATAGAGGAGAACAAGGAGGCGGTATCTGGAGCTGGCCACGAGTCAAGCTACTTGATCGATTTTCTAGACTTCATCCGCGACCGGATGTTAGTGATCGATTATAGTAAGCGGGCCACGTCTCGTGAAGTCAGCGAGTTTCTCAGAGACAAGATGGAGTATTACTTCATCACTCTTCCCGATCTTGACGCCCAAGTCACCGAAAGCGTTGTCATGGACAGCGATATCGAGAGCATTTTCTCTGCATTCTCCGCCCCTTCGTCTCAAACATCATTCAATGAAGTTACTCAAGGGGCTATTGTCGAGCTCGTTCAGTTGCTTCTCGGCAATGAGGACCTGAAGGGTCTCTATCCTTCTGCACTCTCACTAGTTGGACCTCAGAGATTTCGACGGAACTTTCCTCGTTTATTGAAGATGTATGGCCAGAGACTCCATCAGGAGGCAAGAAATGAACCTCAGCGCCAGGCAGCACAATTTATCAGGAGGTCAAGACACCAGGCCGTCGCCATGATGGCGCGAAAGCTGGAACAAGGAGATGGCATCTCCTGGTCACAGAGACTGGACTCATTCGGATCAACTGCTCGACAAGCACGAGTCAATGAGTGGCTGGATCAATCAGGAGCAGATGAGGGACAAATCAACACGCCTCTCGCAGCGACCGATACCGCATTGAAGAATGAGCAGGATGAATTTGAATCAAGCGACTCCGAGAACGAAGGCGAGTCCTCATTACCGAGTCTCAATGAGGTCAAAGAGTTCATGATTTCGGCTGATGCCTTTCTCATCCTTTGCCGGGAATTCCGAGTTTGGCTTAAACTGGACAAAGAGGACGATAACGAATCGGAGAGGACCAACGAACCCCCAGTCAATGACAAGAAAGACATTAACATCACGGATCACCAACCTTCTCCGGAACAAGGTAAAGTCGGTGTGTATAACTATACATTGCCCATTACTAAACTATCTAGATCATGAAATGGAACAAGACGCGGTTTCATTTTCAGCCGAACCGAAACCCACCGATCCAAGCCAATCCGAAGAAGAGGTCAACGGTGGTTCTTCCGATGGGTTAGCTCGTTGTACAGTGAAAGAGAAAATCACTCTATGGTTATCCATGTGGAAATGGCTTACAGATAGCTGCTTCCCACCACCACCTGGTTTCCAGAGGCTCTACTACACATGCGTCAGTTTCTCTAATCTCTATAGTCACGGGAGGTACTCTGACAGGCTTTTAGGGCTGTGGAGAGCTAACATATCTTGATGTGAGAGAACTGTCGACAGGTGGGCTAATGAGATTTGAACAGAATCTCCTTAGCAGTGTTGCCGCTGTTAGATCTCGACCTCAGGCTTCAAATACACCAGCCCCTGTTGCCCCAAGACCACCACCCCAAGCACATGTAGTGGGTGCAAGAGCTGCTAACCAAGGAGCTCACGCGTCCCCAAACTCATTGCAGACTGGGCAGGCACATCTTCAGCCGTCGAAATCCTCGGGGCTTAGTAGTACTTCAAACAGCAATACGAACATTTCCAACCAGAGACAGGAGCCGCAATACCTGTTATTGTGCATCAACACAAGGAATTCAACAACACTAGACACCATCGTTGTCAGCTCTATCACAAATGATCAATACTTGTTTGAGAGCATTCTGGACAGGTATCGGCAGGTTCGGGCTGAACACGAGTGGACAATTTCAAGAGCCATACCACCGTGGATTCGAAGAACAGCAACAGCGGTAGCAGCAATAGCAACATCATGGTTGCCAATCTTGTCAACATTGGCGGATTATCTTTCCGCTTTTCTTTCGGGTATCCTTCCTAAAATCATGAGTCTTCACAAAATCGCTTCCGGTGATTTCGTACAGGTAAGTCCATAGCCGACAATATCCAACCAAACTGACATGCATCTAGTTTTACTTGGTGCCTGTGGGTCTAGACTGTTGTCCCAGATCCTTCAAAACACGAGATTTTCCCCCACAAAAGGAGGTCACAGAGGGGCGATATATTTACAAACCCTTCCCCATGGAAGATGCTCTTGTTGCTGATATACCATTGCCACATTTGTTGAAGCCGGGCCCTCATACTGGCCTTTTTTGGAAATTACTTTTTCCCAAGAAACTTCAGGAGGGGCTTTCGAGACCAGGTGGAGACAACGACAATGGGCAACTTATAAACGGCTGGGGAATTCGCATCAACGAGAGTTTAAATTGGGTCTTTATCTTGTTCTGGTTAATGGTTATTCTTATCCTTATTGGCGTTGGAGTTATTGTGTATATTGCTATTACCTCGGATCACTCTTCTGGATTTGGACTAGGCGCGCTCTTAGCGGCTATGCTCACGGTTTACATGACCTACCAGTTTCTAGCGTGGAAAGAGGAGATATAGCTTAGCAAAGGTATAGAAACTAATAGCCCGGATAGGGTTAGAGTTAGCATAGGTCTGCGGGTCTTAAAGAAAATATTTCTTACTTTAAAAAATTAAGTTTAAAGAATTTTAGAAAAATTAGTTTTATAATATATAAGACCTAACCTATATTATTAAATAGCCCTTTTTCTAAGGTTTATAAGAATATATATTTTTATTATTTTATAACTAAGGCTAGCTTATATTAAGCTATAAAAAGTTATCGCAAACAAAGGAGAAAGCGAGCTGCACCGAAGTGAAAGCCGCCTTCGAAAAAGTCCGCGAGGAATGTGTTAACGACGAGGACTATTGCCTTCGGAGGCTCAAGAAGCCACCCAAGCGGAAGACCACCGACCTGTCGCTGTTGGAGGCGGTACCCGTTGGCATGCCAAAAGAGGTAGAGCCATCTCTTCCCAGGCACAGCGTGTCATCCGAATGCTCTTCGCCCCGGTTCCTACCTCCCCGGCGCAACTCAGGGTCTTCTACACCTAGAAAGCGTCATTCTATTTCAGAAGCTACAATCCACGAAGAGTCGGATGTACCTGACCTAGGGGGTTATACCTCTCTGGCTGTAACCCAGGGGCCGCCTCCGCAGCCTAATCCGCAGCCCGACGAGCAAAAGAAATCTTATGACCTCCTAGACGAGAATTCACTTCTTTCAGCCACACCAAAGTTCATGTCGGTGCCATCTGATATAGACCTCCAGGTAGGATCAAGTGAAAGAAGGGCGTCAGGCCAGAAAGGATCCAGGCCTTGCGTGTCCGGTGACTCTCCAGATAAAGATACAGCTGTTTATGAGCCAAGTCCTGGAGGTGGGAGCGAAGATGAGAGGAGCCAGATATCAGAACGGGAGAAGCAACTAGATCCGAGTCATGGACGTATGTCGCTGCAGGAGGATAAAGGTAGCAAAGGGAGTATTATCAGCGAGGAGGTCAGAGAGTACAAAGATTTTTAAGACGTGTGTGCTGTTATTAGGGCATAGATAGTTAGGAAGAAATAATCAGCGGTCTGGATAGGGTCAGGGTTTGGGAATGCTCGCAGTATTGATGATCTGCTCGACCGAGTTCATCCACCCGAAAACAACCGTTACTCAGAGTCATATCTCAAGATTGCTTCAGGGCAAGGTGGTACGTGAACATCTGGCTCTAGTTTCAAAGCCGTAGAAGTAGAAACTGGGTTTATCCCCACTGTCGTGGTAGATGATATATTAGCAAAGGCTACATGATTGCTGCAACTTAAGATGTGTCTACCAAAAGATGTTGTTGCGTAACTATATCTTCATTTTTTCGCCTATGACAATCGGTTTCTAACACTACTAAAGAATAATCTATTCCACTGTCCTCTCTCGGCCCTCACCGTCTTTCCAAACCACTCCCTGCAAGACGCCAGGGACGACGCATTCAGTCAGAAACCTATAACCCCCACCAGCACGACGGACAATGATGGATGCATTACAAGAGTCGATCTCGAGTGTAAGTCAGCATCTGAATCAGATCATTGCCCCATCGCAGAGCGGGGTCCTTCCTCTGACGCATCAAGAAGCTCACCCCCCTGAGGGGGCAGCAGATCTCCCACAGTTCGACTATCTCCATGGCCAGGGCTCGAACGCGAGATCCCGGGTAGCGGCTAGAGCCTGCTTTCTAGTGCATACAATGATTTGATGCTCATGTAATTGTTGTGCTGGTGTGGCTACAACCAAGAATGATTGAAGCATGATAGGAGCGGTTGGGCGTAGCTTGCATAACGAGGAAGAGACCTGGAATTAATCCATGCCAAAGTGTGAACTGGAATTGGGGGCCGAGGCCCGGTGTGGTATACTATTCATTGCCGCGAGGGAAGTTGTCAAGGCTTTAGGTGCTGTTACTGCGCAGCCTTCTCAGGTTGACTTTCCATACCTGATAAATTCAATGATATGCTACAGGATGGTTCAAAGTGCATTGGGAAACTATTGCCAGTGGCAAGGCAACGTCATGCTTGAAACCTCAGTATCCTGCCATTGATCACGAACTCCTCACTTGGTTCTTTGCTATTGTAGCTGAGGGCTTCTTTTGAAGACGTCGTGGAGATCAGTAATGACGGAGGCTTCCAACTCCAATGATGGTATTAACAGGATCGAAAACTGATTGACACAGCCAGCTGACTCTTATAGCCAAGGAGTTACCCAAAACAACACCCAAAAAGCTCGAATCCGTGCCCCAGCTCAATGGAATTCCCAATGAAAAGAGAAATCACAGAGTCTGAACATTCTGGATATGTTAGCCCGGATCTTGGTGGGAACTGAGCCAGAAGATCGAAGGCAGAAGCAGAAAGTCAAAATGCACCCACGACATCCTCATACCTTTCTCATTATTGCCAAATACGGATTTAACGCGTAGTATGAACCCTAACGCTCCTATCCTCTCTACTTGCCCGCCAATGTACGAAACCGCACAGCGCACCCGGGTATAGACGGAACCCCTTCCCTCCTCGTGGCATGATCTTAAAAAGTCAGAGGTCTCTATATGTGGCTTTATTGCCTCAGCTTCGTAACTAGCTTGCCTGTATTCCCTCCCGAAAATAACATCATCCAAGTGTTAGGAATGTCCTTAAAATCTACTTCAACAATCATCTCACTCTTGTCATTGACAATCAGATTGCCTTTCTTCCATTCGTCGACTAATATTTGTCGTACCTCCGACAGGTGGTCGATCCAGTCAATGTTAATAAATCCCAGAATTTGGAGACGCATAATAGCCACCTCCTAGAGTAGAAATCAGCGCCCAATCGAGAAAGTCTAGATATGGAAAGGCTTACGGAGAAGTTCTTGAGACCGATCATGTTAGAATCCCGATTATAGTTCGCAATAGTGCCACTGGGAGGTTAGTATTTTACTTTCATAGTATGCAAGAAGAGGTCATTACCAGGCCGCCACACGTCCAAACTTTGCCAACCTGGTCAACATAAAATCCAGGATATCCCCACCAACGTTGTCTCGAAAGCAAGACGTTAGCACCTAGAACTTGTTATCTGAGATTGGTAAATAATAACATACCAAAGTAAATCTCCACAAATCCCTCGGTCTCCTTGGTAAGATCCTGCTTGAATGAGGGTGATTTATAGTTCAAGCAGACATCTGCTCCCAGATTTTCCACCCATCTGCATTTTGCGTCGGTCCCTGCAAGTCCAATCACCTTATCTGAGTTTAGCAAGGCTCAAGGCTTAGTTCGATTGAGGAGAATTCCCATACCTTGCGACACCCAATCATCTTCTTGGCAATCTGAACCACCATCGTTCCAACTGCCCCAGCCGCACCGCTGGCCACAATGGCATCACTCGGCGTCGCTTTGACAATTTGTGTCAGAGCATAGTAGGCCGTGAGTCCCGGTAGACCCAGTGACCCCAAGAAGTGAGTGACTGGCAAGCCCGGTTGAGTCTCAATGACCGAAACGTTGCTGGCATCATCAATGGAATATTCAGTCCAGCCAGGACTGCCGATGACTAGACTCCCTTCAGGAATGTCTGGGCTTCGGGATTCGACCACCGTAGCGATGCCCAGGGATTTCATCGACTCTCCTACCTGAACCGGCGGTAGGTAAAGCCGTTCTGGTTGGGCGAGGGGTGAAATCCATGAGCGCTGTGCCGGATCATTGCTGAGATACAACGTCTTCAATAACACCTGGCCGTCTTTCAGAGGAGGGATCTTCACAGTCTTCAATACGAAGGTAGGATTATTTCCGTGCAGAATTGGTTCTCCGTAAGGCTTTTCTCGGAGCGTCCAGGTCTGAGACTGGGTGGGTGCAGGAGTAGCCATGGTGTTGGTGAAAGATCTTGGCACAGCAAGGAAAGAATATGGAAACGTGGGTAGAAGATGGTCTATGGGCTCTAATGAAGAAGAAAAGAAGTTTAGTTCTGTAACGCGATAGGTATCGTTATATTGTGTCCACCTGGAGGTTTATCGTAGCAAGGGCCACTCGTCCTAAGACAATTAATTATTCAGCAAGGACACAAGTTCCCCCGAAATGACGCTCGCTACCCGTCCTAACCGACTGGAGGATGCATCCGAATGGTGTGAGATCTGAAAATAAGTGGCGACACCGCGGAATAGGTCGGACACTACATTCTGTATTTGTAATCGCGATAGCCACGAGATAGAGCATAAGCGGAAGATTTTATTATTGCTACCCTAGAGTATTTAAGTAAAAGCAGTTATAAAACTAACCCTAACATGCGGGCGTAGATGTCTGCTAGTTTTGCTCTCATCCGCGGTGTTCTGATGATCTCGAGGAACCCAGAGCATGTCGTGACCTTTTCTGAAATTCTGGTGATTGCCTTTGACAGCGTTTCTGCGATATCTCCGTAAGTCTTCGCTGCCTTGTTTTGTGAGTTAGTGCTGTCTTGAAGTCCTCCATGCTCTGGTCAACCCACCGTCATCAGGCACGAGAGGCTCGCACAGAGGACCGAAGTGTAGATGTTTTGAGACGGAAATATCGCAAAGACGCGCTTGTGATTATCCAGGGTCTTTCACAGCGACATGAAACTCGTATGTACCTAGGCAATGCGTGTCAGTGTGATGGGCGAGAATTTACAATGCTCAACTCACGCGTCCGTGTTTTGCCTTCCACTCCTTCTCCAGGTTGTCAATTGACGCTTTGAGACTTTCAAAGTCTCCTTGTACTGCATCCGTAAGCACTTCGATTGTTTTTGTCTTTGTAGACTTGGTTGATATGCCGATGCGTTGCATCATTGACGGTTTTGCGCTTTCTGTCAACTTGTCAATCGTCTCTTGCAGGGCAACCCTAGCGATTTCCGCGATCTGGAAGTCCTTCATGTGAGATAATGCTCATGGGTGTAGGGCGTAACCTTACGAATTCTCGGGGCTCTTGAAGAACAGCTCCAGGCGTTGGCGCTCTCTCATCTCGTGCTCTTCATCAATTTCTGCTTGTGCGGCTTTGGTCGACCGCTCCAGGTTATCAGCTCCAGTGAGTTGGTCTGTGAACCGGCGAACAATGATCCTGCTGTTGAACATCTGGTCCTCGAGATCATCAAATGGTGATTACCGATTCTCCATCTTACTCGTGCGATAATGAAGAACCAACAATTAGAGTACGGACAATAACGGCCACTATTTCCCCTATGCATACTACGGCTAGGCTAATAATTTGTAGCCACTACGCTTTGCATATGTCTCAACACCTGCGATTACGGGACCAGACTACTATACTCCATTGCGGGGCGCCTGAATCAGCGAATCTACATTTAGTACTCCGTAGACAGGATGCCTCATTTTGCCTTGTTTTCTCCAACTCGCTGAACCGAGTCCACCATGTCTGCGTGACACGGCATAGAGCAGCAGCAAATGCGAGAGCGCTCTGAGGGATGTCACACGGTGCCTACCAGTGGGCTTCTCATGCCAAGTTGCACTTGACCACTCCGGTCAAAATGCAGCTTACTCCCATTTTCCAATGCATCTCAACACTTCGGCGTGCATCAGCTGAACGACACCTTCTGCATTAGTGGTGTCTTAACCCGGGCAGCTACACTCATTTCTTGGTAGGCGAGCAGGGCACATTGGCTTCATCATTCTTTATTGGCTTAGCAAGTTTCTTACACCAGGCAACAGCAACAAATACGGCAACGTTGCGAATCATTTAGATGAATGCCACCAATGGACATATCACTTCCACGCCACGCTGCAATCTCATGTCTGTGGTTAGAGCAGCCTGCCGCTGTGGCAGCAATCTGAGAACCCCCTCAAAAGAAGGCTACCAATGGGCGTCTTGCTTGTCAGCCATCCTGTGGGATTATGTCTCGGCCAAGACCGGCGTACCGCTGTCGTAATGATTTACAAAATCATCACCGAAGAAAGAAGGCCACCAATGAGCGTTCTAATGGGCCTCTATCTTTAGCTTTCATCTCTCCTCTTGGAGCAAGTCACCGCTTTGGCGAGAGATGTGGCTGCCCCTCCTCACAACCTGGTGATAGCATAGGGCGCTTACAAAGGGCCATTGCATTTCTCAAAATCTGGCAATTTTTCCGCTTTCACAGTCCGTCAACTCGAGCCAGAATTCAGGCTCGGGTGTAAAATCTCAAGAGTCTCATCCTCATCGTTGCAATTGCACCTTCAGTCCGTTCTTCCCACTCTTTTAACTGCAAATCCCTGCGCCCCCACACAACCACCTCTCAAGCCCGAGGTCCAGACTCCATGCGAATCAAGGAGTGTCTATGCCCCTGGTATTAATCTATGGCCAAAGCTTCATGCAAATCTAGCTTCATAAGTGTATTACAACCATAGACAGCAGATATTGATATTCTTTCAGTGACACGTGGCCGTGCACAAGATTAAAGAACACACCTGATAACACATAGCAGCATTAAATCCCAATGCTGTGAAACACATAACTACCATAGACAGCAGGCTTGCCAACCAGAGCCGCGGCGAGACGAGCTGCAACCCGCTATGCAGCCGTTCCAAGACACTTCCTCAAAGCCTGGTGACAACCTAGCCTCTTGGACAACGGAAGCAATGGCCCAATAAGTCAAAGGTGCGGCTTCGGGACCATTCCGCACAACTGTATTTCCCATGGCCAACGGTTCGATCTGAATGTAATCTATTATAAGCCTTGATTACTGTAAGGCACGCGAGCTAGCTAGACCAATGGTTAAAGACATGCCCGAAGGCCTAGAGTGGATGGTGCGTTCTGCGGAGCGATGCCGATGACCAGTCCGAGCGGCTGCCAGGTGGAGGTTTCTTCTTATGTATCTTTCACATCGTATCACTACGGTTGCTCTGGCACAGGGGCTGTGTGACCTACGGCATCAGACATGGATGAAACATATCATCAGGAACACCCCGTCACAGCTGACGTATACGAGCCTATCCAAGAAAGGATAAAATAGACCAACTTCAGGCATTCTTTTAATTAGAAATCAAGAGCTTCCAACACAGTCAAAAATCCCCCGTTGAATTTAACACATGGGTAAGACGAGTTTCTAAGTCACCTAGCTGCTGAGCTATGGGAAGAAATAGAGACAAGCTATGAAAATATAAACCCTACAAACAAGCTTCAGGATTTCTATACCTCCCAACGGTCACAGAGCCAGCCCGCGATACCGCAACACATGAAAGCAGTAAATATCTTAGCCTGCGGGAACCCCGGCCCACCAAACTCAGGATCCAATCCACTGGCCTCGGGGTAGAATTGCGCGCACAAACCGGCGGCCCAGTATATTGACCCGAATATCATGGCGGTTGTAAGGGAGTCCTTGCTGCTGATGCCGGTGGCGGGGCGCCAGGTGTAATACAGCGTGAGGAGTCCGAGCATGATAGACAGGGTGATGGTCTGGCCGTTGTGAAATCTACAATGGCAAGAGTCAACACGTTGATTTTTTAAGTCATGTACTAAACCTACTTTGCGTGTGGCGGCCATCGCGGGTTATACTGGTGCGTCTCATTCATGTCAGCTATGGGTGTCCCCAGCAGCAAACCGGCAGCATCGAGAGTGAGAAGGATCCTGCTGAGCATGGACATCGTGGGGTTGTTTGGAGAAGAAGATGGTGGCGGTAGATATCGATGTGCTTCAACCTTTAGTCAGAGGACATCAATGGTGGGTGAGGAGTGAGATAGAGTTGATAGTTTATAAACACAGGGGGACAAAGTGCCAATCAAGTGGATCAGCACCCTGACAAATAACGACAACGCAGTCCCCGGAGCTTCCGAGGTGGATTTAAATTATTCCATACTCTAGTAGATACCCTAAGCAAAGGCACAAGCTCGGCTGGAGCTGTACTTTATGAGCCTCATTAATAAGTTTTGTATGGTGTTGCATGCCTCGACAGCTCAAATAGGTAATTGTTTCCCGTGTTCACGTCACTCTGCATAATAAGCGCCCCCGGAGTTTTGTAGTATGTAGCAACTTCGGCCTTCGTCGGACAAAGGCTATTCTCCGTTCTCTGCACCGTCTTGTGCGGTGGTGCGCCAGCTTTTCTGCCCAAGGCTCATACCGTATCCTCTCAACTAATTCAGACAGCGCTACGGAGGCAGCCTTCAAATGTTTTGTCCTGGCCAGTAAGCCCCCTGTTGAGACTAGCCAATAAGAAGAGGCAAAAAAAGCCACGATACTTCGGTACTTCTTGTCACCTTTCTTTGCTTTTGAAGCCTCTATATCCCCCCTGAGCTTCACCCGCCTCGCTTCTCGAGATAGCTTCTTTAGCTCTCTCGACTCCCTATAGCTTCAGGGAATAATCCACTGAAGGAATTCAGGCTTTTGTACCTTAGGTACCGACAGGGATAAGCGGCCTTGGCGCTCGTAGCCTTGGGACAAAACTTTTGAAAGCTGCCTCCGTAATATGAGCCTAATGACCCATAAGCCAGTGCCTTTAATTAGAGATATTATTATGACGGGTAACAGTGGGGGAGAAGTAGAAAAATGGAGCAAATTATGCATTAGCTCTGTCTAAATTTGCTGAGAGGATACGGTAATGGCGTGTGACTTTGCATAAATCCGCATTTAATTCTCCAGAATTGGTCTAGACTGCGGGGCAGTCTGATGATCTGGGGAAAGATTAACACGGAAATTACTATCTTACCACAGCGAAACCGAAACCGAAACCGAAGCAGGGATCAGGGGCTTGGATTCTATTTTTATTAATCGTTCTGAGACCACAACAGGTCCTGTTACCATTGACAGCAATCTGACTTGAAACTGCCGCTGCAGAACCTTGATCATAGGAGTAGATCATGATACGTTCTTTCAGCTCGATCTTCTAGGTCGGTTATCCCCGCTTCAACTACAATAAAGAACACATTTCCAAGACATCATAGCATCATACCCCAATGCTAACACAGTATTCTTCCAGCTCAATCCAATAAGACTTCGTCATTTCTCGCCCAATCCTTGTGAGCTCACGAGATCCATGCAAAGGCATACTTCCATGTCACTATTCGATGTGCAAAATGCCGATGGTCTGGTTAGGCTCTTCATTTGCAGATACTATTTAGACTTGATCATCACATGCGCTGATGCAAGGTTCAATTTCCACGACACGGCTTGCGACAGCGTCTCCAAGTACGCGTGAAAGCGTACAGATTTTATCAGAGAGTATACCCTATGGTGGAGTTTTGTAACTAGATAGCCGCCGACTTCTGATTCCTAGACCTCCCTTGGCATCCCCCGAAGTTGCAAAGAAGCGAATCGCTTATGCTTAGAGCACCTATTCTAAAGCCTCCACTGCTTGCGATAGTTGGCCTACGGTATGTCGGCTTAAAAAGTCTCGGAACGTCTCTGGCTTGATGTCAGGGTATTTCGAATTCTCTATAGCGCCGAGGTGGGTTTGTCCGTTGATCAAGTAGTACTTGTAAAACCTGTTCAAGACATTAATTTAATTCTCTAAAGGGTTATGCGGTGACGGTATTGCTTACAAGACCATGTACTTGAAGACATTGTCGGGCTCCTTCTCCTGTACTTCGTACATGTGCTTGTACAAGTCTTCCTTGGAGCCGACCAGATTGAGCTCGGGCTTGAAGCCATACTGGGAGTCAAACAGCTGAAGGATTTGCTTGATGCTGAGACGGTCACCAAGGACTGTGAAGAAAATATCTTAGTAGGAATGGTCAAGTTCCGGTATCGTGTTATATTGCACTCACACTTCTGCACTCCCACAGCCTTGCGATCCAGCACTACCGAGGCGGTATACTCGGCCGAGCTTCGATAGCTTGAAAACTCCAACACTTCATCACCAGTTCCCCAGAAGGTGAATACTTTCTTCTCTGGGTCCCAGGAGTCGAAATATGCCGTAAAGAAAGTATCCATGAAGGCGCCGACCATGACATGCACGCCCTTGATATGTTCCTTCGTATCCAAATGGTCCTTGACTCTCTTCATTGGGTCTTTGGGGAAAAGCTGTCCGTATTCCAACTTGGTATAATCGATGGTCCAGTCGCTCGCCACGAAACGTGAAACGCCCTCAGCCTCACACGCGTCGACAAGGAGCTTTTGACCGTCGATCATAAGCTTGTCGTCGCCCAGATAGCAGCATACAACCACATCGCAGCCCATTGCAAAAGTGCGGGCGGCCGAAGAGTCGAAGGCGGAACCTTGGATAACCTCCACACGGGAGTTACCAGAGAGCGACTTGGCGAGCTTGCGAGGTTCGCGGCAAAAGCCACGCAACTTGACCTCGGAGGCAGGGCGCTTGAGGAGGATCTCGCCAACGAGACGGCCAAATCGACCACTCAGGCCAGCGATTCCAACTGTCAAGGACATGGTTGATCAAAGATTGATGAAGAATAGGTAACTGTTGGTGAGGTAAACTTTGGCAGAGTCGAAAGTCTAAAGCGTGACCATCACCGGTTAGCGTCTCGAAGCACAATAGTTTATATACAGAGAAGGTTTGTTCCAGAGACACACTCCGGATATAAGTTCGGCAATCGAAACACTTAGAACTTCCAGGTTTCGCAAACATCACACTCGCGTTCGCGGTTATACCAGATAATGCCGAAGCGCGAGGAAGCGTGCCAAGGCCATCGGAAGTTCGCATTCTTGGTACACTCTGTAGTTACAGTATGCGTAAAAAGGCTCTACATAGCGTAGTGATAATGTGACATATAATCTTAGTTCTAAATAATGACTGATCGGATTTAGCTTGACTCGGCCTCTACACGGGCCAAGGCTATCGGAAGTTCGCACTTTCGGTAGTCCGTAGTTGTCCGCGAATACTGATGGGCTGCTACTGCACCTGTGCCCGCTTTGGGTCTAAAAGCCAAGCTGGGACCCCATAATCCTTTCGATACTCTTCATTTGCGTACCAATCCAACACAATTTATCCAATGGCGGCTTCCAAGTCCACCAACCGTGCCCCAGCACTCTTCATCTCCCATGGCGGAGGCCCTTTTCCCGTCTTCCTTGAGGACCACGAATCCTACCGCCAAATGCTCCGCGATCAGACTCACTACTTTGACAATGTCCGAGCCATCATCGTCCTGACAGCCCACTGGGAAACGGACCAACCCCACATCACCGGCTCCGACAACCCGGAGATCTTCTACGACTACGATCTCGAGGGTATGCGCAGCAAGCTCCCGAAGGAGGCTTTCCAGATTGAATACAAAGGCAAAGGCAATTCAGAACTAGCTAGTTCCATTGCCGAGCGTCTGCGTACGGCAGGCTTCACTCCTGTGGTCGAGAACCGTGCATGGGATCACGGCGTGTATGTTCCGTTGGGCACCATGTTCCCGGACGGCAACATCCCAATCGTGCAGATGTCCATCCTGAGAGGTGATTCTGAGCAAGATGTTACCGAGAAGAACATCCGTCTGGGAGAGGCGCTCGAGGAATTCCGCGACCAGGGCTTTGCCGTTGTGGGCAGCGGCGGATCTTGCCACGACTTTTCAGTGGTTGGTGCTGCCTACTTTGATCCGGAAGATAAATTGCCGTGGCCTCCGAGAGAAATTCAGCTATTCGAAGACTTCTTGCGAAATGGCGCGCAGACCAAAGACAAGGGACAAAGGCTGAAGTTCCTTCGTGGGTGGCCCGAGGCCCCGGGGAGACACTTGGCCCATGTACCTGGGAGTGTGGAGCATCTGATGCCGTATATTGCTGTTGCTGCAAGCGCTGGCAATGACTCGGGCAGAAGACTTGGTCAGTGGGATTTCAAGGGCACGCCTTACGGAGTGTATATGTGGGAGGCTGATAGCTCCTAAACCATTTAGCTTCTGTTACACACGAGGTTGTTATATAGTTAGTCGTCACACTCCCCTTATCGAATTTTGTTCAATACGAGAAGCCTTCTTCAAATTTGCTCTGTCTCGATGTCGATCACCGTTTCCAGTCGTAAACAGTATGCCGTCCTACTTAGACCTTCAACGTTAAGCTCGATGAGTGACCTGCCGGACACTGAACGCTGCGAGTGTAACCTTTGGAATAACAGCTTTCCTATTTTAGTACTCGAGGGGACTAAAAATCGCCCCCCTAACGGGTAGCATTCCGCCGGTTCATTAAGCTCCGGCAGATTATGACTGCATATTATAGGTCCGTTGTTTTAGCCGGCACCTCGCGCAGATCAATGTATAGCAACCAATTAACCCAAACTTCCGCTTTCTAAGCTAATATCGCATCCGGACTTGGCGGAGGAAGATGAAGCCGAGACTAGTTTCTACTCACGGCATTGAGTGACGGGGACCATTGTCATGTCATGCTTAGTAACAATGGACAGTGAGCGGTGCCACGGAAGACCGGAGGGAGTTCAAGAAGCGAGACGCCGAGATGGGACCTGGAACGGCAGTGGTTCGGCACTGCGAGGGCACAATGACTTCGAAAAGGGCCGACTGTGTTCCAAGTTGGAATGTGGAAACGATCGGCCTCGGCATAGTAACGTTAATCTTGGACCTGGCTATTTGTAATGCCCAACACGAAGCCAAGTCGAAAACAAGCTGACAGATGCACCGCGGCAAGTCATATGCCCCCGTGACTCACCTTGGTAAGAATCAGACCATGAATTTTATACACGTAGAATAATTTAACCAGAATTATAAAAGCTTTCCGATGGCTACTTAACTCTGGCATTGCTCGTTTTTCAATTGTGAGGTTTCGTAACCCTCGGCAAGTTATGTCCAAATTAATCATGGCAATGGGTGAAATCTATAAATGGCTTTTGTCTGCGCGTGTTTGATCGTGACATGGGGAATATGGAAAGATGGGTGTTCGTAAAGCAGCGAAGAGCTGGGTCTGGCGGAGGGTAGCGATAGCTGGGATAAGAGGCTTTTTTGTGTGAATCCTGTGGCAGAAAGGCCTCTTGCATGTCTACCTGACGCCACGCATGATGGGGCAAATGGCTAGCATTTGGCTGTGTGGACGTCGTGTTGGTGGCCAATGCAACAGGTCAGTTTGTGGGGTTGGGCAGCCGACATAATACCTGGCCTAGGAGTCACAGTTGTGAATGCATTTGCCAGGCTATTGAATGAGTCAATGCTAATCGTTCTGCACACGAATCTCGCCGTGTCCTTTTTATCCCCTAATTGAGAAGGAATATAATTGAGAGCCGACATGACGTACGACAATATAACAAAGAACACAGCATCCTTAGTAGAGTAGAGAGAGCCAGCAAAGAGAGAACTATCCAGACTCAACCGATTCGTCCAGCCAGGCGTAACCTTTAGTTAGCCAGCTTCTGTTCCGTCTGCATTACCCGAGACTTCACGTCGGTGACGGTGGTCTTGAACTTCCGTGCCGAGATCCTCCATGTGTATAATTCGTCCAGTTCCTCGTAGGATCGTCCGGCCGTTTCGGGCTGGCAGTAGAATATGTATATGCAGCAAAGAATGGACAGGCCTCCGAAAACAAAAGATATCTGTGGTCAAATAGTCAGTCAAAATTGAATCAAACAAACCGGAAGGGGTAGAATGTGAATTACCTTGGCACCGAGGTTCGCCTTATCGGGGTTGAACATGAATGGGAGGACAAAACTCCACATCGTGTACCAACAGTTCTGTAAAGCGACTCCGATGGCAATCGTCTTGACACGAAGCCGGGCGGTGGCGTTCTCGGTGAGGATGGTGTAGGCGGTGGCACCAATTGTGCTATTGTATATGAACCCATAAAATATCATCATTGCTACGCATCCCTTGATCGAGGCGGTTGTTCCCGCCGTAGCGAGGCCGCCGGCAAGCATGAGAATGACGGTGAGGGTTACGGTGCCCCAGAGCGTAAGATTACGACGTCCGACGCGATCGATCAGATCCCATGAGCATATGTTGCCAAACATGGAGACGACCTGGAGAGCAATGTTGAGCTTGAAGCTCATCTTGCTACTGTAGCCGGCGAGCTGGGCATAGTAGGTTGAATATGAGGCGATGAAGAGTACTCCAGAGAGGGCCTGGATCGACAATGGACTGATGCTGATAATAGTCCGGCGCAGGTTCGAGTAGCGGAAGCATTCGAGGTATGTGACGCCCTCCGTCTCGGCGCGAACCTCATCCAACGTGAGCTTGATAAGAGCGAGGCGCTGCTCGGCACTTTCTTCCACCGTGTATCCCAGGGATCTAAGGCTGCGCAGCGCCTTTGCGTCCTTGCCCTTGCTGGCCAACCACCACGGCGACTCAGGCATGAAGGGAGCGAAAAGGGTTGCCACAGCACAGAATCCGTACTGAGAGCAGAACACGGCACGGTACGCCCATCGTGTAGTCGAGGAACCGGTACCGTCGAGGATCAGTGCCGCGACGAAGGGACCGACTGTATATGCAAAGGCGATGATGCAAGTCAGCATACCACGGAGGGCGAGTGGGCTGATCTCGCCAATGTAGGTGGCGGTTGTAGCGGCCAAGGTGCCGACGGCGAATCCGTTGACCAGCTTCCCAGCGAAGAAGACGGGGTTAGTCGTCGCCACGAATTCAAGGCTTATAGCGGCGTATGAAACGAGGAGAGAGGCCATGATGGTCCATTTACGGCCGATCGAATCCGCCACCTGGGCAGCTATCAATGCACCTATAGCCGTCCTTTGCACATGTTAGACGATCCAGCCGAGTTGCGTTGGGGGAAACTGACGAAGCCACGGGAGCCCCAGAAAATGCAGACTGCCAGTTGCCTGGGATGACATAGTCCCCTTTGTAATAGTTGCCAAAGTCTTTTCGAAACTGTGGGATACCGATGACTATTCCGGACGCGTTGTTTTCGAAACTAACCAGGAGGGTGCACCATGCGGCGAACAGGCACCATGCGAATGCGCGAGGATTGCTCTTGATGGCTTGCCATTTGCCAGGTTGATGTTCCTCTTCGTTTGCCAACTGGGCAATGGCTGGTGCGGCCACTGCCTCTTCTTCATGGCTCGCAGAGAGTGGATCACCCATTTGGACTTTGGCCATGATGAAACGATGCTGATCAGAGTAAGGAGGAATGATTTGATAAAGAGGTGAAGATGAGATGAGAGTGAGTTGGTTGCCGAGAAAGAAAGAAATGCAGCAACATGGTAGGTTCTTATAGACAATTGAAGGAGCTTCGTTCATGGCCCGGCACACGCCATCTAGATACTCACGAGGCACGGAGAGGAGAGACTGGTGACAATAGTGTTGAGAGGGCAACGAATAAGAGGTGTCCCGGACTTCCCCAGAATGATTGTCGTATGATGGGGGTGTGGGACACCGTCACTCCACGTACCGAAGACCGGTTAAAGTCCAGCAGAGGGTAAACTGGGCTTGGTCCATTCCATGGACATGGAACCGGGCGAGACGAGAAGGCGGGGAGAGCAGGGGGGTTACAGTCCAAGAGAAGCATAGGGAAGAGTCTTGGCCTCTTTAGATGGAATAACTTCGGGCGCCACACAGACACTATCCGCAGCCTCCTCGTTCGTGTCACTTCGCTAACGCGCTCCGACCAGACCCCATTCGACCACCACACTAACGATTTATGTATTGCCTAAACCTCGGATCTGAAGCTCCTCAGCATCGTGCGTGCGACTTGTCTGTCACCTGGTTTCCCACACCACGGCTCAAGTTCGGAATCACTCCTACAGTGCAGCCAAAGACTGAAGCCTTCTATGCATGAGTGAGGATGCCCACCAGAAACAACATCCGAAATTTAAGCGCACAGCTGAGTCCCATCCCAGGGCCCAAGGAATGTGCACCTTCACGAGCCCAATATTGCTGACCGACTTGTTTCCGTGTTGACTAAGGATCTTGACCAAAAAGCATAAATAACAAACGTCTTTGATGGCTTCTAGGGATGATGGATAACTTCAAGCATACGGTTCTCGCATCCTCCTATTCAGTTCAATTACTCACTTTTCACCTACACTACCCATTTGTCCAAATCAACAGCCACAATGCAGCCAGCTCAGGACATCCCCCATCTACGGAAGACTGTGAACTCCCACCAGCTCATCGTCAAGGGCAAGCCGTTCCTATGCCTCGGTGGTGAACTGCACAACTCTAGCATGTCCAACGCCGAGTTCATGAGGGGCGTGTGGCCAAACATGAAGGCAATGAACGTCAACGCGTTGCTTGGTGGAGTTCACTGGGAGATGATTGAGCCCACCGAGGGTAACTTCGACTTCTCGGAGCTCGATCAGATGATTCTGGATGCCCGGGGACACGGTCTCCACCTCGTCCTTCTCTGGTTTGGCAGCTTCAAGAATGCTCGGAGCACCTACGTCCCTGCCTGGGTCAAGAAGGACCACAAGCGCTTCCCCCGCATCCACGCCGAGGTAGACCGCAAGAAGGAAACTCTCGAGCTTCTCTCCCCCTTCCACTCACGGTCATGGGAGGCAGATGCCAAGGCATTCGCCACCCTGATGCGCCATATCCGTGAGTTCGATGGCGACCACAGCACCGTCATCATGGTGCAGGTCGAAAACGAAACCGGCCTGCTCGGCGACTCAAGAGACAGATCGCCCCTGGCCAATAAGCTCTTCAGCGAGCCCATCCCAGAGGACCTTTTGAACCATTTGAAGTCCTCCGCCGGGCACCCCAGGTTCCAGAAGCGTTTCCCCGGGTTTTCCAACGTCTCAGCAGGCGCAACTTGGGAGCAGGCCTTCGGCAAGGGCCTCGGAGCTGAAGAAGCCTTCATGGCGCATGGCTTCTCAAACTACATTGGCCAGGTTGCCGCTGCCGGCAAAGCTGAATATCCCATCCCCTTCTACACCAACACGTGGATCAGCTTTGATGAGCCCAGTACGCTGGACCTCTCTGCCTCTCTTGGCCCCCACAGATCGCTCGTCGCTGCCGGAGGCGTCAAGCCCGGTATGTATCCCTCCGGCGGTCCTTACCCCCAGGTCATGGATATCTGGAAGTTCAACGCTCCTGCCCTTGACTTCCTTTCCCCTGACGTCTACTTCCATAATTACGAATGGGTGTGCCAGCAGTACCGGTACCAGAACCAACCCCTTTTCATCCCGGAGCAGAAGCGTGACGAAGCCGGCGCCCGCAGGGTCTTTCTCGCATTCGGCACGTACGGCGCGATGGGGTGCTCGCCTTTCGGCATCGACACGCTCGAGGCCGCGACAAGCCCGATGACTAGAGTATACGGACTGTTGCAGTCGATGAGCAAATACATTCTCGATGCGCAAGCCAATCGTCCGGATGATATCACCGGGTTCTTCTTCGATGAACACAAGGACGAGGAGGATGAGCCAGAGAAGTGGGTCAAGGTCTTTGGCGACTTTGAATTGACCATTGTGAGGTCATTTGTATTTGGCAAGCCGGGACCTGGATGCGGTATCATTATTCACCAGGGCGACGGCAAGTTCCTACTGCTCGGTTGGGGCTACCAGGTCATTTTCAGGAGTACTAACCCCAAGTCCACTTTCGCTGGTATCCTCAATTGCGCGGAGAAGATTGTCGATGGTGACGGCAACCTCACTACAGGCCGTGTGATGAATGGCGACGAGACCCGCCATGGAGAGTTCTATATCATGCCTAACGAGGACCCTGACTATGGCGGCTTCCCCATTGCAGTCACTATCCCTGCCAAGACTGCCATTGCAGAGGTTGTTGCTTACAGCCTGGAGGAGGATGAGGATGAGCTATGAACGAACGAGTCCACGTCATTCATTAGGTTTTCTTGCTGTTGGGATTTATGTAGTTAGATATATAAACACACCTCCGAGACCAAATCAAGGTATTACTTTTGTCCTCCGTTCGTCCCTCTTTGTTCTTCCTTTCGTCCCTTTTTATCGCCACAACATATTGCGAGGGTTCCAACTGACTTTAGGAAGCTGCCTGCTCGTCGATGGTGAATCCATGATTCTGGTCGAGCCTCTCCAGCTTCGCTAGTAATTTATCAAGGTTTACAAGGGTGTTTGGCGTATTCGCATGCTCAGTGAGAAGAGTCAGGCCGATGTCCCGAAGTTTCAATACTAGAGTATACCCATTAACTTCAAGAATCTCGTCTGGTGTTAGGCAAACAATGGCAAGCATATCATCAATGATTCGTTGCCTTTCCATGGCAGGCTCGACAGATGCCGCCGGCGAGTCCGTACCCTTGGAAATACAGTCGATCTGGTCGACAAGGTTCGATCTTATATGAATTTGCGTGATGTACAAGTTGACGATCTGTACATCAGTGCCGAGATTGCTACATGGTGGCCTTGACAGGCCACCACGCCAACGAAGCTCTCTGGGGAGATCATCAAGTGCTGCCTGTACACGATGTAAAGCACTCTGCAGAGTGGAGAGCGTGGCCGGTCTTTCCTGCTGGACTTGATACCATATTTGGAAGAGATTTACTAGGTGAACGAGGCCGGGGATGTAAGAAGTCGCATCACCGTGCCAAGGGTGGTGATCCTGGAGCGTCACGTGTGGTTCAAGTTCCTGATCCGTGCAGAAAAGGGGTTTCCGAGACAATAGAGTTGCGGAATCGACAAGGGCCATCGCGTGGAGCCTCCCTAGAATCCCAAAGGTGCTATGAGATCCGTCAGAACTATTATGGTTAGGAGGGAAAAGAGGTAGGTACTCACCACTGGCCTGCAAAAATAAGATACAATAGTCGTTTTAGTAGCTCCCTCGATATGAATGAGAGTTTATCTGGGGTTGAAAAGAGGAGGTATCTGACACCAGCGGCAGCTTCAGACAAGAGGTGGATGACAGTGGGGCTGTCGGTCCCATATTTTGTCAAATAAGCAACCGCTAGATTGTACTTGGTTTGGCACCACTCCAGGGTGAATTCCATTCGTGGAGCCCCGGGGTCGTTATTGCGGATAATCTTCATGCATTTGGAGAGCGTGACCACTCCCCGGTGCCGTGACCTCTTTAGTACCGAGATGGTAGCTGCACACACCGAGACGACAAGATTACAAAACTCGGGGTCACGCGATGCGTCGCCGTTTGCGAGTCTCCTGAGGAAGCTGGCGCGGTGTAGAACGGGGCTGACACAATGGACCAGCTCGAACCAGTCCTCAATGGTCTCGGCGATGATATGTGGTGGACCAAGCTGGTTCAGACCACAGTGAGAGTCTGTAGCTGCCGAGGAATGCGTGGATCCTGGCGTATGAGATATCAACGGAGGCGACGTATCTGAACAGGCCTCGTGCTGTCGCTGAGCCGTGACATATCTAGACTAGAATCAGTACAATGAAGGATACTAATAATATCAGGGTCAACCGACTGGTTCACAGGACCCCTCCTCTTCTTGGGCATATTGCGCGTACATGGGATCTCCAAGGCCACACAGGAATAGCAGTTGGCACCATTATACTCGCACTTGTCCGCGAACAGTCATTAGCATTTGCATATTTACTAGGCAAGAAAGATTGCCTGCTGATCGACGCATGGGCGCGGCGGACGGAGCACGTTACCTTGGTCTTGCGGGCTCTACATGCATCGCAAGCATTGCTATTGCGCTTTCGAGGCTGCATTGTCGGTCGGCTGGCTTGTCGGATTGAATGTGTTGTTTTTTCGGGCAGGGAAGGGTCTGGGATAAATTTCGGATGGTTAAGAACGCGCCTGATGCCTGGGTTTTGTACGAGGAGGGGTAGCCCCACCATGATGGACCGGCAATTAATACCCGTTAGTATGGACTTGCCGGGCCTAACTGAGAGGCGCCGAATATATGACGTCTAGTGTTTTCCAAGGGAATAAACCAGGCGTACTAGGTTTATTATTAGTAGGGAGTCTCGGCGTTACTATGCAATAGGGGAATTACGTCTTAGTAATAGGTTAAGGTCTTAAAGGTAACTAAAGTCTATTAATAGCTTAAGGGCTAAGTATTTATCTAAGGTATAGTAAATATTATATATATATAAGGGGCCTTATACTTATAGAAATAAGGTCTAAGTAAGGGCCTTATACTTATAAAAATAAGGTCTAAATAAGGGCCTTATATTTATAGAAGTAAGGTCTCTTATAGTTAGTATATTAAGAAGGGAAAATATAGGGAATAAAAATAATATATAATAAGAGATATATTAGGCTATAATATAATCTCTCTTCTCTTATTAATTCTTACCCTTAAGATTATTTTCTTAGGCTAAGGTTCTTTTAATTAATTAATCTTAATTTCTTCCTATAAATATTCTTATATTAATATAATATTAAGTTATATTAATAAAAGAAAATCTATTAATTTAAACTGTGATATAATTATATATTATTTAATTATTATTAAAATTAATTAATTTAATTATAAAGTTATACCTTATAGTCGCTATAAAAAGAAAGGTATTTTATATAAGATATTAGAGGGTTATCTTAAGTATAATCTTTATATTAGCTTAAGATATCCTTATAATATTATAGGTATTTTATTATTATTATATAAGTTCTTTATTTAATTATATAATTTTCTTATATTTTAGCTAATATACTTTATAGTAAATTAAATTATTAATAAGGTAAAAAGGTTAGATATATGACGATCGTGTTTAGGTCCAAGGGATAAACCGGTCGTACTAGGTTTATATTAGCAGGGGATTATTAGCATCGTCTTAAACGGGGTGTAAGTTACGTCTAGTAATATGCTTAAGGGTATTAAGTATAACTAAGTTATATTAATAGCTAAGGTAGCTAGTATATAAGAAAGTGCAATAAGTATTCTTTATATACTTATCGGGCTATGAGGGGATCATAGTTTCCTAGGGAGCGCCGTGATCTAAGGATCATAGTATTCCTTAGATCATAGTGATCTAGTCTTAGACCGATCTTTCGATAATTAGTAGGTACCTCTTAGGTATAGGGTAATCATATATATCTTAGGGGTTAATATATATTAGGTCGTGATATAATATCTCCCCTTCTAAGGCCTTATCTATAAGGCCCTTTAAGTAGCTACTTCCTACTTCCTTATTAATAGGTATAACTTAGACTTATAAATACTCCGGGATATTATACTAATAAGATATCTAGTCGTATTTCTAAATATCTAAACTGAAAAACTAAAAAGTATTAATTTCTGGCTATAAGTATTAAACTATCGCGTGAGTTTATGGATATATTATACTCGTATTACTTTAAGTATCGGAAGGAGTACTTAATAACGGAGGGTTCTTCGCGGTATAGCGAGTGTATATATCGGGGTCATTCTTACGACGGGATACGAGTCATAAATTCCTATGAGTGCTAAGTCTTTCTCTCTAGATAGGGTTTTCCATAGCCCTCTTATTAATACGTGGGGTAGTGCATCGTTTAATTTCGTAAGAGAAGAAGTTAGAGGAGGATAAGGAGAAAGCTAGTATAGATCTATTATAATTTTATGAGGAGTTAGTAGAGTTATAAGCGAAGATAGTATTAGCCGCGGGTTGTTTATCGCGGTTACGAAAAACCAAGAACTTAGTTAAGGAGCGTTAGGCTATGGAGTTCCGGCGGGGAATTTAAGGTCTCGAGGGCGAGGATTGTTTGGCGGAGGAGTTAAGTCGTCGCGAGGAGTCCGTTTAGGAGGAGCTATAGTCGTTGAATCCCGAGGGTTTTAACTAGGCTTCTCTTAGTCTAGGTGATTTTAATTTTAATCCCTTGCCTAGTTCCGGCGGTATTAGTGGAAATTCCTTAGAAGGCGCTATATATTAGTGAGGTATTCTGGGGGTTCCTAGGTATTTTCCGAGTTAGGGTAGTCCTTCTATTTCACAAAATATATTATTTTGCTATTAATTTTATTCATATCGAGGATAGCTTCTATAGTATATTCTTCTAGTCTATTGACTTTGATATCGGGTTTATTACTTATTTTTACCTAAATAGTATCTTATGCCGATTTAAGTAGTAAAATATAAAAGATTAGGTAGAGCTTAACCTTAGGCGGTAAGTCTAATTTATAGTTATATTTCGAGATTTTCTTTTTGATTTTATATAGTCTGATATATTTATAATTAAGTTTTTTATTTTATTGTTTTATTTTAATGTTTTTTATTACGAGGTAGACTATATCTCCCTCCGAGAAGATTAATCCCTTAATCCTTTTTTTATTAGTATAGGTTATTATTCTATTTTTAATAAATTCGAGTTCTATTCTTATTTCTTTATATAGGTTATATAGTTAGTCGCTAGTAAGGATTACTTTAGGGTTAATAATAATATTTTATATTTATCGGTAGGCGTCTAGGGTAAATCCGAAGTTAGCATAACGTACTTGATAAGCAAGTGAGCCAGTCAAGCAAGTGTGCCAAAAATCCCTTAACCTATATCCTCTCCATTTGATTAATTAATTCTCAACCACCTAGTATGTCACAGTCTAATTGTGAGGCTAGAATGCTTCTTGCCCTTCGGGCCCTTCAAAATAACCCAAAACTAAGCCTCCGACGCGCCGCAGATATATATGAGGTTAATCAAATGACATTACGTCGCCGATAGCACGGCATTTAATCTCGACGCGATACTATCTAGAAATCACGTCGGCTATCTAATCTAGAGGAAGAGATTATTATTTACTTTATTCTCGACCTAGATTTGCGAGGATTTCCTCCCTGGCTACGTGCTGTTAAAGATATGGCTGATTAACTGCTTGCCGACCGCGACGCGTCACTGGTTGGCACGCGTTGGGCTTATAACTTCGTTAAGCGACACCTAGACCTTAAGACGCGTTTCTTTCGTAAATACGACTATTAGAGAGCTAAATGCGAAGATCTAACTATTATCCGCGATTGGTTTCGGCTTGTGGCGAATATAATCGCGAAGTACGGCATCCGATCAGATGATCTCTATAACTTTGATGAGACTGGCTTTCTTATGGGTATGATTGCAAGCGGAATGGTTGTCATAGGTGCAGAAAGGCGTTTAAAGCCGAAATTAGTGTAGCCTGGAAACCGGGAATGGATTATAGTTATTTAAGCGATTAATGCGGAAGGCTAGGCGATCTAGCCGTTTATTATCGGTGCGGGCTAATATCACCTCGCCAACTGGTACCGAGAAAGCAACCTCCCGGGCGATTGGGCCATTGCGACGACCTAAAATGGCTGGACCGATAATGAGACTGGTCTAGAGTGGCTAAAGTACTTTGACCGGTGTATAGCTAAGCGATCAAATAGTCGCTATCGTCTCTTAATCCTTGATGGCCATGAAAGTCACTACTCTATCGAATTCGAGAGATATTGTGAGGAAAAGAAGATTATCTGGCTTTGTATGCTACCTTATTCCTCTCATCTGCTCTAGCCCCTTGACGTCGGGTGCTTTAGTGTGCTGAAGAAGGCTTATGGTCGAGAAATAGAGCATCTGATCAGATGTTCTATAACCCACGTTTCAAAGACGGAGTTCTTTCCGGCCTTCCACGCCGCACATAAGGCCACTATGACGGAAAGAAATATCAGGGGGGCTTTTAAAGGAGCTGGGCTTGTTCCTCTTGACCTAGAAACTGTGATCTTAAAGCTTGATGTTCAGCTACGGACGCCAACGCCGGTTGAGGAGGCAGCTGAGCCGTCGACCCCTTGGGCTTTAAGGACCCCAAAGACCGTGATTGAGGCCGGATCTTAGTCTGAATACCTCGAAAGGCGGATCAGAAGGCATCAAAGTAGCTCCCTAGAGTTAATTTTAGAGGCTCTATAGTCTCTTGCGAAGGGAACAAAGGCTGTTATGCATCGGGTTGCCTTATTGACCGCTGAGAACAAAGACCTTCGAGAGGTAAATAAGATACTAAGCCGGCGGCGGAGGGCAAAAAGGACTAGACTGTAGAAAAGAGGGGTAATGATGGTAGAAGAAGGAAGGCAAGCAATTGATTAAATGGATGTGGATGCGCAGGTAGTGGCCGAATCGTCGAGGAGTGGTGGTCGAGGAAGGTCGGTCGGACCGGGTGTTCGGCGCTGTGGTGTATGCGGCAAGCCCGGCCATAATGCAAGGACCTGTTAGGTAGTGATTGAGATATCTGGGGAAGGGTATAGTGAGTAGTTTTAATTGATTAAATGGTTTATGGTGTTTTTATTGCGATTTCTATCTAGAGGGGGAGGGGAAAGTGGCACACTTGCTTGACTGGCTTACTTGCTTATCAAGTACGTTATACTAATATAGTTTTCGTGCTTTCATTAGTGGCTATATTATAGGCTAACTAAGCGGCTAATAGCTTCTTAACCTAGTTAGTTTATTTATAGTTAATATAGCATCGAAGGTATTATTCTAATATCTAGTTCATACGTTTAGTCTATCTATCTATCTCCTTATAGTATACGGTAGAGAGTTTATAGTTAATTCCTAAGTATCCTATGAGGCTTTATTAGAATTTTAAAGCAAATAATAATCCTCTATCCGTAATAATCTTAAGTAGAATACCATATATCTTAGTAATATAAAAATAGAAAAGGTAGGCGAATTCTTTAGCTATTATTAATTCTCTATAGGGTATAAAATAAGAAAATTTCGTGAGTCTATCTATGATAATAAGAATACTATTATAGAAGTTACTAGTAGCTAATTCTTCTAATAGGGGTAATTTTATGATAAAGTCTATTATGATGGCTTCCCATAGTAGTTATAGTATTGGCAGTAGTTATAGCTTGCCGTAGGGTTTATAGCGTTATGCCTTAGTTTTTGCGCAAAGATCGCATTAGCTAATAATTATTAAAATAACTTT